TAAAATTAATCCTATTTGTAGTTTTTCATGTCAGCATCGTACTAAATTGTTTGCTCATTTTTTTCCTCTTTAAATTCTCACAATTATCCGAAATTAAAAATTATTGGTGTGTATGAAATAAACTATTACTTGAATAATTTTGAACTTATACGTAGCAAAAAATATAGATCTCACTTAGATTATTCAAGAAAAAATTCGATTTTTCTTTTGGGAAAACTATAATTTGAGTACTCAATGTTTCATTTTTATTTTTGTATTTGAGTTTTCTTAGTTATTTAAAATTGAAAAAATACTAATGTGGTCAGAATCTACTACAAACGATAGTCTTTAACTTATATGCAGTAAAAACTAAGTCTTACTTAAATTCAGTGAGAAAAAATAAAAGAAAATAGTTACCAATAATTTAAAAAAAATAATAAAAATTAATTATTGTTAATCAAATGAACTCCACATGTTTGCTATCAATTAAAACACTCTCAATATATTATTATCTAATATTTTTTTTGCCTAATCCAAAAGTTTTAATCTTGGATCATTTAAATAATTTGAATTCATTTGACTAGGAATAATTGTTTTTTATTTTGATTTTGATTTTTTTTTTAACTCCCGTTGACTATTTTTTATTGTTTTTTTCTCAATAACTATGTGTGTAATCCACCTTCCGTTACGTGCCTGCTAAAGAATGTCGTGTTGGACTGAATCTGCTCTGCTCGTTGGAGGGTGTATATACCATTTTTTCCTGTTGCTTTTACACAACTTCCTTGCTAAATCAGTTCCTTAATTGCCTTCCTCTTAGATTAAGTCAGTTCTGGTTACTATTATGCCCAGCGAGAATGTGTCCGGCAAAGGAGGCGGGGGAACCGTTTCACTTCTTTTTTCTAAATAGTTACTTTTCCTGAAAATCCCTTTTTTTTTTTTTTTTTGGTTGGTTCAGCAGTGGAGGGAACGGTTTCAGTCTTTTTTTTTAAATGGTTACTTTTCCTGAAAATCCTTTTTTGTTTTGTTTTGTGGCACACCTTCCTCTCCCTGTCGGTCCAGTATTACATACTCTCGCAGCTAAGGTATAGGTCAGCATTTTTCGATCTCAAATAATTGAAGAAAATTTTTTAAAAAAGCAAAAAAATAAAAATTTAGGTAGTTAAACAAAAAAAAAAAAATCAAAGATTAGTCACTCGTTAGTATTTTTCACCGGTCAGTATTTTTCAATCTCAAGTAATTGAAAAAACTCTTTTAAAAAAAGGAAAAAAAAACTAAACGTTGGACATCAAATTATATAAAATTACTGTATATTTTTTTTGAATAAGTTAAATGAAACTCACTTTTTCCATGTATTAGTTAAAAATATATAAAGTTAATCAATTCTAGATATATCAATATTTTTTAATCTAAAGTGACTACGGACACTGAAAAAAAAATCAAAACTTATTGCTTAAACTAAAAAAAATAATAATCTCAAGTGATTGTGGACAATTAAGAAAAAAAAAAAAGGTTTTAAAATTTGATTACTTAAGATGTACAGTTTGACATTCAAATAAAAAAATAAAAAATTAGACACATGAATTACATTTTTCTCTTAATGAGGAATTCAACACTACCCCTTAAAGTACTCTTTAAGGGAAAAAAAATAATAACTTCAAAATTTTCTACCCCAATTTTTCCAAGTATCTATAAAAGGGTGACTAATTTGATTTTTCTGTTATTTAAAAACAAAAACAAATTGAACTCACCCTCTTATGTATATATATATATACACGCACACACACGTACACTGTGATCTAGCTTCAACTTTTTATTCTTGCAGCTTTTTAGTTATTATTAAAACTCATTGCTAAATGCCGAAATTCTGGTAGTATAATCTAATTTTATTTTGATCTTTTTTTCTATTCAAAAGTTTCTAAAAATTAATTCATTTTCATCTTATGCATGCCTTTTTTTCACATTCTTTCATTCTCTTTCTTTTTAATATGTTTATTTATTTATTTTTTTTTTAAACACTCAAATGTATATGTATAAAATGCTAAAAAAATTATTTAACTGTGTTTTTAATATTTGATTATATTGAAAAGCGCATGTACTTATAAAATTTCTTCCGGTAGTTATTATAATAATTAAGACTTGCTTCTTTTTTTTAAGAAGTCCGTATAAATTTAAAATTAATAGTAGTTAGTATTAAAAAAACAAGAGAAATGGGACTTAATACTCCTCATGATATGGAATTAATCTTATCACCACAACAAAAAAAATAAAAGACTAACTTTGGATATCTCTTACATGCATGTGATATAAGCAAGATGAAGTTTTACCTTTTATCAAAAATTAAGTAATAAACTAAAATAAAACGTCAAAACACCGTAGCTATACTATTTGAAACACTGTACACATACTTACATTTTACTATTCACCCTCTCATAATTCATTGTTGCTTTCACCATTCATAAATTTTTTTTACACTTTGGTCCTTGATATTTGCGAACTCATATTTCGATCAACATGTTCATTTGCTTATCCATTTTGGTCCCTGGATGGAGAGAGAATGAAGAGAAAGAGAGAGATCACCGGCCAACCTCATTTATGGCACTCGCGGATGAAAATCCACTATGTTTTTTAATCTTCGAGAGATGAGTTTATTCATGATGGTTTCAAGTCATTAAACAATTAGAGGAGGTAGATCGAAGTCAAAAAAGAAAAAAAAATCCAATTTGATTTTGTATTTTTTATTATTTTTGTGTGTATTAAAATGATTTTTAAGGTTTTAGATATGTTTATTGACTTTGTTTCAGTCATTTAGAGGTATTTGGAAAAAAAAATGATGCCGGAATTCAATTTCTAAGGATCTAAAAATTGACCCTTGATTTTTCGATAAACTTTCAACGACCTCGGATTCACCGAAAGTTATAAAAATTTTTTTTTCAAGCAAGGCCTTGCAGGCCCAAGCGCACCGGCTCGCCTCGCACGAGCCAACACTTGGCCTCACTAGGTTTTGACTTCTTCTTTTTTTTTTTTCAATATTATGTGGCGGCAACCATGCGCTTCTCTCCCCACTATGCACACACACACACACACACACAATAATTTTTTTTTTACTTTTTAAATGAGTTTTAAATTTATTAACATATACATATATATAGAGAGAGTATATATATCTAATTATACTAATTTTATTGTTTGAAGTTATTTTTTCAATTATTTATTTCTTATTAAAATTCACATTAAATTAATTTTTTATATGATTTTATTTGTTAATAAATTTAATTTTTTAATATATGAATTTTGAATTAAAATTTTAGAACGTCGTTGTTTTATTTTTTAAAATATATTATATAATTTATACAATAAATTATGTGTGTATGAGTATGTGTCTTTTTTTCTTTATATATATATATATATATATATATATATATATATTTAAAAAATTTTAAAATTTAATTGTATTGTGATTTACTCCATTTGTTTTAATTTTTTTAATTACTTTTATTATTTAAAATCTATAATTGTAATTTGTCATTTTTTTTAAATTCTCATCTAATTAATTTAAAATTACATTTAATGATAGTTTTCATTTATTTTAATATTATTTATTCTCTTCTCATCCAATTAATTTAAAATTATATATTCCTCAATTTTTTTATACTATATATATATATATATATATATATATATATATATATATATATATATATATATATATATATATATATATTTTTTTTAATTTCAAACTTTAATTGTATTGTGGTTTGATCCCATTTTGTTTTAGTATTTTTTATTGATTATTTTTATTATTTAAAATCTACTACTTTAATTTTTTATTTTTAAAAAATTCTCATCCATTGAATTTCAAATTACATTAAAAAAAATTAAAATATTTTTTTCGTCTTTGATTTCATATATTTTTATACATTCATATCATAAAATAGACTATCAAATTAAAATATTTTTTATAAATAATTTTATATATTTTATCCTACCCGCAGTATAACACGGGAAAAAAATCTAATTAAATCTATAATTTCTTGGTATCTCTTTATCAAGATACCATTATCAGTGCGTTAAAGTCTCGTCCATAATAATTGGGACTTTAGCGCTTAGGAACTAATTTAATGTATATAATTTTAAAAAAATTCCTTTATACTTAGATAATACAATTGACAATAAAGAAAAAAAAGCATAATCAAGTAAAATAAATTGGCTTCGGGTGCTCGCAATGGACTAGTATTGTCTATAGGTATTACCATCCTCCTTACATCACCCAGACGTATCATTTACGAGTGTTCATTTTAAAGTGGCATAGAAAAAATAAAATTATAGACTCGATAAGAATATAATATATAAGATCTCGTTCAATTTTTGTGAACTCATTACAGTCAAAAGACTCGAAACCACAATAGTATTTTTTATTTTATTTTATTTATTTATTTATTATTATTATTATTGCGCAGCTTTCATGTAGATTTTGTCTCGGTAAACCTTTCAAGAAAGAACATTAGAAATGATAATGCTATAACGCTGACCTGATTTTGGCTAGGGAAATAGTCTCCATGAAATGAACACCATGACACCAAGTCACCCACCCAACCACATGTACGTAGAAATGCACCGACCCTTAGATATTGTTAATCGAGATGTTCAAAGAAAATGGCGTTTTCCTCTCTTATCGTTTGAATTCAAAACACACGCCAAAACGTTAATTTCATTTCTTATACTATTTGTTAGCATGAGTGGAAGACTTAATTACTTGGCAGCCATTGAACTTAGTAATATATATATAATATTTACCATCCAAAACCCACTCGAATTTTTCTTTTTTTTTAAAGAAAGGAAAAAAGAAAAAAGTAATCAATTTGGCTGTTCTACACCATCTCTCCCTCACCTATATAAGTAAATGCATTCAACTCATATTCTACACAGCATAATCTAGCTTTCCTACACACCCTTCTTTCCCTAATCAAGCTTAAACACTGCCTAAAATTCGCATCTTTCTCAAGTTGCAAATTGAAAGGGAAATGGCCAGTTCAACATATGTGCAAGCACTCATCCTCCTGCTAAGTGCTTCTATGTGGGCAATAAGCATGGCAAACAGGCAATGGCAACATGGGTTCAACTACCCTGATTGGAGTCACAAACGTCACCCTTCTCGTCAAAACAGTACAGATACACCCAACAAGATCGTTGTAGGTGGATCTCAAAATTGGACGTTCGGTGTTAACTATACTGATTGGGCTCTCAAGAATGGCCCATTTTACTTCAATGATACTCTAGGTTAGTTAAAAGCTTGACACATCAGAGAAGCATTTAGGACTTTTATATACACTTTTTTTTTCCCATGAAGCCTACGTTTGCGTCAATGGAATTAATTTATAGTATTTCTTATTTTATCCACTGTACGTTAGTAACATGATTATTATTTTATTTTTTTTGCAGTGTTCAAGTATGATCCGCCAAGTGACACAAACATTCATCCTCATAGTGTCTACTTGCTACCAAACCTGTGGAGCTTCTTAAAATGTGACCTGAGCAAAGCCATGTTGATCGCTAACGCGACAGAAGGAGGTGGCGACGGGTTCGAGTTCGTGCTCAAGAAGTGGCAGCCCTATTACTTTGCTTGCGGCGGAGGTGCTGGCTTCCACTGTAATAATGGCACCATGAAGTTCTTTGTCATGCCAATGTTTCGTCGAGGGCACTGAAAGGGGATATTCCAGGAATTATATGCTCTTACTTATAGCATTGCATTGCATTTCATTTTGTGTTTGTTGTCAAGCACTGCTTCTTTTTACATTTTTTTTTCACCCCAAATTTCAATATGACATTTGTGAGTTCTGAATAAAATAAGGACAATGCCGCAATGGTATGCTGATGTATAAAAAATTAAAGATGCCGATTTTGCATATTTCGTCCTCTTTGATGTATTGTAACTTGTTCTGATTCATTCTACTTGTATTTCAATATATATTATAATTTTTTCTCCGTTTCTCGTAATCTAAATCTTATCTTATTTTTAGTTTTCCATGTCCGTCACGTACTACTAACTTGTTAGCTAATTTAATACGGTCTTGATCTAATGGAATGGTTAGAATTCAAGACTGCAACTTTAAGAGTTGCAGTGCCTAGCCTCGCTTCAAATTTTCCAGCCCAGCTTAAGAAAAATGGAAACGAAAAGGAAATTCTAGCTTGTTTATTTTTTTCAGAGAATTGGGCTTGATATCATATGCCAGTAGTTTTTTTCCGTTTTTTTAGCTTCGTATACTACAACCGATAGTAAGGCTTGAAGAGTCGAAAGGTGAAGAGGCACGCACCTAACAGCCGATTTCCATTAAAGTCTAATGGCCTTAAAAAATGGCCCAGTTACCTTCTCAATGGGCCAGTCTTCTGATAAGTCCAAATACATATGATTGCGAAGAAAGACCGAAGAAGAGAAAACAATCATTAAAAAAAAAAAAAAAAAGAATCAAAAGAATCGGCAATCTTGTCAAAAACAAACCAGAAGGTGAATTGGTCAGGATTTTGGTTCCTTTGCTTCGTGGGTCCAAAGTGGTTCAACAATTCAGCCATCGATTCACTCACTTGTAGGACGAAATATACATCTTTTTTCATATACAAATCATAGACATGGTATCTAATTTTTTCAGTAAAACTAAATTTGCATTAAAAAAAAATGAAAAGCAATTGGTTCAAAAGATAGTTCAATAATTAAATCGAGGAACATGGTTGTATAAAAGAAGCACAATAGCTGGAGATGCTGTGTATAACAGGCTTTGACGGATTTTCTTGTAGAGACTTTGTTTCCTTCTCAATATGCATGTAAGTATGCACCATACAAATCTTCCAACCTTTATTTCCGTTATTTTTGTTCAATTCCTTAAATCATCCTTTCATGTCTTTCTTAGAAAGCATAATAAGGTTAAAAGTTACAAATTCTGAATAAATTTTAAAATACTCAAAAAATAATTAATACTATTTACTTTATAAATTTATTTTGAAGAAATAAACAAACCCAATACCGTGGTCCACATCATATAGTTCAAGGCCCAAGAAAGAAACAAACATAAGAGATGACTTCTAGCCGAGTGAGCTACAACTAGGCCCAATATCGTGGTCAAGAAAAAATGGGATTCCATAGGAGTGAATTTTAATTTTAACAGCAAATGAAAAAACTCAGGGAGAGATGAGTGTGTTTGGAGGAGATAGTTGGGCAAGAGAAGCACAATACAGGAAAAGAAGAGTTGATGATCTTGTGACGGGAGGACTTGATGGGTCTTCTTACAAGAAGCTCTCTAGTGGCAAATACGCATGTCTTGTTTGCCATCTCAATCCCATCCTCGATTCTCCCCTCATGCTCTCTGTAAGCAACAGGCACTCTATTATATTTTTATTTTTTTCTATTATTTGATTTCTTGTTTCATACCATTCATTATCCGCCATCACTGAATTAAAAGAAAGAAAGAAAGAAAAAGAAAAGAAATCCCACTTGTTTTTTTAGGTAAATGAATTAAATGGGATTCAGAAACTTGATATTACCAAACCCTAGAAAGACCGAATACAGAACTGAATTCTGATTTTTGTCCATTTGAGGTTGTTTGAGAAGGGCCTTTTGTTGTCGTGATATTGGTTATCTGATTCTTAAAATGTTATGTTATTTTGCTAGATGCATTGTAAGGGATCCCGACATATTGCTGCGGAGTCCAAGCTGAAGGAAAAAGAATTGATGGGACAAAATGAGATTAACAAAAGATTAGCCTTATCAAAATCGGATGTTAGGCCTGCTAATTCAAGTAATTTGAACAAAAATGCTAGGTTAGTGGGTAAGCCATTGATTGAACAGACAAAGAAGGCTGCCGCCGAGATACTTAATAAAGAGACTGCCCGGTTGAGTTCTAGAAATCAAAATACTGATGTGAAATTGAGTGAGGGATATGCTAGTGTTATGAATGCGGTGACCAAAATCAGTGAAAATAGCTCGTGTCCGGAAGTAATAGCATCTGACAAGATGCCTGTGCACCAGCAATTGGATTTTAGGGAGCGGCGAGAGAGGGAGCTGAAGTTCACTGAAGCAGGTTGGAAGCGTGATTGTCATGGAAGATGGTTCAGAGATGAAAATGTGAGTTTTGATTTTAGATTATACATCTCGACATTTTTTTGATATGCTAGTGATTGTCAGTTTCTGCTTCATGTATGTTGGTGTAGAAATTTTGAGTCTGTATTCTTTCTGCTCAAGAAAAAAAATTGCATTAACAGAAAATTCAAATAACAAGGCGTTTTGCATTTTATGTTGATTCATTTACAGCCTGCATATTTATGGTTTTGATATCTTGCAGGTGGAATTTGATTCTGATGAAGAAGACCCAAATGTTTGTATTGGTTAAAAATTTAAACAAAGATCATCTTCAAAGACTTTTGATAGAATGATGTTGTGATTATTGATAAATGGTATCAAAGTATGGTAACTTGAGATGCATGGTGTGAAAAGTCTTTGGGGAGCTGAAGATTGATGACTAATCCAATTGTATTTCGTATCGCACAAATCATGGCCTCATAGGGTGGCACAGAGTGGTGAAACCAGTTTTCCCTCCTACACAGGCATTGGGCCTAGCTGTTCTGGTCTGTTCTTTAAAATAAAAAACAAAAATTTCTACAAATTTTTTTTAGACAACTATCAACATATCTTTCGTTGATTGCCGGTAATTATTATGTAACAAATATTAATGAAGAGTGTATTGGTAATTGTTTTAAAAAAATTGGTGAGCTTAGCATTTTGGTCGGTGAATTTAGCAGTGTGTATATATATACACACATATGCCTATCTGCTTGGCCATCATCAGACCTCCACATGCTGAACCAACTGGAATAGCTGGAGTGATCGATGGGAGACAATGCAGCCAATGTTGGTACCCCGAATACATTCCGATGTCGGAATCTATCGCATGCGTGCGAGTACGTTTTCAGACGTTAGGAGCCACGCGTCACTGATGCCTCATCTGCTGCATCAATTTAGCTCATCTAGTTTGGTCTCTGCTTCTCATTAGTCATTACAAGTCAGTATATCCACCAATCAAGGTAATTGAAGTCCTTGTTTTCTTTGATTTTTAATTGCTTTATCCTCTGTATCTAGTGTGTTGTTTGGATCCAATTTAATGTTATATGTGCTATAACTTTTGATGTGATTTGTTGGAGACTTGAGTGATTCATCTAAGTTAACCATTTGAGTAGAGTTTGATTGAAAATAAATTAATTTGAACTCCTTGATTTTATTCAATCTATTTGAAATACTTTAAATTAGATTTGTGCGATCTTGGTATGTCTAAAAATCCCATTAAAATTTGGAGCATGTAATTTTAGGTTTCAAATTTCTCTTATTTTCACCATTATTATTTTTATTTAGGATACAGCTAAATTCAACAAGCAAATTGTTATTTTCATCTTTTTTTCTAAACAATTACTAATGCACCTTTTACCAATTACAAATAACTATTCTATAACAAACAGTAGTACATGGTGTATTGATAATTTTCTGAAAAAAAAATTAGTGAAAATAACAATTTGGTTGGTGAATTTAGTGGTACCCTTTTATTTATTAGGAGGTTAAAGGTGATACAGGTTATATAACATTGTAATTTCTATTTTTCTTATAAAAAACCTTGTGGTACTTTTGATCAATGATGATGTCAGCAATAGGCTAGTCTTTTATTATTATTATTAGTAAGGTTTATAGCCTCGCTTGTCATTGTATAATATGTTAAATTTCTAATCTGTTTTTATATTCTAAAATGATTTTATTATGTCTTTACGATTTTAGTTGTCAATTTTTTTCAGTCAAATCACCTGAAATTGTCACATAACTTACATCAATCTTCTTCTTTTTCTTTTTTTTTTTCCTTTTTTTATATGAAAATACCTCTCTTAGTTTAACATGGTAAGTTTCTAAATTTGTCCTTGTATAATGGGTTGAGTTTCCAATCCACCCTTGGTGCTAAAAAAATCTATTATATTATTGTTAATAATTTTTCTAATAATGTGTTGCAGCATAGTGAATTTTTTTTGTTAATTAAAAAATATAAAAATAATTAGTATAGGTTATTATGTAAGTGTTCAAAAAATTGTCATTTAACATATTTTTAATCCTAAAGAGTCCATTATATTATTATCGTTATAGTAATTCAATTATATAAATAATATTGAACGAGTTGATATAATATTTACAAAAATATTAAATCATCTATATAAAAGAAAACACATTAATCCCATGTGAAAAAAACAAATAATTATGCAATTAAATAAAACATGTAATTATTATTTTTAATTACATGCTTAAGAGACTAACTATAAACTATTTAAATATAATTATTTGTTTTTCAATTGCATGCTTAATATAATTATTTGTTAAATAACAACTCTTTGAACACTTACATACTAGCATACACTAATTATTTTCATATGCTTTTAATTTTTAAAAAATCATTATAATGTATAACCAACCTATTTTTATATTCAAAAAATTATTAACAATGATATAATGGACTTTTTAGCATTCAAAATATATTAAAAACTCAATCTATTATATAAAAACATATTAAAAACTTAACATGTTAAGTCGCAAGGGGTATTTTTGTTATATAAAAAAGTCATGTGCGAGTCATGTGATATTTTCGAGTAATCTGACTAGAAAAATTAATATGAAGAACATATTAGAAACTAGATAAAATAATAAAGAAATAATAGAGTTGTTTTAGAATAAAATGATAGATTGAAAAATTGATCTTTTGTATAAAGATACGTGAGGCTATTAATCCTTATTATTGTTATTATTATATAATGGAAAAAAATAATAATTCAATATAAATTAATAGACCAAGGACTTTATGTAGGTCAATTGACTATTTTATTTTTTATATCTTCATTTTTACATAACTTGTGATATTTGAATATCTAATTTGCTTATGTTCCTTGCCTTGTTTGATTTGAATGTCTAATTTGCTTATATTCCTTGACTTATTTGTTTGATTTGAATGTCCAATTTGTTTACGTTCCTTGACATACTCGCTTGATTTGAATGCCTAATTTGCTTACGTTCCTTGACTTACTTGTTTGATACATTGTTTGTTTGGTTCTGCTAAGCTGAGTTTTCTTATTCTATCATCGTTATTATTATTATTATTTTTTTTTTGGTACCATTAATTTGCCTTGTTGTAGATATATTTTAAATTTGATACGGGGCATTGGGGTCCAATGTCATTATCTAAAGTAGCATGAAATATTGATATGGGCTCAAGGCCCATTTCCTTGCTTCCCTAGATATCTTATTTGTAATATTTGGACTTGTAATTGTTATTTTACGGTTTGGTATGTGAATTTGGACTGGAAGTCCAAATTTATTTTTTTATTTTATATATTTTTATTTGAGTTTGAGTTATTTAATTTACAAATAAGTTTTAATGCTCGGCTTTTTTCTTTTCAAATGAATTCTAATGGTTCGATGATATTTTAAGCGAGAGATCGTGTCTTTTTCAATCTTCAAATCACATCATCCGTAAGTTGTTAAAAATAATTCAATAATCAACGTAAAATTTAATATATATAAAAAAAACACTAAATAAACTTGTATAAGTAAATTTTCATAGACTAAAAATATAAGATAACATCATTGCGAAGTCATTAGGGTGGTGTCTTTTCTATTTATGTAATCAATTCTTTTAATTAAAATTTTGTGGACTAGCTCGTTAAAAAAATTTTAGTATGCATCTTTAAAAAAATTAAATAATAACTTTATATTTCAAATTATATTTTCTTAAGATCATTTAGACATCATCACCACAGAACACAAATCAAAGTCTCTGATACGGTAGTTCTAATTCAAAGCTAGATGTTTAACATGTAAGATACAGCGGATTGGTCACTGGCTTGCTGCATCGGGTATAGAGAAGACGATAGAGTGTAGCCTCGTGGGGAAACCCCAGACCGAGCATTTGGTTTCTGTGTGATGCATGAATTTAACGGTGCATTGCATTATGCATCACATTTTTGCCTACCTTGCATGGTCCAAGTCCAACCGACACATTCCATGGCGATTATTAAATGGATGTTGACCGTACCTTGCTTGCTCCCTCACGGTGGCGGTACAGATTTTTCTTAGTGTCACCTATCGATCTGTTTATCCTCAACAATGGTCGTCTTTTGTCATTTAGCTGGTGTTTTGTTTTTGGACGGAGGAACTGATAGGATAGGCACATGAACGGTACTTGAAGCTTGCGTCGGGGTTTCATTTCTGTCTAATTGCCATTGTTAGTGCCACGTAAAGGGTGTTATGCCTCATAAGCTACTACTGGATATCCTTGTGCACTAGCAGCAGTGACCAAGCCATTACGTAGGCATGCAAATAGGGATGGCCATGGGCAGAATACCTGGCCCATTAGTTTAATTTTTTATTCTATTTATTAACAAAATTTTCTATTCATGCCTCTTAAGAAATTATTTTATAAATTCATACGGAGAGCATATCATGTTCATGTTTATCATCCATTCAATACCCAGTCAATCGTTAAAAATAATTTATCATAATATTTCATTTTAATCTTTATAATTTTTATAAAAACTATTTTGGTTTTTTAAATTATTTTTTTGCAATTTAGTTCTTTGTTTATAAGTTTTTTTCATTCTCAAAGTTTTCATAAAAATATTTTGATCTTTATTTTATAAAGTTTGTATGATTAGATCTCTGTATTTTTATTTATTTTTTAAAAACATATTAGTAAATATTTATATGATAAAAAATAAATACTCATATTCTAAAATTATATATATATATATATATATATATATATATATATATATATATATATATATATATATCATTTCAATACCTATTAGATTTTTTTAATAAATATTTACTAAATCAAATAAGACAGATATATGTTCTATATTCGAATATTATTTAAACATTAGTCGACATGATAAGTAATTTATGTTACGTATTATTATCTCATATTTGGATGTAAATAATATTTATGAGAAATAATTTTTTCAAAAATTGTTTTCCAATCGAGCAAACAAGAAGTTTCAGGAAGTGCATTAGCAAGTGGACACGTGCTACTTCCATAGAATGCAATGTCAAAAACATCATGATTAAATCGTTTATCACCGAACGTTGACATCGATGAGGTAAGTTGATAGGAAATAAAGAAACTCTGAGAGGGTGTGCTTGTTTAGTGGAGAACCCACTTGGGTTTGATATGCAATGATGGAATAACAACAGAAGAGATCTCTGTTCTCTCATTTCCAATTGGGATGAATAATTTTGAGGATCCTTTAAGGGGCAAAAAAGTTAAGGGAAACAAAAGAGAAAAGACTGAATGATGAAGGTGGAGTTTTCCATTTCATCATATACTTCGGAAAATTCGGTCCGCCACCATGTATTATCGCAATCTCGATGCATAGCGTTGAGTGGAAATGTGGAATTGCTATTCTAATCTTTTATGCACACTGAACATATACTTATATACGCCATCAGATGCACGTAATGCAAGTTGTTAGAATCTTTTTCCTAATATATGACAGTTTCGAAAATAACCTTCAATATCGAAACGTCTACATTCAAGATTTTGACCATTACCTCAATATTGCTAATTTTAATGAAGATTCTATCCATAAGGTTTGATTCATTTGATTCATTGAACGAGTGAGTCTTGCTAATAGATTTAACAAATCCAAGATTGAGATTTAAAAGAATGGTTTCGGCATTATTTGATTATCACATTTAGAAATATTTTTACGTTACCTCTAACCAAGAGATATGATTTAACTATAAAAAAATTATTTTAATTTGATTAAAATCAAAAAATAATTAATCATAATTATTTTTTAATGATATCAAATTTGAAATAATTTGATTTAAAAAAAAAACCTAGTAATCCATTAGAAGATAAACATTTTCTGATTTAATTTTAAAAATAATAAATTTAATTTCAATCCACTTAGAATCTAACTTTAAAAAATATTTTTAAAAAATTAATCTTAAGTAGTATTTGTTCTCTGTCTGGAAGCTTAATGCCATTAGTGGCACTTGCTACCAACTACCGAAGGTCCAAGACACCAACGGCTAATTATTGATGCTATTATGACATACAACAGCTTTATTCTTGACATGGCTTAGCATTATTAAGGACAACCCCACGTGAATTAGCTTTCTTAATTATATGCATCACTATTCTTAAATCACAGAATCGAATTATTATTATTACCTCAAGGTCAAGGAATCTTTCGTCAAGCACCAACGACTTGTCACGCGCCATCCCCCTGTACGATTTTACCGGGGAGCCAATGACTTGTCGTCGCGGTGTCTGTTTTAGCCTTTAAGGCAGATGCTCTTGACTTTTGACCATTTTTAATTTTTATCTACGAAGTGAATAGCAGTTCACATTTCTCGAGGGTTTGGAATTTTCCTTTTCCCCTTAAAGGGAAAAAAAAAGGAAAAAAAGCAAAAGTTGGTCCTCTAAATTTGTAATGGAGGAGAGGAGAGGGGGACTATAAATTTATTTCCATGTGATTTTGGTCATTGGTGCCTGTCTTTATGCCCAGAGATTCTGTAATTGCTGCTTTCCATTTTACGGGAACTAATGGATCATTGTTGACTTCTACCATCATATTTTCTTAATATTTAGAAATATTTTATACGAAAATAATGCATATCTCATGCAATATTATAACCACCTCGAACATATATAGAAAATTCATTTTTTTTTTAAAAAAAAAGGAATCTCTAGATGTAATGATTTGCGTATACAATATGGTCCGTTGGGTATACCTGACCATTGATAATCTGGTGAGTGGGTATTGCATTGACATTGCACGTAGACAAAACAAGTGCATGAAAACAATGCAAGGTATCTGTGGGTTGAGCTATTATGTGATGTATAAACGGTAATATGGACCCAAAATGACAAGAGTAGGAAGAGCATATGTCGTGGAAAGAGAGATGATGCCAATTTGCCTTAACTATAAGTTTTCTTTAAAGTGTAGTCTACAATTTGGTATTATAGCAAACAAGAAACCAATCTACTCCATTTGTTTTCTTCTACCAACTCGTATCTTCGATAAAGCTGCATTCATCTATCTAAAGTTGAACTATCACTTTCTCCTTTCTGTTGGACTGATAAAAAAATAACCACATTAGATTACGTTATGTAAATTAAGATACACCCAAGCTTCAAATATTGCAGACCATCGTCGCCGTCGCCGTTCAAACGTCGGTAAATAAATATTGTATGCCAAAATCTATAGTCATGTGCCCCTGAATCTCTTCATAAGCAAGCCATGCAATTAGTCTAATTCCAGAAGAGGAATTAATCGGCAGACATGTTTGATTGAACGAGCACTTACATCATAACAAAATAACAAAAACTAAACGTAGTTAACTAAGTTTTTTTTTATGTTTTGGTTATCTCTCTCTTATTTTGGTTATTATAATTATGTCATGTAAGATTTTTGTAACTGCTCGATGCATAACGACTTTTTTAGTTTTACTATTCTTGAGGTTTTTTTTTTTGGTGGCTTTTAGTGAAAGTTTTTTCATTCTTGTTTTGTGATCTTTATTTTATTTTGATTATTAAAATTTTATCATTTGTAATTTGTCCCTATCCTTGTGTAGAATTAGTTTTTTAGTTTTATTATTTCTAATTTATTTTTTTTAATGAAAGTTTTCTTTTTTGTTTTGGTCTTCGTTATGTTTTAAATTCTTATAGAGAAAATTTATCCAATTTTTTTTTTTTTAATAATCTATTTTGTACTATATTAAAATGTCTTATTGCCACCATCATATGGGTTGTTAGAACTCTCTATTTTATATGGATGAACAAACAAGAAGGTTAATGGCTCATTTCAAAAATATATGCTAGTTTTAAGCTAATCTTTCAATGTTTTTGTCATGTGATATGCTCATATTTTTTATTTATCAATTTTATATGATGAGATTAATTTGGTCAAGAATATCCTTCATCTCATGTCTTTTTTATATATATATATATATTTAATTGTCTCCAAATACATGTCTCTTATAAAAAAATAATTATTTTAACTTATATGTTTTGTCCTTTATTAAAATTAAAAGTCATTAAGTTCTTCCAAACACATATAATGTATAAAAAAATGTTGCAAATATAAAGAAAATTAAAGGATTGACGTAATATTTAGTAACTTTTTTGAATAATCTATCTAAAATTACAATTTGAGTACTTAATTTTAGTTTTTTTCTCTGTTTGAGTGTTTACAGTTAAAAAATATTGATATGTTTGAGATGAACTGCAAAATAATATTTCTCTGTCTTAGTTGGGATCCACCGATATAACGGTTTTTAATTGACATGAGCAACAAGTGGATACCATTCAAATAGCCGAGAAAAAAATAAAAATAAAAAATTTTTATAAAAAATAGTTGGCAATAACTAAAAAAAATATATATATCAATACCAATTATTGTTATCCGATTGAATCTTTTTTTTTTTTTTTTGTGCCTAATCTAAGAATTTTAACATTTGATCATCTAAATAATTCAAGTTCATTTCGCTAAAAATAATTGATTTTGGCTTTTTTTTAAAAAAATTTTTGCTAACTATTTTCTTTTATAAGAGTTTATATTTTTTTTCTCAATAAATCTGAGTGGTATCTACTTTCTTTCATGTATCTATTAAAAACTGTTGCACTCTCAAATGATTGAAGGAACTTGAGTAGAAAAAAATTAAACCTTAGGCACTAAAATAGAAAATTAACCAAAGATTAGGCACTTATATGGTATTTTTTTTTCTAAATAATCAAAATAAGACCTTATTTTTTTTTCATGTTTCATTTAAAAACTGTCACGTAATAGTTCATCCCGAACATATCGGTGTTTTTTAACTCGAGGTGATCGTGGACACTCAAACAAAAAAATAAAAAATTAAATACTTAGATAAAATAATTTACCAATTAGATACTCATGGTCTTATTTTATAAAATTTAATTAATTGAATTGCCAGCTGCTATATCTCTAGGTAGTAAAACTAATATTTTAATTGATGAAACAACTAGTCGAAAATAAAAATCCTACAAAAGGAAGTTTTTAATGCAATAAGTAAACAATAACCGAAGGTCAGTGTGTCAGTAATTAAAATAACCTGAGTATACACTTTTCTTTTCGAGTGCAATCCCAAAGAAAGAATTTGTGGAATTTTTACCCATTACAATAAGACAAAACCTGAACTTGATCACGATTAAAAAAAAAATCAATATTAGACTCATCAAAAGTATGAAATAAAATTATTATTAGATAATCACTGGAATATCAACTAAAACATATTTTATCTAAAAAATTCAAAAATTTATTTTTAAATATCTCAAACCCAAAATAATAGTGTTCTTACCAAAATACTCCATAATTAATATTTTGGTAAGAAAAATATTTTTTTGGGTTTGAGAAATTTAAAAATAATTTGTTGGATTTTTCGAAGTTTTTTCTAATTTATATTTTTTTAAAACACTCAATTAGGTTTAAAAGTGAAAATTGAAGAAAAATACAAACGAATCTTCTCGTCAAAAAATCTCAAGTCCGTGTTTTCTTTAATTTTCACGCTTAAAACCTAATTATTATTATTATTTTTTTTTTGAACAACAAGCCTTACTAAGTTTAGTTCGAGATTTTATAACTAAAAATATATATTTTTTAATTCCTTGTTAAAATTTAATATAATAGAATAATTTACATAGAAAGTTCGTTAGAATAAAAGATGAAAAAAACATAATTTAATGTTCGAAGACATTATCCATCAATGAATAAATTGACGAAAGTATTGGATTGATATTTTTGAAAAAATTGATATATTTAATATGAAAAAATTAAAGTTCATGTACTCCTCTAAAAAAAAAAGATAAAACAAAATCTATGAAAATATTTAATTGATAGTTTTTAAAAAATAAATATGCTCAAATAAAAAAATTAAAATTTATTTACTTGGTTGAGAAAAAGTTAAATATTAATATGATTATATTATAATTATCCCCTAGCAATTTAACTTTCCAACAATCAACATAACAGATAAAAGCGTTCTTCTATGCTTCAAAAAGTTATTAAATAGATATAAGTTATCACATCACTCATAATACAAAATAGAGAAAATCATTTAGAGTGCATCTATCTATTATTAGATTTCATTTTCAAAATAAAAAAACAGAAGATCCCCCATTTGGCTCGGGTCTGTTTGGAAGAAACAAAAAAGAAAAAGAAAAAAAGGTTCATGTAGAAGCCACGTCAGTTAATAAAGACTCTTACAGCTCACTCACTCTAGCTTCCTACTATCCTTCCACAGTCCACACCCACCAAGAATTCCCAACCTTTCTTCCACCCAAGCCCCAATCAAAACACCCACCAAGGCTTCTACTCTCTCTATTCCCTCCTCCAAGCTCCACCACCATCTCACCCCCTTCACAATGCCTTAATCCCCAACCTCTCACCACAACCACAACCACCACCACCACCACTATCTCCGCCAAATGGGAACTTGCACTTCAAAACCGTCCAAACCCAACCCTTATGCTTCAACAGACGTCAATCCTCCACCCCAAACCCCAGCACAAAATGACCACCCTACCATCCAAACTCGAACTCCAAAAACCCCAGTCACACCCTTCCCCACCTCCAAAGCTTCCCCTTTCTTCCCTTTCTACTCTCCTAGCCCTTTCAAAAAAACACCTTTCAACTCCACCACCTCCACTCCTCTTCGCTTTTTCAAGAAATCCTTTGCTCCCCCTCGCCCGCGAAGCACATTAAAGCTGTGCTCCGCAGGCAAAACAAGAAGAAGAAAAATAGTGGGGCAGAACCAAATGCCGAAGAGGATGATGAAAATGAAGAAGCAGTGGAGTTGGATAAAAGGTTTGGTTTTTCAAAAGAGTTAACTAGTAGATTGGAAGTTGGAGACGAAGTGGGGAGAGGACATTTTGGCTACACTTGTTCTGCTAAGTTGAAGAAAGGTGAAAGAAAAGGTCAGCAAGTTGCTGTTAAAATCATACCCAAATCAAAGGTTGGAATTTAACTTAGATGTTTGTGTTTGCATTCGTTTATGTGGATCTTCTTGTTTGCTAGTTTGTTTGTGTTTGTGGATTTGTTATTTTCTGTTATATATATTTTTTAAAATTCAATAGCTGTTAATTGTTGAAGTTGTTTTGCAGGTGGTTTTAGATTTTGGGTGGTTCTTTTTTAAGTTATCTAGCTAGTTTTGAAGTTCGAATCTTGAATCTGTAGGCACTTGTGATTGTTTTTGTTATTATGTCGTTTTCTGTTGTTTACTATTTTATAATTTCAGTGCGAGTTAAAAAAAGAAAGATAAATAACCTCAATTTGGACGGATTAAAGGAGGATAATTTCTAAGATACTGCTTGGAATCTTCTGAAGGGCGAATTTTGAAAGTAGATTTAAATGGATGTGAGTTGACTGATTGGAGTTTTGAGAGTGATAGGCATAACAAGTGACCGATTTGTTTATTTGTTTGTTCTGGTCAATGTTACTGTATTTAGCACTTCTTATTGTGGGCATTTTAGGTTCGTAAAATAACTATTTGGGCCCAGAATGTGCGATTTTGCACAACAATCTTTTTGTATGTGGAGGTCATCAAAGTGCGGGAGATGATACCATACTCCAAAAAGTTTAACCACATTCCGCTATTTTGATAAAAAATAAGAAATAAAGGTCAGTAACTGGGAGCGTGGTTAAACATTTTTTGTGTGTTAATAACATCTCTTGCTAAGTGCCTATAGACTAAAAAGGAGTGGAACAACTATTGAATTTTCCTGAATATGTGTTTAGATAATTCTCTTTTCACATCTGATATTTGACTATTGCTGCTTTGCTTCAGTAAAAATAGGCAAATATAAAAAATTATGCAAATAGTTCGAAGGTTGTGAGGGGATCTAATTGCTGAGAAGTATCATTGTCTCAAAGGGGATCTTCGTTTTTTCTCTTTTGTGTTGCTTTAGATTTCGGGTTTTGAAGTTAGAATTTTGAATTTTTGGCCTCCAATCAAATTGATGACTTGTACAGACGGTGAACTTCTGCTCACCAATTGCTTATGCTTAAGAACAGGCTGGAATGGAAAAAGATTGTAGTCTGATCGTTCTCCACTATGAGTCCTAAACATGTTGTTGGGATTATAAACTCTCCATTGAACAGCTGACCCATCAATTTACAATACTTCTCTTCAAAAAAGAGAAATATTGAATTTCCTATTGGACTTATTTTGTGACATTTCTATTTTAGTGTCCAATCCACTAAGTTTTCTGCAGTCACAACGTTTCCTGCAAACATGAAATTATGAAACCTGTTTGGCCATTGTAAACATATTTTGGAAGACCGGTAGGATTTTATACTTTATCCTGTAGGGTTTTTGTGGTAGTTAGTATCCTGCTATTGGTTCAAAAATTAAAAGGACTGTATTTATCAATATGTTTATTTAAACCTTATTTTTTTAGAGAAAAAAACCATTAAAATATGAGAGTTTAAAGTTTCTGAATTGACATGGTGAAATATTTTGATATTGCTTGTTTATGGTTTAATTCTTACAGCATATTATCTCACTTTGATCACTTCAATACTGCCAGATGACAACAGCTATTGCAGTTGAGGATGTCAGGAGGGAAGTCAGGATATTGAGGGATTTGACAGGACATAACAATTTAGTACACTTCTATGATGCATTTGAAGATCTGGACAATGTCTACATAGTGATGGAGTAAGTGGAATATGCACAACAACTCAAATATAAAATTATGTGTCTTTTTTCTTCTATAAACATATTGGTAACTAATTGTGTTGGGGCCGCATCTTCTGGACAATCTATGCGAGGACCATTAAGATGCTTGGTTTTCCTGAGTCAAAATGCTGTGCTGTACTCAATTGATGATATGTTTTATTGGTATGCTTAATTTTTTACGAACATGAATAGGTATGATAACAAATCAATGAGAGAATTGCTTACTGTTTGCATGAATGCTTCCTAAAAGTTGATTAGTGGATACGGATATTTCAGGCTATGCGAAGGAGGGGAGCTCCTAGATAGGATACTTTCAAGGTGATTCTTAATCAGATGATATATCAAACTCTGAATTGCATTTGAGGTTTTCCTATGTTCCTAATTGTAGCTTCTAACTAGGTACTCTGTTACCATTTTAGGGGTGGGAAATACTCAGAAGATGATGCGAAGGCCGTTATGGTGCAGATACTAAATGTTGTTGCTTTTTGTCATCTACAGGGTGTGGTGCACCGAGATCTAAAACCAGAGGTGGAACATATTTATACTCCTTTTCTTCTCTTTCTTTTTATTGGGAGAATCGTATGAATGCTGAAAATACGTTTACCCCTTCAAACACAATGGTTTGTAGGAAATTCAGATGTGGATAGAGTCAACTTTTTGAGATTTTTGTAGAATGTGAAGTGACCTGATGAGTTGATGTTTGAAAAGGGAGGAATGGACTGGTGGTCTTGTCTCCTTTGCAGCATCTAGTTCTGGGCAAGAATGACTTGAGATCCATTGCACTCTTTTCCATGCATGCACATGTTGTTTCTTCATGGTTGCCTTTGCTTAAACAAAGCATCACCTCACTCTCGTGGGCTAGTTTTTGGGGTTCCCCACATGTGTCCTAATTTATTAAGCTAAAAAAGAAAAAAGCAAACATAATTGATGCATAGCATTTCTTATGTGAGATCATTTTGCTTGCCATATCATATATTTTCTAAGAATTATAGTGCATGATTGCTTTGTGCCATCTTTATTTATGTTCCTCTTGCATAATCTAAATTCATCCATTCACTTGGTCAGAACTTTCTATATACTTCTAAGGAGGAGAACTCTCAGCTGAAAGTTATAGACTTTGGCTTATCAGATTTTGCCAGACCAGGTTTTTCTATTTGCCTGAATTTCATCTTACTTGATCTTGAGGGTTTGGATTGGTGTTTGATGCCTTTGGCGGTTTGCAGATGAAAGACTTAATGACATCGTGGGAAGTGCATACTATGTGGCACCTGAAGTTCTACATAGATCTTACAGCACTGAGGCTGATGTATGGAGCATAGGTGTGATAGCATATATTCTTTTGTGTGGTAGTCGTCCATTTTGGGCCCGGACCGAGTCTGGAATTTTCCGGGCTGTCTTGAAAGCTGATCCCAGTTTTGATGAAGCACCTTGGCCCGCATTATCTCTAGAAGCAAAAGACTTTGTTAAACGCCTATTAAACAAGGATCCAAGGAAACGAATTACTGCTGCCCAGGCTTTGAGTTAGTGCTTCATTTTCTTTCTTATAGTTAGGTCTTTACCAAATCACCGTCAATCACCGTTCATGAACTTTTTGTTTGCAGGTCATCCTTGGATCCGGGATTATAATGATGTAAAAGTACCTCTTGATATTTTAATATTCAAGCATATGAAGGCATACATGCGGTCATCATCTTTGCGTAAGGCTGCTTTAAGGGTGTGTATTCGTTTATGTTGATAAATAACCACAGAAAGAAAACCTGTTTATGGTGATAAATAACCACAGAAAGAAAACCTATAACTTATAAATAATCTAAGATCCACTTTTTCTTGATGTCCTCTCTTTTGTGTTGACTCCATATTCAAACTGATTGAAGGCTTTTGTTCAAATGAAATTCCAGTAAAACCTTAGCGGACTATCTTTAATTTATTTGAGTTCTCTGGCAATTATAAGCAGTAAGCTTTGTCACTTGCCTTCTAATGAGCTTTAAACTGGTTTGTTTTGGTATCCGTTGCAGGCATTGTCTAAGACATTGAATGTGGACGAACTATTTTATCTGAAGGAGCAGTTTGCATTGCTGGAGCCAAACAAAAGTAGCAGCATAACCTTGGAAAACCTTAGGATGGTTGGTATCCTCCTGTTCTCTTTCATATTGAGATAGCATGAGTTTATAGTGAAAAGCTTTCTGCCACTCATTGTTTTATTTTATTGCAGGCCTTGACGAAAAATGCAACAAACGCAATGAAGGATTCTCGCATCCCTGATTTTCTTGCCTCGGTAAATGCTAACAGTTTGTAAAGTTGCATGACTTTATATGTTTATGTGCTTGTAGTTAGACATGTACCCGGGTCTTAATTTCCATTTCATGACAGCTAAATCCACTTCAATACAGAAGAATGGATTTTGAGGAATTTTGTGCAGCTGCATTGAATGTCCATCAGCTGGAGGCACTTGATCAATGGAAACAGCTAGCCCGTTCTGCATATGAGCTTTTTGAGAAGGATGGAAACAGGGCGATTGTAATTGAGGAGCTTGCTTCAGTAAGTTAGAATTCTAAAATGTTGGAGAATGCCTAACTATTCATGATATTCTTTATGGCGACTGCTTGCCTAGAGCACAAAAGTAAAAACTCAACAAACTTAATATCTCATGAGCCAATATTCGGACATATCAATCTTTAGCTCTTAAAATGTCTAAAATGTGATAGATTTGGATAACATATTTCTTGACTGGCCTATCAATGAACGACTACCGTTTCTTGTGTAAGCAGTCTCTTCTACTTGATAACTAATAAGAAGAAATTAAGGAGTTAAAGCAGAGTAAGTTCACCTCAGTTCCCCTCCTCTATGCGGTCTCTTTTAGTTTGTTTAAATACTCAATTCTTTCAAATTTATTTGCAGCTCACATCACACTATGCATGGCATAATTATCAGCATTTTAATAGTACTCGATTGAATTTGCTAACTGTCAGGGCTATTTGAACTAGTAAATTTATCCTGTTGGAATTGACAAGCCTACTGAGACATGCAACTAAGTCGCTTATTAACCTTCTGACAAACATTTGCAATTTGCAGTTATTTTGGAATACAAGTATACAACTAGACTTTTCCCCATGCTAAGTTTTCCCAAATTGTTGTTTCAGGAACTTGGGCTTGGCCCCTCCATTCCAGTTCATGCTGTTCTCAATGACTGGATAAGACATACTGATGGGAAGCTAAGCTTCCATGGGTTTGTCAAGTTGTTGCATGGTACATCCAACCGAACCATTGCAAAGGCACAGTGAAGAGTTAATGTAGTTCTGCCAGCTGTGCTGATTATTCTTTGCTTCTAGGGCAAAAAAGGAAAAGGAAAAACAAAAGCTTGATACAAGAACTAAGATGCACTTCAACTACTCATCAATAGCTGAAGATCTGGAGCTTTGTTGAGCATATCTTCAAGAGCACAATTCCTGCATATTACAAACCTTGACCCTCATTCCATTTCCGAGGAGTGTCATTGTGGTAAAGATATAGTTTAGGTTTTGCCCAAATAGGCAAAGAAATTTTCTTTTTCCCATTATAAACGCTTCACATGACTTAAATCTTGTTCCTAAATATTGCAGTTAATTAATACATGGTTGTGTTTATTTAGCCCTCAACTTTGCTTCTTTTATGGATTTTCAATTATGAGTTCAAACTAGCACATAATCCTGGCGCACAGAGATAAATTCAAACGACTAACTAATCTTCATCTAGGGATATCCAATATCTATAATATCTGTAATTTCTTTACTTAGTAGCATAGGACTTCTGGAAACGTCAATAGGAAATTTTACTAATTCTCTAAACACCACAACTGAGTTCAAAGTTTCAGTAAGACAGAAATCCAAAAAATCTTTCAATAAGCCAAAATACAAAAAGTTTCTTGCACTTAAATATATAATTGGTGAAGTTCGTACCTTCATAACATCCATTGGAGAAATAAAGCTAGGAATGTGAGTGATTGCTTGTTCCAACGTGTCAACAATTGCTTGTCGGAATGACTTGATGCCGTTAGTAAAACGAGTTAAGAGTCCTGAATCTCACAAGTTTTCTTTGTACTCTAGTTGACCTTCTCTAAGCTTGCTGATGTCCCCAACTTCGAGTCCAAGTCTCAACATACCCATCATACAGGGAACCTATATCTTTGAATACTAGCCCGGTTCTTCTTGTCCTTCCAGGCCAGGAAGACTGAAAGTAGAGGTTCAGGAATGGCTCGCAAGGTCAATGTGGAATCAAGTTCGGACGGCAGGGAAATTTGTCGACATTGCTCTTTATGGATGCTAAAAGCACAGATCTGTTCAGGAAAAAAATTGGTGTATGCAACAAACCAGTACATAACTCCATTTAAAGTGACCAAGAATTCATTATCATAATATGAACGTGGAACAAATCCTGTCCTTCTCCATGTTTGGTGTCCTAAAGTAAATATTCCACACCATATGATCTTGCCTTTTCCATAATACGTAAAACCTTACACTGGTTTGTCTTCACACAATATCCAATTAAATCCACACGCCTTGTACACGTACTTTTTTTCTTCAGCTTTTTGGAGAACAACAAACCCTCTTCGGATTGGATTGCGTATGTAAAAACGTATCAGGACTGAACTTCTCATAAAAACAAGGCAATCCATTGCATGAACCCACTAAAGGTAACAACCTTGCAAGGAGATTACTATGGTCGTGCCACATATCCATGTTTATTTTATAAATGCTTTGAGGAATTGTTACCAACAACCTATATATAGCGATCTGCTGTAAACTTACTTGTACGATCATACAATTTGCAAGGAATGAAAAGCACAGGGTTTTGATTTGAAGAAGACCTTGTTAGATGCATGTTGACAAAACGAGATTGGCCGAAGATTAGATAGTACCAAACCTTGCAAAGATGTCCTTAGATGGGCAGTCGTAGAATAATATCAGTAATGATCTCCAGTGGTATTTCTGCTACTGCCTTCTGTCTCTCTTGCCCATCGTCGCCAATTAGAGTAGGAATTTAATAGGTAGGGTTGAAAATTCGACCGAATCAAGAATATTTATACAGAAATATAGCTATAATCTGATTTCAAAACAATGGAGTGCTATGTCCCTTTTAGTTTTTCCAGAAGATTACAGTGAAAAGTTTTCTTGTAGTTATAGACTTTAAGTAGAAGGGTAGGACTAGGAGTCCTTATTTAATGATAATTGCTGCATTTTTTTTTTTTTAAGAAAAACGTGTAATGTAATGGTAGAAAATAAAATAAGAAAAAAAATTACTATATATAATTTCATTATTTGGAATTCCAAAATCCTTAATTTCTTACCTAATAATATATGTGATAACTTAATCAATTCTATAATTTTAATTTTGATACCAATGAGATGAGATGCAGTAAAAAAGAAGAAGAACAAAAAACTAGGTTTTTCTCTAAGCTGTTCTAGTATTTTTTGTTTATGTTTTATTTTTGTAGTAATTATTATACAATGAATTCATAATCATCATCTATCTTTATGTATTAAGATTAATATTCAAATTGTTTTTATATATATTAAAATGAGTCAATTATATTATTATATTTTAATTTTTTTGGTGAGTTTTTTCCATTAAATCATTGAAAAAAAATCATATAACTTGTACGTGATTAATTTTTGTTGAAAAAATACTCTTAAAAAATGACTTGCACGTGTTGACCTTAGGGTTATTTTTGAAAATAAATTTAGTCACATGAAAGCTAGTCTGATGGTTTGATTTGAAAAATTAAAAAAAAAAAATTTAAAATATTCAATTAAAATATTGATATATAATTAACTCATTTTAAGATCTAGAAAATAAAATTAGACACAGAGCGGTTCAATATCCTTTATCATTAAGTCATACGTACAAAAATCTAAACAGATTACAACAGGAAGTCACTAATCAGACTACACGTCGTTCATAAAAAAGGAGAAAACAGAAAACGAAAACAACCCTCTCTTAAACCCTTCTGTTAAAAATCAGAGCTCCCCCAATATTCCTCTCCCTGGTTCTTCTCTTGACTCACTCTCCGCAAAACCCTAAATTCTGCAGATTCCCAAAATGCGAATGCCCCTCCCAAGATTCCTAATTTACCGTTCTTTGTCTAGTCTCTCCTCACCCGCAGATGCTCTTTTAGCAGAAAAGGCACTAACCCTCCTCAAACGCGATCCATACCTCTTAACTTCTGTGTCTTCCAAAATTACCCCTGAATTAGCTTCATATTTACTTCTTCAAACCCAAAATGATCGAACCCTAATCCTAAACTTCGTTAACTTTGCTAAACCCCGCCAATTCTTTAATCCTCACTGTAAATGCATTGCCCTTCACATTTTAACCAAATTCAAGACCTATAAAACAGCTAATCGTTTAGCTCAGGACTTGGCTGTAAATACAGTTGATGAGAAGGGTGATTATATCTTTCAATGTCTTAAAGATACTTACTTTATGTGTAATTCAAGCTCTGCTGTTTTTGATTTAGTGGTACAATCTTATTCTGAATTGAATTTTTTTGAAAAAGCTTTCAGAATTGTTAATTTAGCTAAGTTAAATGGGTTTATGCCTGGTATTTTGTCGTATAATGCGATTTTGGATTCGATAATTAGGTGTAGAAAACCGCTTCGGTTTGCTGAGGAAGTGTACAGGGAAATGATTACAAGTGGGGTTTCTTTGAATGTGTTTAGTTATAATATTTTGATTAGGGGTTTTTGTGCGGCAGGGAATTTGGAAATGGGGTTGAGTTTTTTTGAGAAAATGGAAAGAAACGGGTGTTTGCCGAATGTGGTTACATATAATACAGTAATTGGTGCGTATTGTAAGCTGAAGAGGATCGATGAGGCGTTTAAATTGATAAAGTTGATGGGGTTGAAACGTTTGGAGCCAAACTTGATTACGTATAATATGGTCATTAATGGGTTTTGTAGAGAAGGGAGGATGGAGGAGACTACTAGGTTTATTGCAGAGATGGATCGTAACGGTTTTGCTCCTAATGAAGTGACATATAATACACTTTTGAATGGGTATTGCAAAGTGGGTAATTTTCACCAAGCGCTTGTTTTGCATGCAGAGATGTTGAGGAAGGGATTGTCCCCTGATGTTTTTACATATACTTCGTTGATTAATACTATGTGTAAGGCTGGGAATTTGACCCGAGCAATGGAGTTTTTTGATCAGATGCATGTTAGAGGTCTTCATCCAAATGGAATAACATACACGTCATTGATCAATGGGTTTTCACAAAAGGGACTCATGCACGAGGCTTACTGTATTAGGGATGAAATGATTCGGAGTGGATTCCAGCCCTCAATTGTAACTTATAATGCCCTTTTAAAGGGACATTGTGTTTCGGGAAGGATGGAAGAGGCCATAGAATTGTTACGAGACATGGAGGGGAAAGGGTTGTCCCCAAATGTTGTAAGCTATAGTACTATCATAACTGGATTGTCTCGATATCAAGAGTTGGACCGGGCATTTCAAATGAAGGCAGAGATGGTTGAGAAGGGTGTTTCACCAGATGCCATTACCTTCTCGGTGCTTATCCAAGGTCTCTGTGAGCAGAGAAGACTGAATGAAGCTTGTGATCTGTTCCAAGAAATGTTGAATAAGAGTGTGCCTCCTGATGAATTCACTTACACAAGCTTGATTAATGCTTATTGTAAAGAAGGAGATTTGAGCAAGGCTCTTAATTTGCATAATGAAATGATAAAAAAAGGCTTTCTTCCTGATACAGTCACCTACAATGTGCTTCTTAATGGACTTAACAAACAAGCTCGGACAATTGAGGCAAAGAGGCTCCTGCTTAAGTTGTTTTATGACGAGTCTATCCCAAATGGCATAACGTATGATACACTGATAGAAAGCTGCAGTAATATTGAATTTAAGAGTGCCGCTGCTCTCATAAAAGGATTCTGTATGAAGGGTTTGATGAAGGAAGCAGATCGAGTTTTTGAATCCATGAGTAATAGAAACCAGAAGCCGAATGAAGCAGTTTATAATGTCATTATACATGGTCATTGCAGAGATGGTGGAAATGTTCAGAAGGCATATAAACTATACAAGGAAATGGATGATTTTGGTTTTGTTCCTCATACTGTGACCGTCATTGCTCTGGTTAAAGCACTTCACCATGAAGGGATGGACGAGCAGTTGAATCTAGTTATAGGGAACATTTTGCGAAGCTGCAAGCTTTCTGATGCAGAGCTTTCTAAAGTGCTTGTTGAAATCAACCATAAAGAAGGGAACATACATGCAGTTTTTAATTTGCTTACTGAAATGGCCAAGGATGGCTTTCTTCCGAGTGGTGCTACACCTGCCAATGCTGGCCAGTAGACTTCTTGATGGATAATTCATTCTATCTTCTGTCAATGTTCATTGGACATACGTTGTTCTGTCAAGGGCCTGATGAAGGAAGCTGAATGTCAATTTCTTTGCTTTTGCTTTTCTGGTACCTCAAGATGCTAAGGAGGTCTGTTTCACATTTCTTCTATCCTCTTATTTTCTTGCTAATTGTTCACAAGAATAGCAGATAAAACTACGATGACAAACTGTGCAGTAACACTCAAAAATTTTTTCTTCATATTATGCATGTGTATGCTTGAGTATGTTTTAATTTCATTTTTTAAAACATGTGATTGATATCTTTTAATTGGTTTTATTATGAGAGGTGTTTTAGATTAAACATGTTTTGAGATTACAAAAATAACTAGAGTTAGTTACGTTTGATTCAATTTATTAAGGGAGAGGAATCAAAGTAATAGTATTTTTTAATCTCAAATGGAAGTGTATAAGCAAGGACGAAGTGAGTTTTGAGGTAAACGCGAAAAAAGAAAAAGCAAAATATGGCAGCCTGTATTTAAAAAAGGGGCAGCCCATTTTTCTCCATTTCCTTCATTCTCTTCTCCTTCACTTCTCGCCCATAGGTTTCCCTTTACTTCCCCAACTTCCTCCTCTATTTTTATGCTAAATTCTCGACCAAATGCCCTAGAAAACTATGAAAACAAAATGATTAGAGTAACATTTAGCTAGATTAAAGATTGGGAGGCTTGGAGGGATTGAAGGTGGGGTTTGAAGACCCATTTGACAAGTGTAAGAGTTTTGCTCTGTAGCTTTAAATTTAAGATGTTTATGTGTTTATTGATTATTTTTTAGTATTGATTATCTTTTGAGTTATTTTATATTGGGTTTGTCATTGATTAAAGATTGAGATAGGTCAGGGTTAACGGGTTTGGGTTTGAGTTTGAGTTGAATTTGGGAATTATGATTAAATAATTATTTATACTAATTGATGCTTGAAATGAGATAATGGTGGTGTAAAGTTGATTATTGGACTATGGGTTTAAGAAATTCCCAAATGGGTTGAGATGATGAATTGTAAAGACAAGTGGTGTAAAAGTTTAATTAAAAAGACATTTAGGGAAAATGAAGAATTATGTTATTGGAACACAATTAAAGATGAATGAAAGGAGAGTTGAGTGAATTAGAATAGAATTAATGATTTAATTGAGAATTGATGATGAAATTAGGGTTCAATCGATGAAAATGAATGTTAATTGATAATAAAACACAATTGGATAAGTATATATGTAATTACTGGACAATTATCGCATCAAATATTCTAGGACAGAAATTATAAGAAAGAACAAATATTAATGAAATTAAATGTTAAGAATTATATGATGAATTGCAATTTCTTAAGTAATATGATGTGTATGTTGAATCGAGGTACTGACTGTTAGAAAAAGGTTACTGTTAAGCGAATCAGACAAGTATAATTCACTTACACCATGAACGTAAATGTTACGTGTTTAATGTGAATGATGTGATGTAATTGATCATGAGGTGCATTCATATGCACATATGTGTTTTAAATGTTGACTGTGATGAAATAAAATGTTTTAAATAAATGAATAAGGTGCGTATATAAATGACGTTTTATGATAGAAAATATTTTAATGCATGTTAAGGTTAATGTTAAGAGATAAAAGGTAATCATTGAGGTTAAATGTTGAGGTTGCTTATTGAGGCTTAAATGTTGAGGTTTAAAGGTTGAGGTTTGATTGTTAAACGTCGAGGTTAATGTGACTGCATGTTTTCATTAAGGCTAGACTTTACTAACTTAGTGGCCATAGTGAGGCAACTTACCCACAAAGAAAAAGTCAAACTTAAGGGCTATGGTGCATTAGGTTGGCATCTCCTAGCAGGCTTGAATAAGGGAAAGTATTTTAAAAGACATTCATGTAATGAAAGTTTTTATTGTAAAATCATTCATGTTACACGTATTGAGATATTCGCATCTCACACTTGTTTTGTGGTGTTGGTATCAATGCAAATGTTGAGGATGTTGATGTTGCTTTCGGTGGCCAATGACTCATGTGATTGTCTTTGAGTATCTCTAAAGGAATAATGAATGTGTTATCTTTTGATGAATGGATGTGATTTTATGAATATTTGATTAAGGTTTATGAATGTTTTTACAAATATTAGGTATAAGAATATTAAGTTTCCAAATGTTGATAATTATTGCTTAGTAACTGAATATGAATAGTAAGCTGAGGTTATTTAGAAATGTTGAACAATGATGAAGGGTGTTTTTAGAATTTAAGAATGAATTATGGTAATGATATTGAGATAAATTATGGATGAAATTTTAACAAAATGCTTCTGCTATATTAATGAGATGATCATGTGGTTGCATTATTGATAACAAGTTTTAATTAATATGTTTAATAATGAATAAGATTAAATTAAGGCCAAAGTTTAAGGATATATGTTTTAGTAGTGATCCATCTGCCTATGACCCTTCAGGTAAGGTGTCTCGGGCAACAAGTATTACAGTGCCTACTGTTGCATGTAATCTACTCCATAATATAAGGCAACACAAATCTTCTGCATTTAGTTCGAACTTTCTTTTGCGTGCTTGTGTTGCTCATAATATTGCATACAGAAGAACATGTCGGAGGTTGTGTCTCTTATTCAATCTACTCTGATCTTTGCGCATTACAATCCACCTCAGCATCACATTCATGATACAATCTTACATTCACAATGAACACTTTTGCTTCTCTGCTTCATAAACCTCGAACAACAACTGCATGGCAGTGCCAAAAGTATTCCCACGGATTCGAAACCTTGATTTGGATGGACTTGGAATTGGCTATACAGCTCTCTGGAGATCATTTGTTTACCATTATCTGTTAAAACGTTTTCTCAACCACTTGCGTCAACTCCTGAAGATGGTCTTTCCTTACCAGTCACCATGTCCCATGAAGTTGGGTTTCCCACACGGGAACCAGGTTGGGTTCTCTCTCTCTCTCTCTCTGTTTAGTTCTTTTATTTGAGGAGTTTGTTTGGCAGTGAACATTTACTTATATTTTTTTCTTTGTTGTGGCCCGTGTTCAAATTATGGGGCTTGTGATTCAGCGGAAGGAAGTGGGGATCAAACTTTTGCCGTGGAATGGTTACTATGACATCCAACCATGAGGTGAAAAAAATACAGCACCACAGTTTTGGTGTCTAATTAATATATATACCACGTTACAGTGGAGAGATTTTCGAAGCTCCCGAGTCCTGTTCCTTTGGATCAAGCAAAGCTGAACAGTCCCCCAACGCCCCTGGCATTTCAACCATTGGTTACTATATTTTTGCTGGTCTATGGTTCGAAGAATCGTTGGCCAGATCGAAGGAGATGCAGACGCCGTAGCTGACATTCTTCTTGCGACGCCTTGCTGGCATTCTTCGAAGCTTTTCTCCTTCCGCAATTGGGCCATCTAGTTCAACGCCTCAAAGTGGCGAGATTTTCCTCCAAATTTCATGTAGACAATACTCAAATAATTTAATTTTTGTTTGTACTTAATACCATGCTTAACGCCAATAGTTACAGATCTGAGAATTGCACCCTTTAACTTTACATTCTTAGAATTGTGATATTAGCTATGGAAAGGAATTACTAGGATTTGGTGCATATATGTAATATCCCAGTGGTTGCAATGTTAGCTTTATAGGTCCACGTTAGCGATCCTGTTCTGATAGAGTAAAACCAGAATTTTATGGTCCACGTTGTGAAGAATAAACTAAGAATGAAAACAGTTTAAAGCGTCAAGAGAGTCCAAAACAATTGCTACGCTACTGGAATCATCGGTCATATCATTCAACTCCAGTTAGACAGTAGTTGCAGAGCTTGACACCAAAGCAAAAGGGCCATCATCTGCTGCTGCAGACTCACAGCATCTCCATCTGAAAACTCAGATGGCTATCTAGGTTTTGGGCCAAGCCTCAAATGGCAGAAAAAAGCTACCGCAATGATAAATGTCAGCACATCAATGAAGCATCTATGAGGAAGGCATTGGTTAATTCAGATCACGAATTTGCAAAAACATATTCCCCTAGACAACATCAAGGATGTATAGCCAGGCACACGCATAGGATTAATATAGGAAAGGAAGCCAGACATGAGAGAAGATAGATTCAATTTGTGAAGCATCAACGCATGTACCGATTAAGTACTGATACCTCCAACTAAGGTTATCCGACTTCTCTCTGATTAGAGAATTCGATTTCCAAGTTAGCTCACTCAATAAAGTACAGAAAATTGATTACATATGAAGTTTACTGATGCAGAAAACCTACATCTAAAACGTTCCAAAAGAGGCCAAATAAGTAAGCAGAAGAAAACCCAAATATCATGTAAACTGTGTTAGAATTACCATAGAATTTATTCTCAGAAGCGAAGGCTCAAAAACAGATTCTCATAAGAGCATAAATCTATCTTGAAGAAAGTCTCTGGTGCAAATCGTCAGCCAGTGCCTGCCTCAGGCTATCTCCAAAATAATGAAAAGACTTCTCATTCTCAAGCACTCTTGCTGGAACACCACCCTCATCTGGATCCTTCCAAGTCTCCGGCTCTGGCTCCCTTGCAATTTGGCACAAGTTATGCAACACACAGCAAGCAACAATTGTCTGTGGTGCATGATTAAGACCTACATTCAAATCGCGCAAAATCTTCCACCTTCCCTTCAACAATGCAATAGCATCCACCACTACCGACCTCCCCTTCATCAACATCCCATCAAACAAATTCTGTGCAGGAGTCCCTGACCCATTCGGCGAAAAGGGTGTCATAAGAAATGACAACAACGGATAACACCAGTCACCAACTATATACGGCCTAACATGATGACCCCTGACATTAATCACCTTATCCCACACAACATCACCCGAAACAAGCCTATTATACAACAAACTCTCTCTCAAATGACTAGCATCATCACTACCACCTGGCGCCTTCACACACACATCCCAAAACACCTTCTTATGATCTGCCACAACCTGCAACAAAACTGACGAATACCCATATCGGCATTTATACATATTCCCCCCAATATCCCCACATTTCACCTTAATTGGACTCCCATCAATAGCACCACACATATTAGGCAAAGAAGTCAACTCCTCAAATGCCTGTGTAGTCTCAATCAACCTACGTCTACTAACTGGAATCTTAATAAATTCAGGGTAAAGCTTAGTAGCCAGCAATCTAGTAACCATATTGGTAATCTTAGAAATCAAATAAGGCTCTAACGAATACCGCGAAGCAAGTGCTTTAGCAGAAAACCCATGTGCTAATCTAGAGAGAACCATACTAACAGCATAATCAGAAGGTAAAGAAAGATTAGAAGCAGCTATATGGGGTTTTAATTTATCAACAACAGTAGTAAAAACAGGATAAGATAACCCGTACAATGACCTCCATTGAGCGTCGCGAAGAGGAGCTTCTAGCGACCAGATGTGTTCGGTGGAGAGTGCCCGGAACGCGGAGACGGAGAAGGAGGAGGATTCTGGGTTTGGAGCGGTGGTGGAGGTGGAAGAGGGGGGTTTTGTGGAGGTGGGTTTTTTTGGGAGGCGAGGTAGGAGAGGAGGGAAGCGAGGGTGAAGAAGAGGAGAGGGGTAGGGGAGGAGGAGGAGAGGAGGGAGGAAGGGGAGGAGGAAGAGGAGGAGGATTGGGAGGGGAGGAGGGAGGTTGATGGGTCGAGGGAGTTGTGGAGGTGGAGGAGGTTTGAAAGCATTAACATGAAGGATTCATCCATGGGATTTTGGGGTTGGATTTAGAGTTTTCTCAAGTGAGGAGGAGGAAAGAGATCTGTTTCAGGTGGAAGTGGGGGAGGCGGCGGGAAGAGAGGGTGATTTAGGTTGGACAGTAGGTGTAGTGTGGTTGAGAAGTGGGGTTTTCAGCTCCGGAATCATCATTACAATACTTTAGGAGCGATTCCGGTGAAGTCATCAATGATCGGATCAGTTCCATGGAATTGGTTAAGTGAAACTGTGTGTTGATGTGTATGGACCCACCACGCACTTCATTTTTCTTTCTTTTTTCTTAAAATAAAAATGGGAAACCCTCTTTTGATACATAAATAATTTTACGACTAACACGTAATTTTTACTAAGATATTTTATTTAAATTTAATTTCTTATAGAATTACATAACGCTCATGCAAATCTCTTATAAAATCCTCTAAATAGCATATTTGAAAAAATAAATAAATGAAAAATAGAAATAGAATGACTCTTTCCTGGTTTTGTGTTTCAGGTATACCTTCTTTCCTAGTGAAATTTTAACATTTTGCCTAATTTCCTTTCTTTATTCTATTTGTCAAGAAAGAAAGAAAAAAGATAAATGGAAAAAGAAAAACTGAATTATAAACAAAATTTAAATATACAAGCACTAACAATTAATTTTGTTTAAACTAAAAGGACTAAGTTATAAATTACTCTTTAGATTTTGATTTATTATTATTTTATTTTTTTAACTTAGTTTCTTTTTTATAATTCTCTTAAAAATTAAAGAAAATATTTTTTGTCAAAATTTTGTTGCATGAAAAATATTTTTCAAAGTAGGAAGTTTTAATATAATAAATGAATTTTCTGGTAACAAATGAGGATGGTTGGATTGAATTGTTTGTCCATAAAAGAATCAGAAATATTTGCGGAAGTTTATTTAAAGAACATGTTGAAACATCAATTCCAAAAATATTTAGAATGAAGCGTAATTCTCACCTGATACCTTTACTAAATGGAACTGAAAAGCAAATTTAGTTAACACCAGTTTAACTCCTTAAATCAAGACGAAATTAAACGACGTCGTATCCCACAGCCGTTCTCGCCCGCTTCAAACGAGAAAGACTAAAGAGATTTAAAACGACGCTGGATCAAAAAACCTCAGAAAATATTAGGGTTCAAAACAATAAATTCCTCCTTCTCCTCAGTTAATCAAATCAAATTCCCAAATCGAACAATCTCATACTCTCCCCAATCAATCGATCACCATCAACTCCAATTCAGAATCACCATGACCGAGGTACGTCAAAAATGAAACTTTTTTTTCAAAATTCGGTTTTGATTCTTGACCTACTCTTAATGGTTTCTTTGTTTGATCTTTAAATTTGCAGTATTGGGTAAGCCAAGGCAACAAATGGTGCGATTTTTGCAAAATATTTTTATCAAACAATCCTTCGAGTATCCGAAACCATGAGCTTGGCCAACGCCACAAAGATAATGTCGCTAAAAAGCTCGATTCTATGCGGAAAGATAATGTCACTAAAGAGAAACAACAGAAGGAAGCTGCACGTGCTCTCGAGCAAATCGAAGCTGTAAGTGTTTCAAAAACATTGATGATTACTAATTATTCGTCCTTGTCTAAAGAATGATCGAGTTAATGAATGATTTGATGAGATTTGATTGATGTTTGCTTTGGATGTTTGATAGAAAGCGAATCGGAGTTATCAAAAGGATGTGGCGAATCTTAAGGAGGCGAGTAGTCTTCGTGCGTTGGATATACAAGAAGATGGTCAAGAGAGTAAGTAGAAACAATCTGCAGCTTAATGATAAGTTATAAACGTCTGTTATCAGGAATCTAAATATGCATCCGTATTAGACATCATTATACTGTAGTTTAGTGAGTTGCATTGGCAAGTTTAGGAGCATTGGATTATTTAACAAACGGATAGGGATTACTGTGGCTCTAGCCTGAGTCCTTGCCCATGCCCATCTGAACTTGTTAGTGTTATAGAGCTTTGATTTTATATCACCAGCAGAAACCTTAGGCTGCCAGAAATGTCTGCTTGTTGCATATTAATTTTACAATTGGTGCCCCATCATTGAGCCCAGTAGAATATTCTCATGTTTTGAAATCTATCTCTTGGTGCTTATTCTTTTCTTTCTAAAGGAAATTGGCCTCTATGTGTGGAGTAACTAGAACATAGGCCACTTTTTTTAATACTTCCTCTTTCCCACAAAGAGAGTCATCCTTTTATTATTTAGATGTCCGAAACTGCATGTCTCTTATCAAAAAGTCAAAGAATCGAGTACCAAATTTACTACTTTACCCTATTTAAATATTGAATTCACATTTTTTTTTGTTCAACTGCATTTAATTTTAAAAGACAATGTAGTAAATACAACAAAAAGCGTATGAATTGACACAGTACTTAATGCATTTTCTTAATCTGTGTGAAAAGTCCAATAGGACTCTCTTTATGGGACAAATGGAGTACGTATATTGTAGTGCAACACAAAGATCACACGCAAAATACTTACGGAATTGGTAGGCTTGCTATACTCCCATTGCCCATAATTTCACTAATACAAAAAATTGGACCACTCATCTTGCACTTACCAGTAGCACAGACAAAATTAGATGAGCTTCCTTTGTCATACTTCCATTGGTTGCTTACCAAGTGCTCACTCTTAATGTCGCTTGCAAGCATTATCTGGATATGAATAGTACAAATCCCACTCAGTTGGCATGTATGTGGTTGATTGCGACTTTGGCTTCTTAGTTGGCTTGGTTTGCTATCATGGCTGGCTTATACAATATGAAAAATGTTTTCACAACTAGCTACATATAAGTTGAAATTGAATTGTGCATCTTTAGGCTTAGAGGCGGTGTTGGCTCCCAATATTTTCCCTAGACGGCAGTTCTCTTGTTGACCAACCAAGTCGCAATTGAAACTTTGCACTTTTGTTATCCATTAAGTCCTTTTCTGAATCATCAGTTACTGGGTCCTCCGATTTGTTACTGCACTAACTTTCCACATAATATTTTCTCTCACAAAAAGTGATAATGCACTTCCTCATGCTTTGTTCTCGCATGAAATACTAGATTCTTTGCCAAATGGATTACTGACTTATTCTGCAGTATATTCAAACTGCATAACCAACCAGTTGGTGAAGATCTTTCAACAATTGAATTAACCAAGCCTTCTTGTGCAACCATTACTGCTGCTCTATTCTGCTTCATTGGTTGACGATGAAGCTATTGTTTGTCTCTTTCTACACCAAGTAACTACTTCTGAACCAAAGTCGGAGACACATCCTTAGTTGATTGGTGATGTCATGACAACCAACATAGTTAGCATCACTAGAGAATCGTCGTTGAGGGGGAGTGTTGAAAGTTAACACCCGAGCAAAAATTTATTATTAGTTGTTAAGCCATTTTCCCCTGCGAAGCCAGCAATGATAGTGTTAAAAGCCACCTAAGGAGTTCAGTCTCAATGAATAGCATTAGAAGCCATGTGAGTTTAAACTGGTAAATTTACACATCCAGCTGTTACTTGCAAGTGGACCTAAGAGAGGTGACTTCTGTGACCAGTAAAAACTGGGACTTTGACTCATTTTGCTATACCAGTATGTGTTCAATGAGTAGTTAGTGGAGAGAGCCTTGTGAGCTGGTGAGAATTATGTGCAGTTGACGGTTAGTATTTTACTTTACTTTATTGAGGATTCTCTAATTGTTTGGTTGTGTGAGGTGCTCGTACTTTTGTTGCAAATACTAGCAGTGTGCTTTATTATGGTTTTTCTTGCACCCTTCTGATACCTCAATAAGCTTTGTCCCATTAGCGGCTTTTGAAATTTTGCTGTCTTGATTGTTTGTGTTCAAACTGATACAGCTCTGAATGATGACAGAATGGGATTATGACAGCACTTCAGGCTATTACTACAATCAAAGCAATGGCTTACACTATGATCCAAACTCAGGCTTTTACTATTCTGATGCTATAGGTATGGTGTCATACAATGGGATAGTCTTCTCTGGTTTTCCCTTCTGTCCATGAAATGATTTTAAATTGTATGTTAGCTGTGCATTTTAACTTAGAAGTTATGTGACAGGCAAGTGGGTGACACAGGAAGAAGCATACACTGCTGTCCAGGTTTCATCAGGCTCCAAGAATAAGGAATCCAGTTTCAAAAAGCCTTTGCCAGCATCAGCTGTCAGTTTGGTAAAAGAAAATAAAGTTGCTGCTCAAAATGGCCCTCCACCTGGTCGTGTTGTTTCAGCTTCTTTAAATCCTACAAGATGTGTTAAAGGTGCTCCTTCAAAAATTGTTGTTAACAAGAGGAAGAGGCCAGATGAAAAGCCAAAGGCTGTATCTGCAGAAGAAAAGGCCGCTCTTAAAGCTAGGGAAGCTGCAAGGAAGAGGGTCGAGGAGAGGGAGAAATCTTTGCTTGGTCTTTACCAACACTGATTTTGGACTTCTAATCAGGCACTTTCTGAGTTTCTGTATCCTGAATATGAAGGGTATGTTTTCAGCATGTTATTTGCTATTGTATTTTTTCTTTAAATAAGAAAATATAAGTTGATTTAGTTTCAAATTTGAAAATTATCAACGTTATTGTTTTGGCTAGTCTGTTTTCTAGCTTTGAAGTATTGACCTTTATATTCTTGCACTTGTTACTCCTTTTTCCTGACACAATTGTTCTGCTTGCATGGATTTGGTTGCTGACAGCCCAACTAAGGGAATATAACCTGCACACTGGCACTTTGTCATGCATCTAAACCAAATACCAGCACGCAGGTCCATGTCACTGTCCTCAAGTAACCCTTTGCCAGGCCCTGGTTCAAACCTTAAACTCACACATCCCATTTCTGCTACCTGGTTCCTTTCTATGATCCTGCAAGGACATTAACAAAATTGTTTTGTTGGGTTTTGGTCAAAACAAATGTTCGAAAGATATGGTCATGTTAATGCTTAACCTGTTAAAATTTTTTTCCTAAATATGCAATCTCAGTTGCATACTTCAAAATGTCTGTTGTAAAGTCATTCTTGGCATGGTCATACTTGGATAACTGCATGTGAAAGGATATGTTGTCATAATTAGAACACCAAATGTTTGATGGGCTTACATTGTTCTGTTTTAATTGGCTTCTTGTGCAGATATGGAGTTTTATCCAACAGCAGATGACTCACAGTGGAAACTTCATTTGCAACCTCCATAAAGTGACTGTCCATAGTGTTTCAGGTTCTAATCTGGTCTTTTATTGCCATCTGCTCCCTAACGAGGAATGCTAGGTTTCTAAAAAAGTGGTGAATGAGGAAATAAGATTTTATAATGTCTGCAACCTTGTGATGAAAATCTCAGCTCTGTATTTTTTTTTGATAAGCATATTGACCGCTTGGTTATGCAATATCATTGTTTCCTTCTGTAGACCGGTGGGATTGAAGGCATATGACTCCTGTGCCATTTGGATGAAAGCTCTATTGGAACTGGATGTTGCAATGAAGTAGTGAGTTTCTTTTTTCCTGTTATGTTGATGAAATTTACCTAGTCTATGGTCAATGATCAATACAAAGCCATAAAGTTTCTTAGCATGCTCATGCCTTTGGGATAACACGTTAAAATGTCGTATATCATGGATGCTCATGCCTTCGGGATAATACATTAAATTTTCGTATATCATGTATGCTCATGTCTTGGGTATTAATAATACATGAAAATTTAAGCCAACTTTCTGTAACCAAGTTAAAAGGGCAAAAAGGAATGGTGATTTTCATAGCTTTACACGTTCCTTGGTTTTTGGTCAAACTGCACTGTGTGAATTTCATGCCTGGATGTTAGACCATGGTCATTATCCCTGATGACTATGAACGAGGAAGTTAAAGGACAGGATGGCATTGGGTGTCTTAAATGTGGCTCTTTAATGCAGAAACACGAAAGGTTCTTATATTCCAACACTGGTCCAGAAATTAAAAAAGGGTCTAGCACGTGCATTTTTCTCACACACAGTCTCTGTCGACCGTTGACTTGGTCGGTTCTTTGATTTCTAAAAGTCATGGAAATCGGCTGTGCAGTATGGACAGATAAGAGAAGAATAATAAATGGGCCGTGTCGTGGGTGACCTTATGGTTAAACTTATAACACCCACCAATGTCAATTTCAAGAGTTATTACATCCGATACTTCTCCCTGGGAAATTAGTTCTTGGGAAATGACCTTGGTTGTTGATCACACATTCTGCATTTGGTTTTTTCGAAAGTGATATTTGTGGACCATGCTTTAGAATGTTTATATTTTTCTTTCTTCCGCTTTTGGTCATTTGGAAGTCATTTAGTGTGAGAGTTAAAGAGTTACATGATGGAGGGCGGTTCTCCCTCATCCATAATCACTTCTATCATAAGTGAGATTTGATTTTAAGTTGCTTGGTATAACGCCAGGTGATTCTAGGGCTTGAGTTAAATAGCTTTAACGTAAAATTTTCATTAGCTAAGCATCAATGGAAGAATTTGAACTGCCACGATTCACGAATAACCCAATTTACGGGTTGGAAAAAGAACAACTGGACATTCAATAATTGATCTTTTCTTTTTCTTTTCTTTGCACTTGGTTGTTGTTAGTTGGCATCACAATGGAGAGATCGGTTGCCAAATCCTCATCAATTTCATCCGGTGAAGATATGATACCGACTGCGAAGAGGACTGATGCGTGTTTATATTTAACTTCTTTGTTAATTTAGTTTTTACAGGACCACTTTGGACTCCTCTTTTCAACTTTCAAAATCATTTGTTGGTTTGGAATGCTTTCACTTGAGCATAATTTAGCTTAAGCTTTGGAATTCAAGTGCTTTTCTATGAAGATGGTATTCTTCAAGGAAAGCTAGTCAAAAGTTTGGAATAAATTAGTAAAAAAAATTGATTAAGAGAAAGGTAATCAAGTGAACTTACCTGAAACAGCATGAGATTGTCTTTCTTTGTGAAGCAACTAAGTGGGTGCGTGCATAGAATGATAACTAGGAGTAATTGTATAAAAATGTTAGTGGCCAAAAGGTGTGACAACTTTTGTTTAAGGCATGGGTGATTTGTCTTTCTCGAGACTAATTTCATGAACTCGGACAATATTTACATAAAAAATGGCTATCCTTGTACACTGTTATGGTTCTCTCGGGAAAGATTATTGAAAAATCTAGCAAAATATGGCAATGTTTTTGCAAGATTTAGACAATCATCTGACATGAAGAGGAAAATTTTCCATAAAGCAGGGCAGTACATCAATTGAAAATAACCATTCTGTGGGTAATAGCGACGACCAACTGTGAAAGAAAAATCAAAACAGTAGAATAGAAATCGTTGTTTCAAATGATATAAATGCAAGCAAGTTGATGAGTGGTCTACTTCAAAGGCTCGAGCTAGGAAAAGGCTGTAGCCTTTTTTTCCCTCGTTTTGTGTCTGGTCCTTTGTACAAAGTCAATGAGGACCTTTAAATATATGCAAGAGGACAGTGATGGAGAAATTAAGCAGCACCTTGGAAAAAAAATCTCTGGCTATTCCGGAAACCAAGATTCAGTCAGGCGTAAAAAAAAAAAATGGAAATCATTTTTTTTTCCCTTAAAGCAGAAATAAATCACATTGAATTGGGAATCTGAGTTATTGTTGAAGCAGTTTGGACTTGACTGAGATCAATTAGCATTCTGGATTTATGCCTAACACAATTTTGAGAGTCCTAGTTTATTATATTATGAACCTACACGTAATAACTCATCCACATCGTCAAGAGCTGCCATCATTTTCACCAACAATCATGATGAAACTATTAAGGATAAAAAGATATGACCAAAAACCATTGACATATCATCATCATTGTTATCATCATTTTTGTAAATGAGCCAAGTTTTTTGTATATGAAATTATTATATTCTATAAATGATGAAGAATTTGGATTTTATCTTCGTTTTAATCTTATATATTTTTATTTTATTTTTTATTACTTTTTTACTTGATTGAGATTATTTATTCTTTCAAGTTTCTTATTTTGGACTTTCTATAATAATATCATCAATCAATGATTAATATCTCTTTAAGATTTTTTATTTTACAATAATATACATCGATGAATGATTAATAATATTATAAAAGAGTGTTTGAAGAAAGAAATCTTGAAGACTAGAAAACCACAGTCAAATAAAAAAAAAAAAAGATAATCTCAATAAAAAAAAATTTGAACAGTACATGGAGAAAAATTATAGAGAATTTCATCCATTATCTCCTATATCCACAATCCAATGTCATGGCCAACTTATCCTTCCTCAAATAGTTTCCTCCCTAGCCAACAAATCCTCGAGAATAGAGTGATAAAAGAAAGTAGTCATAATTACAGGGCATATTTCATGTGGGTCTCCTTTATAATAGACTTTACTAGCCTTTTAATAAAGTTAGGTTGCATGCATACTGAAACCCCCTCTTTTAATAAAGTTAGTTTTATTTCTCAAGACCAAGTAGATTACTAATTGAATTGAATTGAGTGTCTTTTGCCCATGATTTTTTGTTGTACATAACTTATACTAGACCAAACAAGAACATCACAACTCACGACAGAATTCAAACAACTCACCATCACTGAGCATAGCAGCCTATGTATGCTTGTCAGTTTAAGGGAATTTTTTAGCTGTATGCTTTAGCATCCATTTTTTCTTTTGTTTGAAACTTCTAAGTACAACACAACACTAAGTTGCAGCACTCTGGTTTTGCATACCTCTGAGAGCCTAAAACATTTTAAACAAAAGCTGCTTCCTCAACTGTTCATCATTGCAGTTTGTAGTGATGAGCAAATCATGGTCATAAAATGTAGGAAAGGCAAGTTTTGTTAGTTTTATTTGTTTCCTTCTTTTTTTAAGTCATTGATTCTTCCACCTTTTGTTTGACTATTGGTGCCAATACCAATCACAGACCTTTACTCTGTTCAATATCATGAGCGTAATTATTCCACAAACATAATGATTATGTTATGGAAACCCCTTTTCCACCCATGTGTGGTGCACTGCTGCCCTTTCATTTTTTTCGGCTATGCCATGTTGTGTTATCATTCTCCAACATTGCAACTTTCCGGAGATCTAGCTGGTAATGCATTTTTAGATGGGAAAGTGTTTTGTTAATAGAAAAACCAAAATTAATAACCAAGCAATGTTCTTTTTCCCTTCCCATTTATCTTCTAAAGTGGAGCACCTGATTATGCAGCTTCATGTGATGTTTTTTCCTACTCAATTGCCGTGAATCCCATTGTTAGTAGTGAATAGAGTAAATCTTGGTCTACATCTGCTAGGCTCATGCAATACTTTATTTTCAAACGGACCTCTTGATTCTTTCTAAAAATAACCCCAAAATCTAATTCAAAAACGTATTCAGTTAAATGGATCACATTGAACATAATACAATGTGCAAGGGCTCTTTTTTCATGTGATGTTTTCTTTTTTATTACATTGAACTGCGTTGCTTAAAACCCATTTCATCACATTTTAGTTCAAGGTCTCTGTTTTCTTAAGATTGAAATTGATAGACTTTCCCTACAAGATAAGCATAACCAGAGAATACAATGTGGTCCAAAATTGCAACTCTTGAATAATGTTGCTGTAGAACAAAGCGAGGAAATAATTATTATGTTCAGTCAAATTTGTCTGCATCAAACATGTAACCAGGAAACAGTAAAAATGTCATGCCAAATTTAGAGATAAGCTGAAGTTGGTAAACCACATCTCAGACACAACCAACCAAAAGCAGAAGCAGTTTTCACATTTTGTAATCCTGTAGATGTCTTTTATCAATTATGCAGTATTTTCATATAATTTGTGTCCAATTCAAGGACATTGACACAAAATACCATTATAATTATGTAATGACAAATATACCAAGCTAACCATTAAATTTCAAATAAAAAAAAAAAGGAAAAAATATCCCAGATCGAGTTGATCTGAATCATGCACGTGTCAAGGACCCAACACCTCTAGTGATCTCATGCACACTTGCAGCAGGATTAAATCCTAAGCACCCCAATAGACCTTGCTTGTAAGGCAAAAACGTTTTCCTTCTCATTTCCTCTGAAACTGCCCTGTTCACTGTGTAATGCACCTCATGAGCTGATATAGGCCCTGATCTCCTCCTGGAACTCCCTACACTATCTGTGGATCGAAAGCTAGAATTCTTGACATCCTCTGTCGCTTCTTTCTTGGACAAGACTGAATATTTTGTAAATGAATCATTGCAGCTTGCTGTTCTACTTCCTTCTGATGCACTTCTGAATAGTAATAAGTCCTTCAGCTTCCATTTCTTGTATCTTTTCGATGTGAACGATATCGCGGATAGGATAGAAGATGTGTAAGATGATTTAGGGGTGCTTGCAGTTGAAGCAGTAGAATTTGAATTCTGGGAATTCTCTACTTGATCAAACATGATGTCTGAGACTCTTAAAGGAGATAAAGATCTGCTTCCTTTACGTATAGAACCAGCTGAAAATGAAGAATCACCATAGCTTCTGCCTCTTCCACGTTGATAGGGTGCTTGGACTTGTTGATTAGTTTTTAGTTTAACTTCTCTTCTACGTGTCTCTTCAAGGGCAGCTTGAAAGGGGTCAATTTCTTTTTTAGTTGTTGTTCTTAATCTTGGTGATCTTGGAGACCTTGGAGAAGAAACTGAAGAATCATAGCCAGGTGGTGGCTTCAAAGGCTTGATCTTGCCGCCATCAAAGAGTTCTTCAGCTGATAAAGAAGCTCTTTCCAATTGACCACTAAAGTCGAACTCAAAATCTTCATTATACCCATCTTGATCACCACCATTCTGGTTTTTGTCTTCTCTTTGGTTCTTGGATTTGGGAGTTCCAGGCTTCTCTTCCCAGTCAAAAGGGATTGTAGACGATGAATTTGTAGAAAGAGTGATATCATTAAGCTCTCGATAGAAAGAAGAAATACGAGTAGGGCTTGTTGGGGCACTGAAGAAGAAGTTGCCAAATCTTTGAGGACTTGAAGGAGCAGTCATGTAAGGAGAAGAACAAGTGCTATCAAAGTTGAAGTCCACAGGTGGCACTGGCATCACAACTTCCATTTCCATTGATGAGGTTACAGCTGGTTGTGAGTTTTAAGGGCTGTCAAGGTTGGGATTAGTTGAATTGTGTGGATTTATAGAGGGAGTGACTAGTGAGAAAGAATGGAGAGGAAGTAAGGGAAGGAAGGAGAAGGGAAGGGAGGGAGAGGGAGACTTGACTGAACAGAAATTTGTCATGAGTTGATAGTGAGGAGGCGGCTTTATAAAATCAACAATTATTACTTTTCTTACATGTGTATTTAATTGTGTGTGTGACAAATTGTAATTGTCTTTCCATCAGCGATGTTGTGTTGGTTTTACTTTTGCTCTTCATTTGTCTACCCCTTTTTACTTCATTTTTTTCAATTAATGTAACTTTGATTTTTCTGCACTACATAGCCCTTCTTAGAAGCTAAATCTTCTAACCCATAACTAGGGGAAAAAAGGCAGAGAGTTTTATGACATTGACAGAAATAATACAAAGTAGCCAAGACGGCAAGGGCGAGCTTTGAATTCTCAAAATCTCTGTCTAGCATTTTATATGAAGTGGTCCTCAATCATCTATCTATTGCTTATCTTTTTAGCCGAGAAGAGAACCCCAAATTTTTAGAATATTTGCTGACTCAAGGATTGGTAATTCGCAAACCGAAATTTGAGCAGGTGATCCAAATATGAGATTAATTGCACTCAACTACATAAAAGAGTAAAATCATGAATGTGAACTTCTGACTCATTTTGAATTGATTTTATCCGGATTCATAGATAAATTAGTTTCTCTTTTCTTTTTCTTTTTTTAGCAAAAAACTTAATTTGAAGTTTAAAAACGTGAGCCAACAACATTATCCTTTACAACGGACACAAAAAAAGGAGAATTTGAATTTGAGTAAAATCTTAAAAAGCAAAAAAGAGTTAAAGAATATGTGAATCAGATCCTTTGGAATATTGAAGATGGGGGCATAATTGCTTTGACAGTATCTTAAATACTAATGGCTTAAATAAATGGTTTGGAGTTTGAATATTTATATGTGTAAAAAATTATTTAAGTAGTTGTTTCATCTTGTACGTCCCATAAAATATCAAAAGATTAATTTAGATTTTTGAGTCTAAAATACATTAAAAATAAATAATAATAATAATAATAACACACATACACACAAAAACCCTCTTAAATTAATGTTCTAATTAGCAATTTCAAGATATTCTTTGACGTTAATAGGATGGTTCATTAGTTATACATGTACATATATAATGTTTTATTTAAATTTCATTTTCCTTTGAGATTTTAACATGAGGAAATCGTTAATGGTTTGTTGATTGTGATGTTTTAAGTTAAAAAGTGGTCAAATTTCCGGCCCTTGTTATCAAAATGCTGGTTGGTAAACAAAGTGAAGTTGTTTTTTTTTTACAACTGTTTTGATCATCATGCAGTGTATGCGTAACACAAGAAACATCATACTGGTTCCCTGTTACTGTCTTCTTGTTATTTTGGATTAAGTTTACGGAAGCTTGACGGTTCCTGTCCTTTCATGTCTTCTCTACGATGCTGTAACATGTTTGGCAACACATTCCTTTATTAGATTTTTTTCTTTCTTTCTTTCTTTATCGCGACAAATTATTAATTTGACATAACATTTAAGCTTGTTGTTCGATCAATCTCTATCAACTCTAACTAATTTGGGACTGAAGTGGATTAGATTGAATGTGGATCTTGAAAGTAGAGAGAGCTGTCCATTGCAATTTACTCTACTTCTTTGGAGTATTTATAACGTTGCTTTATATTTGATCAAATGATGTAAAATCTTCCCCACGATCAGGTGACAAGGAATGTGTGGCCTAAGGGCTCATTTAAAACAAAAATCCTACTGAATTTATTGGAGATAAGTTAATTATGATAAGATAATTTTTCTAAGACTCAACTCTGGCATTAAGAAAGTGGCTGTGTATATAATGTCTAGATTGAGTCTGATTGTATTTTTCACTAATAGTATCAAAATTCTATGGCTGGGGATCATTCACCGATAAGTAATATTGTATGAGGTTTTTTATATATATTTTTTGAAATTTAAATGCATGCTATTTTTTCAGTTTGAATACTCTTATTAATGGTTTTTTTTTTTAGCTATCATAAAATCTAACAAAAAGTCTAATTAGATTGATGGAATCGGATCCAAAACTATATTATTTAGATCTAGAAATCTAGTTAAGTAGTAGAATTAAAAATTATAAAATGTTGATTTTAAAGAGGCACGAGCTACAAGAAAAACTTCAGCCAAGAGGGTTTTCTTTTTGTAACAAAGTTTTTTATTTTTAATTTAGAAAGATTAACTAGAGGGTTAAAGAGGTTTATTTCTTCTTCTTCTTCTTCTTTAGTTATTATGTCTAATGTTTTTACGTAAATAAAACCATGAAAAAAGTATTTTTAATATTATTTAGAATCGAATTTTGTTTTAATTTGACGTATAAAATAACTCGAAAATACTCTTATTTTTTTTAAAAAAAAAAGAAATTGTTTTTGACTTCTATGTTATTTTTGGGGGAATTGGAATTGAATTATTCATGCACAACCGTTCATGTTCTTCTTCAATTAGCCATATGATCTATCCCAACTTCTTTCCTAATAAGAGCTATGAGACTGTAAGCACCAATTGATCGATCATCATGTCATGCCCTAACATGCAACTTTGAAATCCACCAAACAAAAGCAAAGCTGGCAAAGTGTTTTTAGCTTAAAAGATAAGTACATTTGTAAGAATAATGACTATTAGAACAGCTGTTGTGCCATGATGCTCTGTCCACCTTATTTTATAAAAGGATAATCAGTAAGGTCAAAAAATCTGTATAGCAAAAAGAAATCGTGGTCCTTGTGACAACTAAATCTTGTTGAAAAACCTCTCTCAATTGCAATCTCAACTCCTAGCCCACCATATGACATCATGAATATATTGCATAATCATTTCATATTTTCTCATTGCGGCTAATGTATTTAATATCTTGACATTATCAAATTAGATAGTGGTAATTGTCTTTTTTTATATTAATTAATTAGCAACATTCGAAGTATTAAATGTGAGGAAAAAAACATCAAATTTGTTGGCTAGGTCTCTCGTTGCATGCAAACATAGATTTTTATAGAGATAAGAATATTGATGATCATTTGCTTCCTCATAAAACATCGAGTGATTGTGACATACGTTTTGCCAATAAAAAATCTACATGCAATTAACATAATCAATCAAGCTGCCATATAAACATGTGGGCTGGCCAATTTGGAGCTAAAAGTCTTAAATTGTGTCCTTTCCTTTCAACTAACCCTTTTTTTTCGTTTGTTTTTTGCCTAATAACGTCAAGATTTTTGTTTTCAAAAATATTTTTGATCTAATTATTATAATTTTTCCACACCAAGGTTATTTTCTTTTTCTTTTTCTTCTTCTTGTATACTTGTATGATGTTGAGGTAATCTAGACGCCAATCAAATCGAAAAATTTTATAATACATAAGGAGTAATTAGTGGTATATATAATCGTATTTCTTGGACTCACTTTCAAGAGAGAAATGACATATTGAATTACATCCGCGCCCATCAAAATGACAAGAAAATTTTCATGTTCATTTAATTTTTTTTTAATTCTCTCTCGTTTTTTTATATTTATCTCTCTCTTAAAAAGAATACAAAGAGTAACTCATCGTACATACGTTACTAGCTACTCGTCGTGTATTATAAAATTTCTCCAAAACGAACCAAATACTATTCTTAGAGTATTGTGTTAATTTTTCGCCAAGAACCAAATTGCAAATTGGCATTGGTTTCATTTCATACGAGGTCTCTCGCATGGAGTGAATAAGAACCGTTAATTTCCAAGAGCTAGCATTAATTAATTAATTTTTTGTACTCAAATATAGCATATTCATTCAATAGAGAAGAAGTAGGTAAGCTCCTTGGAATTAAATAAACGTTGGAGCAAAGCTACAAAAACATCCTCTTCGTCAAGTTGTAGCCTATCATTAAGGGATTTTTTTGGCCAATGTAGGCAGCGCAATTATATATGCATCTAACAAAGACAAACTTGCAAGAATTTAAATCTTTTGTCAATCCATACTTGTTCTTTCTGACACTATTTTTTTCACCGAGAAAATGGAAATTAAGGAAAATAAAAGAAACTATAATTTCCCAAAATGGAAAAAATTCGAGGGGCCAATTAATGCATAATTCTCCCAATGTACAATCATGCATGCTAGATTATTCTAAAGTAATGTTTTTCATGCAATCGTTATTCCATGCTTTTCTTTTTCATATTTAGTATTTTAATTTTGAAATATAATGCTATATCGGTGGGCTGCAACAGGGAGCAAATTAATTAATTTGCTAAACAGCTGCATGGTTTTCATTTCCCATTGATATATGACCGAATATAAGATGATGTAATTGAAATTTGACCCACGAAAACTAAAAACAAATCAATACAATTTGCAACATGTGATGAAATTAGTTTTCTTTGAGTTTTTCCTAGAAATTTCTAATGTCAAAGTTGCAAGGCCCGGTGTGCTTGTTACTGTACCTTTGATTTATAGTTGGTATATGTAATAGTAGTTGACAAATTATTTTCTCTTTTAAAATGCTTAACTTCAACCAAACCTTCTCTTAAAATATTGATGCCACTTGCTTATCTATTTATTTATTTATTGATAACTGGAAAATTGTCACTTTGTGATGTTGTATGTTAATCACCTATTCACAATTCAGTAAGAGAGGTTTATGCATTTTTATACTATTCTAGACGTTAGACTACATTTTTATGGCAAGTCAAGTTTTCTTTTAATTTTTAAGAAGTATAATGAAGAATTCTCATAATAAAAGTAATATTATTTTCTAGTGATAGTGGGTGGTAGTGTTGCTTATGGAGTACTTTTAATATGTGAGAAAAAAAAATTCCATTTTTATGTGCCAATCTAGTGGGCTATTTGAGACCTGACTGATCTAAACACGCAAAAACTGAAGTAAATATGCCTGTGTGAATGCACAAAACAAGATTCACAGGCAACGTAACATTTCGTTTTTCTCAACTGGTCTCCCTATATATCCATATTAAGAGAGTTTCGTCCAGGGAAGAGGAAGTTGTTAATTTGTTCAAAATGGGATGCTATGCGTAGAGATGAGATTAGAGGTTCTGGAGTTGAGGTTGAGAGGCAAATATATATATATATATATATATAGTTTTGGGTGGTGGATTGCGTAGGTTTAGGGCTATCGTTGTTTTTGATTCGGTCTTCTGTCTGCCAGAGCAGATCATTGTTGTCCAGGAGAATAATGGAATGGAGTGAGTGTAAGATGGGACTCGAGTTTAACACTTGAAAGAGACACAACAACATTTGAGTTTAATACATGGAAGCTCGATGATAATCTTGCAACGTGAATTTTAATCTCGAATTTATCAATCCATCGCTAATCTTGAAAGAGAAAAATGAGAGATTCTAGTCCCTTTTTAAAGAATAAACGAAGGATTCCAGGAAGGCATGAACATGGCCAGTTTTAGGCGTCAGCCTTGAAGTAGACTTACGTATACATTTGGAAATTATGGTTGACATTTTGAGTTAAAATTTATTGGAATTCTAAATAAATTTTACAAGGAAATATGATAAACATCATTTAGGAATCGCTGTATTAAAAAGCGATTTCGTATATACAACTGAGTCAAAAGAAAAACTACTTGGATTACAAAGGAAAGAAAAATGACAAAGCTAAAGTGCTCTAAAGCTAAATGAATTTTACAGATAAGAAATTGGCACAAATGATAATAACCCCATAGATTAAGCTTTTAGCTTATTTATGGGCAGAACTAACAGATATTCAAAAGCTCGATTTGTCCTTCTCATCATTTCTTGTTTAGACTTTCAAGTCTAAGCAAATAAATAAGATTCCCGCCCATATAATTAGTCTTTCCAAGCAGATTCCAAAATTCTAGTAAATATTGTTACAAACCCTAATACAAGTTCATTAAATAAAAATTCAATCACGCTACAAAACTCTCACAAAGTACAAATATATAGCCAAAGCCATCCTACTTAAATCATACTTTTGATGACTATGTTTCAAGCCTGTCCTGCCAATTCAGATTACAAGCTGTTCGTCATCGTCGTACCCAAGTTAAGAAGCCCCAGAAGCTGCAGCTGCAACGTACATGCCTGGGTCCTGATTTGGGGGCATAGTATATCCATACCCAGCATAGCCTTGCCCTCCAAAATATGCCCCATTCCATTGATTACCATGATCCCCTCTCCACTGTCAAACCCACAAATAGGATTCAAAAAATTAAACTATAAAGGAAAAAACAGTTGCTGAGGAACTCAGTGAGTAATAACGACAACTCATAACGATGCCATACGTGGAGAGAGAGAGCTGTTTTGGGCTTTAGTAAAAGCTTTTACCAATGCAACAAATCAACAGCATATTTGATTCACATCTCAAAGAACTAGTTGAAGCAATAATAACAGAAAGAATGAGAAGCTGTAGGTAGGTGACCATCCCAACAAATATCCTAAAAGGAAATTAGATCGGAAATTGGTATGAGTCAGAGCATGCAGGTGTCCTTAAAAAGAATAGGAAAAGGACTGGTCACGCACTAGAAGTAAAATCAGACAGCCAAGGGTGGAACTCTTACGTATAGCAAATCAAATCTGTTTTACCTGCTTGTTTGCTGGAGTGCGACCCCAGGAAAGTCGAACTGTCTGCTTGCCAATTGTTGTTCCATTCAAACTCTGCAGCGCATCCTCAGCATTCTTTCTGTGATCAGAGACAAGAGAGTGGATCATCATAGCTACGGAAATTAAGATAACCTGCTATTGTTATCTACAATCACAAAGGCTCAGTCTAACATGGAAACTCAGAAAGGGAGGGTACCTATTAGCAAATTGTACAAAAGCACATCCTTTTCCAGTTGGTATTTTCACAGAAACAACTTCACCAAATTGAGAAAACGGCTGCCTGAGATCCTCATCAGTGACATCAGAGTCAATTCCTCCCACAAATATCTGCCACATTGCATGAATTAGGAAATTCAGAAAATTGAATACAATGAATGCAGCATAGGAGAACTAAACTCACAGTTGTATTGTTAGAGTCAACATCAGATTGTGATCCTTGGGCCATCGCACCATTTGATGCATGTCCACCAGCCAACACTAAAGCTAATAAACCAAAATATAGGTAAGTTCAGATTAAAAACCAATTTCAGAGCATAAAACATATGCAAGTCATTGCATTCATCAATACTGTCAGCAAGTTACAAGACCAAAGGGTTGATTGTTAGAGAGCTACAAAATCAGAGCAATAAGAGTAGTCTTCTTCCACCTATTTTCCAATTAAGAGAGAGAGAGAGAGCATTCACAATATTACATTTCAAAACATTCTGATTTTTGTGGTTCTCTACAATGAGAGCATCACAAAACCCAGCAATTGTTCGAAAACCATAATGTTTAGTCATGCCCAAAAGATTCAAAATTCAGGTTGGAAGTGAGACACCTCCATTACAAAATGCCTCAGAAAACAAGCTATAAATAAAATACCAAACAAAAATGTATAAGATTGATTCTCAAGGTGCATTACGAATATGGCTCATAAACAAGGAACAGCTGTTAATTGATTGTTTTGATAGTAAACATTGAACTCTAGGCACAATAAATTAGTATAATGAGCAGGGGGCACAGAAGAGATAAATCTTAATATGCAATATATGTAGGGCCTAAAACCATACAAAACAAAAGGAAAGAAAGAAACGTCATAATGAATATGGCATGTAAAACTACAAGCAGAAGAAACAGATCATGAGTATCTAGCCATTTGACAAGAAGGTCAATAACTATTACGAAAAGAGCAAGGAAAACAGCCATCAAACTACTAGTGAAAGGAAAGGTGATGATAATGCATAGTGAATTTGTTCAAATCCCCTTTTAACTCCAAACATTAATTGGACTAACCAACCACAACAGTTTTACTTAACAAACAAATAAATGACAAAAGAGAAGGGTATGGAAGTTGATGGCCGTTGATGACAAAGGATTCTACCAATAAGCATCAAATACAAGTATGAGCAAATGCACTCATGTGTTCAGAATGAAGCATCTTATAGGGCACAAAATTGCAGTTATGCAAACAATTAAAACACAAGTTGCACCATAGTCATTAAATACAACTAGATAAACACCGATAATGAATTAAAAAATAAGTTAGAAACTAAATTTGAAAATTGCACATGCACACACGCATAAGCACATACACTAATTTCTGACCAAGAATTGAGAACAAATAAAAGCTATCAGATTTAAGGTCCCCAAAGCGTACCAAACTGCAAAGCTAGTAGCATCATTTCATACCTTGTGAAGAATACTGCTGTTGATATGCAGATGGCTTTTTAGGGGTTGCAACACCTATCCGCATAGGCCTACTCGAGCAATAAACACCATTCATCTCTGTCATGGCCCTTGTCCTCTCATTTTCATCTCCAAACCTAACAAAACCATAACCTTTTGAACGGCCAGTATTAGAATCAGTGACAACCTTTGCTCCCTTAACAGATGGATATTTGCCAGCAAAGGTTTCCTGCAACATTGCATCAGTCACATCTGCAGCCAAATCTCCGACAAATATAGATAGATCAGAACCAGTATCAGCTCGCCTTTCACCCGCAAAACTTGCCCAGTTGAGACGAAAAGGTTGATCGGTATTTGGCATCATAGAGCCACTATAGCTCTGCAAGACTTTCTCAGCTGCTGCATGTGAATAAAACTCAACGAATCCATAACCTTCCAGCTGACCAGTTTGCTTATTGCGAATAATCTTTACAGATGAAACCTGCAGATTTATTGAAATCGACATCAGAAAGTAGGAATATAATCATGGGCTGTTTAAACAATTCACCCAGTAGGAAAACTTGAACAAAAAATAAAAAGCTGCATAACAATCTTCCTGCCTAAAATATCAGTTTATTAGATGAAGAATCTCCTGTGGTTGAAATTGAGTATTCATTGTACAGTTAAAGAGACATCAAAGCACAAAAGATCATGTTGGGTGCTAGAGATTTTTGATTCTTAAAATAGCAATGGAAGGACTCAAACTGAAATCTACCCTCAACCCTGGTTTGCATGGGAGAGTACATAGAGTATGACATTCAAATTGAAAATTTAGTTACTCAAGCATCAAAGCAAAGCCATTCTGAAGAAATGTTAAGAGGCATATCGATAATTGTAAGAGATCCAGTGGCTGAATGCAAACCGGCATTGACAACATATGTCTTAAACCCAATTTTCTTTTACAAAACAAAGGTCTCTTTCCCCTACAATGGCTAGGGAAATTTCAATTCCCCCTCGAAAGTTCCCCATCACATCAAAATTGCAATATTTGGCTCATCACAAATTTACAACTACTATCTGAGATCTGAATTTAAGCAATTTGAAGTCGGTTCCCTCCATTTCTAAAAATAGGATATAGACATACTTTAATGCAACTTAGATCAAAACGCATTTTAATCATTTCAGCCACATCAATTAAAATTTAAAGCGTTTTATTTAATGCCACATCACAAAACTAAATCAGATCAACAATCTTTAACATGCTTCAACAGCTTTTAATGAAGATGGTCTTTTCGTCATGCTGATCAAGCCCACATGGCCACATCATTTAATGACCTGCTAATTTACAAACAAAACAAGCTAGTATTCAACTTAAATCACAAAAAAGAATGGAAAAAAAAAAAAAAGCCAGTCTTTTTGTCCAAGAAATCCAGGAAAGTAACTGACTTTATACCCATAAAAGATCTAAAACCCCATATTCATGCAAAAACAAAAACGAAAAACAAAAGCATAAATCCCACATAAACCCATAAGCCAAATATAACCAAAACCCAAAAAAAAGAACAGACTTAAGCATCAAAAAGATTAAATCTTTATACCTCTCCAGTATGAGAGAAGCAACTATGCAAGTAGGTCTCGTCCATCCAATGAAGCAAGTCACCAACCCATACAGTCTTAGCCTCCTCGCTAGATCCCTGTTGTTGTAGTTGTTTTTGCTGCTTTTGATGATACTGTTGCTGCTGTTTTTGATACTGCTGTTGTTGTTGTTGATAGTATGCCATGTAATGGTGATGTTGTTGTTGAGGGTACATCATCATCTGCTGCTGCATCATCACCATAGCAGCTGCTGGATACTGCATGGCTGCCATCCATTGTTGCTGTTGCTGATGCATCTGTGGGACCCACTGTTGTTGATGGGGATGATGGGGTTGGTGTTGCGGAGATGGGTTTTGATCAGGACCGTTGCTTTGCTGCATCTTGATCTGAATAATATTTAGTCAATCTCCCCTCTCTCCTTCTTCTTCTGCTTCTACTACTCTCCAAGTAAGTTTTTTTTTTTTTTTTTTTAATTTTTTAGATAGAGAGAACGAAAGGAGAAGAGTTGTGGAGTTTAGATTTAAAGGGAGGCGCTCTGTGGATCTATCTGTTGTGTAACAGTAAAAGCGTGTGTTGGGTCCGTATTGTTGTTTTTTTTTTTTTTTTTTTTTGGGGGCCTTTTTGGGCAAATCTCATGTTACAAGTTAGCCCCCCAATTATTTAGTGAATCTTAATTAAGTTTTATCAAATTCAACTGAAGAAACGTTTTGTACATTAAAAAAATAGAGAAATTATTAAGTGTGTTAGTAGTTGTACTCTTCTCTCGTGTATAAACACGAAAGCCATTATTAATTTTTTTATAAGTCCATTGTTATGTGCAAAAGTTATTATTGGAACGTGCATTGTTATTAGCTTAGAATTTTTTATTTATTTGTCTATCTATTTTTTTAGTATAATAAGAATTAATAGATGCAAAAAAAGAATAATAGTACATTGCAACGGCAAAGATAAATTTAAATAAACATAAATTACAATTAACATTCATAACAAATAAAACTAATCAAAAATGGCAACTCATCAAAAATAATTTTTTATATCATAAATTCATAGCTTAACTACACAAATAAATTATTTTAATAACGATTCTCAGTGTTAACTATTACATGAAAAATTGATTATAAATCAACTTGTTTTCTAAAAAATATTAATAATTATATTCATAAATTTGAATTTTATAATAAACTAATTCTAATGATTGTATCTTTATATAACTGTTTTAGAAAACAATAAATACCATATAACACTTCTCATATCTATGAATAACTAATAAATAAACATCTATAATTTTTTGTTGGAAACACTAAAAATCAAATTGATACTATATTACCATCATTTGTACATTGTCGTATTTGAAACAATTTCCATGACAATTAAGTTAATCCTATGCCCTAGCCTTAGAATTAACAGAACAAAGTACAATAGGTGGACAATGATCTCAGTAAAAGTTAAAAACAAAAAACAAAAAAAGACAAAAAAAAAAAAAAATCAACAATGAATGGAAACTAATGAAAGAAAGCTACAAAGAAAAGGTCCTTAAATAAACACCAAGAAAGGACAGTGCTTCTGTTGTGTTTTGAGAAATATCTCAATAGATAACCACGAAATAAAATTCCAAGGGTTAAAAAATTGCAACTAAATATTATCGTTTAAGATTATAACGAATTTTTATATAAAAAATCTCAACATTTTTAAAACGACATGTTTTTGTTGCGCATGACACGCACTTAATCCGAGTCTCTGGGAGTCCATCTAGAATAAAAACTAATGAGGGACTCGATTAAGATTCTGAGTTAGTTTAGGGATTAATAACTTGAGGTTTGCCCGTATTTTCGGTGGGTTAGGGGTTTTAGGCCTCGGGTACAGCGATTGATTGCCGTCTACGACGTGTGGGACCCATGCACTGGTGGGGACGTTTTGCTGACGTGGATGGTTCAGATGCAACTTGCTGGCTGGCTGGCTGGCTGGCTGGCTAGTGGTTTGTTACATAGAATTTATTTTATTTTATTAGTTCGGTGAGCAGGTTTTAGTTTTCAAGTGAGGCACAAGGGAAGTTGTTTTCATTTTTACAGGGTTACTGTAATTGCTGGTCAATTTTCTTTCATAGATCTGAAACTATTTAACCAAATAAATTACTACAAAAGTCCTTTTTATTTTTTTTAACACATTTGTAGAAGCTATTCGAGAAATTTTTCATTATCATTATAATAATAATTATTATTATTTATGAAAATATATGCAGCTTAGAGTGAAAAAAGAAACGATCCTCCTAACAAGTGTTCTTTTTTTTAAAAAAAAAGATAATTTCCTAACAAGTGTTCTTAATTACTCATCAGCAGCCTTTCATAACTCTTGAGAAATTAGGACGAGCCAATAATTGCATGTAATCTTAACCGTTGATCCTAGTTAAAAAGGCTGTTGGACACCAAATATAAATAAACAAAGATAACAGTTGATATGTCCCATGTCTCTGTTGTGCTTTCCTCCCTGGATTGGAAACCTTTGACCTTCGGACACGGCAGTCCGGGGCCGTGTGGGTTCTATGTGTGTTTTTAGTCAAACCTATAATGGAGCGAGGGCGCGACGTTTTTTGAACTTTGAAGAGTTGTTTGTACTTTCTTTGAACGCGAGAAATTGACAGAATCAGAGCACAGCCAAGGCCCCATGCATTTTTTTTATTTTTTATTTTCCTCACAACCAAAAAATTGTTCTAATTTCACGTCAATAGCCATGGTTCGGTCCTGTTCAGGATGGCTTGACATAAGTTATAATCCCGTACGCATGAACAACAGTCCAAAATAATAATATGAGAACTGGCATACAGTATGTGCTTCATTTTTTCCAACGTTTCACGTGCCCGGTTGAATAAAAGATAAATTTTTTATCTATTCTATAACCAAATCTCTCTCTCATGTCTCTATAAAGAAAAGGTATTGCCTTGTCATGTGCCATTTAATCTAGTCTCCCCCAATGTCTTTTGTTCATCAAATACATTTGTTATTTCATTCCTCACAAGAGGATAACAAGAATAACTCAAAATTCAAAACAAAGTCATAGATTCATAGAAAAATTAAAAAAAGACGGAAAAAAGTCAGAGCCTGAGGAGGTTACCCTGCAAGCAGTGACGCCAACATCCTTAGATTACCTACTGCAAGCGTTTGATGTTAGAACCCTGCTTCCGGCAGCATAAGATATGCTATCTTATGAACAAAAAGGACCATAATAAAAGTAGGCAGCAAATTACACATGCTAAATTCCTTTCATTTGCTTTGAAATTAAAAAAAGAGCTCAACCATCTAAATGTTCAACATCTACAATCACCTTCAATGTCTATTCAAAGGTGTCTGATGCCCCTCCGAAGAATGAACGCAAAACAAACCATGTGACTGTACTAATCATACACGCCTAAAAACCAAGCCAACAACAGATTAGGGTCTTGTGAGTATCTTTTCATTCTACTCTAACCCGTTTGGCATTTGCCTTCATAGGTGGTACATGTCATACCAACTTCTCCTCAAATTAGAATAATAATAGCCTTCTGCTTACTCCTGCTAAGAGATTCTACAGGAAGATCTTGATGCGGGCCCCTGTGACATTCAAGCGATTTTGTTGTCTATCTAGTTTGCATAAATACATAGTATACAGACAAGAAAGCAAGGTGAAAACCGCTATTTCTTCCATTGCTCGACTTTAATACAACATTTTCCCAGAGAAACCAAAAGAGAGAAAAGAATAAATGGAATATTAATTTTGTGGGAAAAATGATGAAACCAAGGAATTGAAAAGTTTAATGCACATGTTCCAGCCAAAATTTTAACAGGGTGGAACTTCGGTAGGCCCTGGCCCCTGTGAGAAGTAAAGGGATGAGATGTTAGATGACAGAGCATGCTATTGACACCATTACAGTGGCTTTACTTCCGGTAGTCTCCACTCAGGAAGTTTTCATAGTGTGTTCCTTTCAGAGACTTTTGGACTTCGTCCCAGTTCTCAACATAGTTAGATAGGGATCCTTTGTGTATCTTTACTTGACGACTCTTAAGTTCTCTTTGTGGAACCTTCAGAAAATCTTGAACATCTAATAATTTCTGCAAAATAAAAGAGAAACTAGTTATTATTTCTGTTTTGATCTTTGTTTGGTCACATTGTAGAGCTGAACCTGCATTTAAGGGCATTGACCAACAGCAGGGGGTTCTAAACAAAAGGTTCAAAAGTTCAGCTTACTGTGCGGTTCTTGACGACATCCTCATAATAAAGAATGATGTGCCTCGTACTGTTGAAGTACTCTAAGGCTTTGGCAGTTGTGTCTTCTACTTGCTTCAGATTAGGTATCAGCAATGTTGTATTGATCAAAGGCTTGTATTTAGCTAGTATCTCTGCCTGAAACCATCACTTGATATAAGATATCACAGACAGAAACTCTGACAGAGGGAGAGGTGTGTGAGAGAGAGAAACCTCACGAGGCGAATGAACATGAGATTTATGGGTTCCATTTAATGGCTTCACATCTCGATCATAAGAATTTGCAAGTATCGAAATCATCCTGCGTAACAGATTTCTCCTGAAGAGAAATATAGCTGAAACACCCTTGGTTTTGAAGTACTCCACTATTTCTTCATGATGCTGCATCGCACCCTACATCAATTGTTATGGAAAGGAACGTGAGAAGTGAAAATGAGATTAAATAAAACTAAAAGTAGATAATCAGGGGGGTTATGGAAAATACTAATATTTTTAAGATTGTACAGTCAAATGCCCATCTAGCAAAATTTGAATTTAGGACATTACAGCTATTAATAAATTTGTAAGACCTCAGTCTTCAAGAGGGAAAGAAACCTATGAACAACAATAAAAAATACGCATAACCTTGAAAGAGCCTAGCGTAAGAGAAATGCAACCAGAACTTGAATTTAGAAAACAGCATAACAACAGATTAATGTTGTTTTATCCAAGCAGCTTCAAAATGTGTTGTAAATAATATTTTTCATCCAGTGCTTTGATATTGAATCAGATAACAGAACAACAAGACCTTGAATTTAGAATACAGCATGTGAACAGATAACTGTTGTTCTGGCTGAACTGCTTCAAATATTCAATACAATAGGGGAAAAGATCATACAGTTCCCTACCGAGACAACAGAAACTCTCATTGCAAACAACCTATGTGGGCTGGAATATGTCATAAATGATTATGTTGAGCCTGTGTTTTGATATTGAATCAGTTAACAGATCAATAGAAACTTTTCATTTCCCACATTGAGAAGTCTTTTAAGATTTACCATCTAATACAATTCAACAAATAGTCCCATGCTGCTTTCGAAATGAGGCATTACTCCTCAAAAAATCATAGTCAGCAATGCTTAAAACAGCCTTCATACAGTAGAATAATATTTGCATATATCCAGCAGCTTTAGTCTGCATTCAGTAAGGAGGAAACAGGGAGAGGAGAAGGGAAACTTAAAGGTGCCTCATCTTTTCCTCGTCATTTAAAATTACGAGGAGAAGAAATGGAAGTAGAAGGAAAATGTTGCATATTTCCTCTATCAAGTCCAAAAAAAATTCCTCCCAAAATAGATGATATTTTAAGGGAAAGTATTAAAGCATGTTAAATGCAAAAATCCAAGCAAAGGGTGCAATGCCCAAACAAAGATTTATCAATAAGCGTTAGACTGAAACTAGGAAGACAGTAGATCATTATAAAAATGCCTTCTGTAGGCCTAAATGCACAAGGAAGATCATTGATGAGCAATAGGAGCTAGTCACCACCATTTGCAAACCCCAAAGTTTGTGGGTGAGAATGCTTTCGTAAGCTGATCCATGATGTTACTACCATACAGAAGTGTCTGCTCAACCTATACATGTACTAAAATGACTGTTCTCATCACTCTTCTGATAAAACAAACTCATATTCAAAATGAAAGAACAGAAAACAACAGACCATTTAGGGATTGCACTTTCACCTGATTAAGCATCCACTTCAATCCAACTGCAGCAGTACACTCATTCTTAGAAGCACTACTTAACCAATCCAGATTATAAATTTTATCCAAGGTCTCTGTAATCGTTGAAACATTACTCCGCCTAACTTTAACAGAGAAAATCTCTCCATTTGAGCTTATGTTAGTATGGTTGTTTAACAATGTCTCAAACCATCCACTCCCAGATCTCTGCATCGACAGAATAGCAAAGTACCTCACCGGATTGCACTTGCATTCAGCCCTATAATTCACCAAAAATCCCATCACTGACAAGGCCCACACAAAACCCAAATTCAGTGGCAGCATATATAATATCTTACCTGCTATAAGTTATTGGTTTCGGGTAGTGCACATAAGAGATTTCCCAAGGTTCAATATTAGGTTCCAGACACGGCCTTTCAATCACTTCAACATTCAAAAATCCAGGATTCGTTCGAATGCCAATTTGCTTAATACAAATTGAGCATATATACACACCGCATACCATTGCAAACACCAAAACAACCATCCTTAATGCCAATGGTGACTTCTTAGGAGCCTTTATAATAAAAGATTCCTGTCATTCATTAATCACCCACATTAAAGATTCACAAATCAACTGTGGTTTAGCTCAATAGCTAAAGCCAACAAGGGCAAAACTGTAAATAAAGAAAAAAAACAAGAAATGGTTATCACTGGAAACATCGAAGTAGAAGCTTGAGAGAGAGATTTTTTTTTATTTTTTGATCTAGCTGAGATAAGAAAGCTATTGTTACTGTTATTGACAATAACCCTTTTTTTCTCATTTCTACAACTTAATTAAAAAAAAAATTAAAGAAAAGTTGGACCTTGCTTTGCTTCTATGTGAATGCAAATAAAAAGAAGCAAAAACCAACAAAGACAGGAAGATTATAATGTTAAATAAATAAAATCCAGATCATTAAACATCACAAAAGCACATGTTAAAACATTTTTTATATTACTTAAATAATATCAAGAAATGAAAACAAAAATAACAAAGAACAAACCTTGGAGAAGAAGAAGCAGAGATCGTCAGCCATGAGGGCTTTTTAGAGAGATCAAAGGGGAAGAAGAGAAAGTAAAGGCATTTGGCAGCTGCTTACAGATTCTTTCTTTCTTCTTTATTTTTTAACAGTCCAGCTAGAGAAAAATAAAAAGGGCAAAGAAAGGATTATAGGCTTTTTATCGTGAGGAACGCAATGATTATTATATATTACCGTTGCACGGTCTCGTTGGTATCTAAAAAAGGTTTTTTCATTGAAAAAAGCTTTGGATTTAATTTAATAAAGATTTTCAGGTAATCCGATGCTTGTGTTGTTGTTATTACTTAATTAACTGAAAAGGGTAAAACAAGGAACAGACAAGGCAATAGCAACAAAAGGCTCGAATAGAAGGGCCTTTGGGCGTGGAATACCCTCAAGGATCCAAAAAAAAAAAAATTGGCAGTCACAGAGGGGGAGTTTGTCGGTGCGTTTACTAGGTACTCATGCTTGACGTATGAAACATGTATTTCATCCTTCCCTTTAAAAGCAAACGGATTGTCGTTCGAGGGATTCCAAAGAGAAACTAATGCATAGACCACAACACATGTTTTTCATCCATCCATTAACTCTTTGGTTAATGGTTACAGCAAATTCAGACAACAAAAGCAAAAACTGGCTCAAAGTTCAAACTAACTAACATGAGAAGAATCTAGGAAATATGAATTTTTTATTATGTGGGCCTTGAAATTTAAGCAGCTGAGCAGTTGATCAGTAGTAGAATATTTCGTCTATCAAGCTAGGAAAATTCAAGAATAACTTGTTTTCTCCATCTATGATAGTTTCAACAAATGAACTGTGTTGTGACGACGACGATGCAGCTTGATCGCCAAAACCAACATTGCTTTGGACTGCCAAATCCGTTCCGTTGACTCCAACATTAAGTTCGCCATTGATTTGATCACATTGTGGTATCATCACATTCAGATTCTGGCTTTGACTTGTCACAATAACATTCTGTGTCTGGTTCGTCAAGTCCTTGGATATTGAAACTTCTGCCGCATTTTCTTGTGCTGCTTGTGGATCACTGGGGAGAAATTCGTCTTCTAGAAGAAAGTCGCACCAGCTAAAGCTTGTTGGCAAATTTTCTTGAGCTGCGGTGGAGCAAGTAGATGATGAAGATGAACCTTCATCAAGAATATAATTAGGCCCTGCCATAGTCTGATATTTAGTGCAAGTACTTGAGGCCTCCGCCACCAAATTTATGGCTTGAAGCTGATCAAGAAGATCAAGTGAGTGATTGTTAAACTTGTTGTTCAAGAAACATTCTTGAATTGGTATCTCAGGCGGTACAATTGTTGTCAGCAAATGGCTGTTGATGTTTGAGATTCCTTCAGGTGGGAATGGATATCGCTCTGGTTTCAAATGGATAGCATTCTTTAGATCTCGACTGAGTGACCCAATTCTGCTTCCAGATTTTACGAGACCACCAATGTTTTCATAGTCAGCTAAAATTTTAGAGAACGGCTTGTGGGTAACAGGATCTATCCCCATTTCAGAGAGCTTCTTTCTTAACCTAGTGTTCCAGTAGTTTTTCACATCATTATCTGTTCTTCCAGGAAGTTGTTGGGCTATGATAGACCACCTGGAACATGAAAACCATGAGAGAGAGAGAGAGAGGGTGTGTGTGTCATTATTTTTGCACTGTTAACAGAAAACTGTTGCATCTCTTGCATGCATCATTGGCAGTAAGTTCGTTATGGCCTGCTATTACTAAGATTTGAGAAATTTTGCATATATAGTACAATCATGTCGATCGGTTAAAAAAGCATGCAAAGACACAATCTGATCAATCGTCCATTGAAGATATACTATACATATAATATGCAGTATTGTTTTCACAATTTTAGCATGAAAGTGTTAGTTCTCAAAATAGTATTTTAACTTTAACAGCTAATAGATGCTGGGAATTAAAAATTTTTACCAGCGTAATACCTAGATTACACATTGATTCGATGCTAATGTAATACACCAGTACACCACAACATGTTTGGCACTGTTGCTAACAATGTTGTTCCTCAAGCATTTCCCTTAGACAAAATGACTGAGATTTTGGTAAGAATAAACTGTAACTTAGGATAGTAAAAAGCTGGACTTGTAACTTAATTATGATCAGCAGATTCGTGAAGTGGTTGAGAGTAGGCAGCAGGGAAACTGAAAAATGTCGCCTTTAAAATGGAGACAAGAGAAGACAATATATATATGCCTGTCAAAACAAACTCGAGGGGGAAATGAACATAAAGTTTGCTTCATCATATTGGAATTAATTATCAGTTTAAAGCTTTAGGTTGCAAAACTGCATTGATCAATGGAAAAAAGGAGAAGAAGGTAAAAAGAAAGTTTTTTCTATTAGCACCATATATATATATATATATATATATATATATATATATAACATGTAACAAAACTCAGTACCTGCTACCTATGGCTGCATGAAGCCTGATAATCATCTCCTCTTCTTCGGGTGTGAAGCTGTCATGCTTGAGATCAGGCCTCAGGTAATTAGTCCATCTAAGTCTGCAACTCTTCCCACATCTTTGAAGTCCTGCAAAACATGCTCATTTATGGAAATCAAGCAGGTTGACAGGAAAATTCAAAATTATAGGAACATTGTTAATTATAATCCAAATCATAACAATAATATGTAAAAATTAACCTGCTTTCTTTGGAACAGCAGTCCAATTCCCTGTACCATGCTTGGCCACATGAGCAAGTAACTTTGCATCTTCCTCTACCGTCCAAAGACCCCTATTCACATTCAACTTGTCACAGCAAGGAGGTCTCACCATCTTATCTGTTTTATGCAAAGTAACAAATCAAAAAATAATATCACAAAATAGGGGGAAAAATTTAAGGAAGGTTAATTGAGGTATAATTAATAGCTATTGATATCATGCAACTAATTGAAACTTAAATTCTACAGAAAAATGCTCTTTTTTGCGAGGTTGGGCTAGATGAGGAAGAATGTGGGTTTAAAGGTACAACAAGTGTTGAAGCAAGAAAAGCATGAAGCTAGCTCACATTTAACTAAATTGCATGATGTGAAGCATCTTGGGATGAGATGAAAAAAAAAAAAAAAAACGAGAATGCTAGCAACCATAAATTTTTGTTATTTCTTTTTACAATCGCTACTAATATTAAAAAAGTCCCATTTAAACAAAACGTTTCGTAAAATGTATATTTATGCATGCACTTCTAACTTCTATTAAATCCATTTGTAATTAAAATCCAAGAATAATGAAATGACATCAAAATTCAACAAAATATCAAGTTGACCTTAGCTATTTTTTATTAGTCGAGTTATAGTCTTATGTTATCTTTGAATTCAATAGATGGAAAGATTAACACCTTTTGAGAAATTCTACTAATAATAAGAAAAGAAAAGTAGCAATTTTTTTCTATATCTTTAATATTTGTCTAGCATATAATAAAAAAGGATTTATAAAAACTATAATAATATTATTATAATGTTAAAAGTTAATGGAGCCTTGAATAAAGTTTTTGTTCACACCATACACCTTAAGTATTTGACTTATATATAAAGTTTAATTGAATAAGGACTTCATTAGACGAGATTAATTCACAGCTATTATAATATAATAATAATTTTGATGGAAAAAGACATTTTAGTTTTACAATTTTAAATATAAACAATATTAGTATATGAGATATAATATTTTATCAAGTTTTGGACATTGAATATCAATTCTAAAAAGTAAAAGAGGATCAACTTATGAATCGTATGACTAGGATTACTCATTAGAGAGGGATTAGTTGATTCTCCATGTTACGCTGAAGGTCGAACAGAATAAAATCATTTCAAATTTTTATTATTTTTTATTATTTTTTTAGTTTTTTTAGTTTTTTTTTTCATTTTTCATAAACTTTCTAATTAAAAAATTATTTATTATTCTTTATGCATTAATTTTTAAATAAAAATTTGTAATAATTTAAACTAGAATATTAATCAATATATATATATATATATAATTTAACAATATATGTTTTATAAAAATGTATCCAAAAAAATAAAGTTACAATTAATGATAGACTTGTATAAAAAATAACTAATAAAAAAATTATTCTTATTTAATGATGATGAGAAAATTATTTTTGAAAATATATGCATTTGATCTATATATATATATATATATATATATATAAAATAATCAATAATATTAGCATAAAAAATTAAACTGTATTTGAATAATTGGTTGGCTCTTTTAAACAATTATTTTAATTATTTTATTTCAAAGAAATTAGTTCTATAATATTAAAAAATATATATATTCATAACAAATAGTTGGTGTTATGAGTAAAGATGCATAATTAATTTTTAATAAAACCGAGGATTCAATAATTTTTTTTATATGTTTTGACTATACCTAACGGATTGAGATAAATTATGTTAAATATACTTTTAATATTTTATATCAATTTCTATAATTTAAAAATTCTAATAATTCATAATATATATTATATCAATTTATTTTTAAAAAAAAAGAAGAAAAAAAATTCATGTTTTAAACTTTTATTCTAAAATTCAAATTTAGAGAAAAATTAATCATTTTTTTCAATAAATAAAATTTCATATAAAAAAATTATTAATTGAATGAGATTTTAAAAAAATGAAAAATAAAAAGAATAAATTTTAATTAGTAAGAGATTACAATTTGAAATATATGTTAATTTTAAAATATAAAAAAATTCTATATATATTTTATTCTAGCTACGCTGTGCAAAAAATACAAATAATAACGTTCTATGTTCCATAATTTTTGCCTAAAAATTCTTAATTAAAAAATAGAGAAAAAAAAAGGACCAAACCCACGTGCCTAGGTCTACCCGGAAAAAAAAAAGACTAGTTTACTTTTTCGACAAACTCTACAACTTTTGATGAAGTCGAGTTCACCGGAAAGAAGGGGTTTTTTAATTTCCAGCCTCCTAAAACCAAATACAGCTCTATTTTTGTCCAAAAACACCACAAAATCACATAAATAAAGTAAAAAATATATTTTTAGAATCTCAAAACCCATTTTAATGTGAAAAAAAAAAAGAACAAGAACAAAAATTCAATCAAAATAAAAGAAATCAAAATATTTTCGAATTCTAATCTACTTCCTCCGATCATTTCATAATTTGTCACAATTATAAATAGATTCTACTCTTCGGAATGAATAAAATAATGGTAAGATTGATTATCGGGGTGGTTGGAATGAGTTTATTTATCTCTTTCTCTCTCCTCGTTTCTCTCTCTTATTTGCATGTAGGGACAAAAGTGCACATTTTCAAACAAATAGTGTAAGTGCATAATGAATAAATAGTGATTTCAAAGACAATCTACAGTAGATGAATAGTAAAACAAGAGATAGTAAATAGTGTGTGAATAATGATTTTGTTTTTGTTTAATTATTTTAGTTAATTAGTAATAGTAATAAGTTCACATTTTTTATTTTTTAATAATGATACTTTGCTTTTAATTGTTTTTATATTTATATATCAAAACTTATTAAGTTTTTCGCATACACTCCTAGATATCATTATTCTCACATAGAAATTTTTAATGGTTTTGTTGCAATACCTTAAAAACGATATTTAAATATTCAATCCAATAAAATATCAAAGTAAAATTTATGAAATAATTTTAAATAACTCAATAAAAAAAATTAAATTATAAATCAAAACAAAATACATAAATTCAAAAATATAAAACGTGAAACAAGAATATTTCAAACTAAATTCTTATAATACAATAATGAAAATCTCTAAAATATATCTCAAAATTAATTAAAAATTAGATTCTATTTTGAGTAACCGTGTAAAATTATCTCATTAATTAACATAACTTTAAATCACGTTAACTATCACATTATCCACTCTCTATTAAAAAATATTTAATTTTTATTAAGTATATTTTAAATTAATTATATATAGTTTAAGATCATTTTAAACGTTTTGAAATTTAAGAAATCAAATAAAACATACCTGCAATATAAGTACAAAAAAAAAAAAAAAAGGATGCACCAGAAGTATCATTGTTGGCATTAACTGCACTATCTAATTAGGGAGAGCAGGTTACAAAGAAAAAGTCAAAAAAGGGGCAGGAAAAAGAAGAATGCAAGGGTAAGAACGTAACTTGGCACCATCATTAACTGACACGATAGCAATTAAGCAATCAATAATATAAGGGTATTAAATTGATATTTGAGAAAAAGACAGCTGCAAAAGGAAAATAACTTTTGAAACGGTGCTAGAAAAGAATTCCACTTCTTTCGGTGTTTTTTTTCTTTTTTTGGTAATGTTTTGGAGTAATGGGTTTAATAATGAGATTTTGTGGATGATTAATTGAGGAAGGCAGGTGCCACGCATTAGGGTTGGGCTTTTTGACTTTTTGCCTTCAAAATAATCGTTAGTTAGTGACTCTCCTGACCGTTGTTTAAAGAATATTTATTCTTATTACTCAAGATTCCTGAGAAATAAAAGGAACTGAATATATTTAGTACGGAGAATTTCAGTTGAGGCAGAACCTAAGCCAATCCAGGTATTGCCTTGCGATACCATAGTTGGTCTACAAATTCAGATTCGTTTGTAGTAAGCGCTATTGACAGTTTCAGGAACATAACTGCTTAAAAGATTAAGTTATAGTTTTATTAGAATGTCAAGTAAATTGATGTTTTTTTCTTCATGTTTTAATATTAACATTATCAATAAAACTAAAATAAAACATAATTTTACTATTTATTTACTATTTGAAAAATTATTCACATACTTATAAATCATTATTCCTTTTATTATTTATGATATTTTTGTAATACTTTAATCCTCAATTTTTCTATAATTTTTTTCAATTTCAAACTTTAATTGTGTTATGATTTGATCCATTATATTTTAATATTTTTTGTTAATTATTTTTATTATTTAAAATTTACTACTTTAATTTATTATTTTTTAAAAATTTTATTTCTTTTTTCAATTTTAAACTTTAATTATATTGTGATTTTGTTCCATTTTGTTTTAGTGTTTTTTGTTAATTAATTTTATTATTTTAAATTTTCTACTTTAGTTTGTCATTTTCTAAATTCTCATCCAATTAATTTAAAATTATATTTACTGATATTTTTTTATTTATTTTTCTATATATATGAATTTTAGAATAAATTTTTAGAACATGATTATTTTTATTTTGAAAAATAGATTTAGACAATTTTTAAATTATAGTGGCATGATATATATATATATATATATATATATATATATATAAATATATATATTTTTCTGAAATATATTTTGAGATTAAAAGTGTATTTCAAATAATTTTTTCTCAGTTTTTTTATTATTTTAAATTTACTACATTAATTTGTCATTTTTTTAAATTCTCTTTTTTTCTTTTCAATTTCAAACTTTAATTATATTGTGATTTGGTCCCATTTTGTTTTATTATTTTTTGTTAATTATTTTTATTATTTAAAATTTACTACTTTAATTTGTCTTTTTTAAAAAAAATTATCATCTAATTAATTTAAAATTATATTTACTGATAATTTTGATTTATTTTTCTATATGTATGGATTTTGAAATAAAATTATATGCATGTCAGTAAATTTTAAATTATTTTTTTAAATTATACTGATATGCTTAATATATATAATTTGTCTAAAATACATTTTTAGATCAAAAGTGTTTTTCAAATAATTTTTTCTTGATTTTTTTATGTTATTTAAAATTTACTCGCATTAATCTGTCATTTTTTTAGTTTTAATTTCAAACTTTGATTATATTTTGATTTGGTCTACTTTTTTTTAGTGTTTCTTGTTAATTTTTTTATTATTTAAAATTTACTACTTTAATTTGTCATTTTTTTTAAATTCTCATCCAATGAATTTAAAATTATATTTACTAATAATTTTGATTTATTTTTCTATATGTATGGATTTTGAAATAAATTGTTAGAACATGATTATTTTTTCTTTTGAAAAATATATTTAGATAACAATTAAATTATAGTGCCATGATTCATATATATAATTTGTCTAAAATACATTTTTAGATTAAAAGTATATTTCAAATAATTTTTTCTCGTTTTTTTTTAGGAAAAACTTTAATTAATTAATTAATAGTTGAAAGTCAAATTAATATATTTTTTATTTTAATATTATCCATTCTTTTATAAATAAATATATAAAAATTAAATTCACACTTTTTCAAAAACCGATATTCTCATCAACATTAAATAAAAAAATATATTTGTTCAATTCTATGTAAGTTTTTAATAATTGTTATTTATGTTTTTCTACACAACCTTATGAAATTCTAATGCTTTTTTTTAAAAGTTATTTAATTTTCTTTTTAGTTAATAATCCATGAATTAACAAGGATAAATCTTTTTTTCTAAATGAAAAATTATGAAAAACACAAATAAGAAATAGTTAAATACAAAATTTTTTATTAGAAAATTATAAATAATTTTTTTAATTTTTGATTTCATATATTTTTATAGATTCACATAATAAAACGAGACTATCAAACTAAAATAATTTCTCTAAAAGATTTTATATATTTTATTTAATCCATAGGCTAAAAAACTAGTTGGATACTAAATAAATATTTATCGGATTCACTTACACAAGTATATACACACATAACATGCATGTTTATTTCGGTTAACGCTTAAGTGGATTTTATAAATTTTGACATGTATGCCGAGTATAGATGAATAAACAAATAAGGTATAACTCATTTCAATTAATATTTCAATGAATAATTAGTGCATGTGAGTATACAAACTAGTAATAACTTTGTAAAGATAATCCTATTTTATTAACTTACCCCATTATTATGACATCAATTCTATAACATGCAACTAAATACAAAAAGATTTTTGAATGGATAATTTATGAAAATATAGTAATTACTCAACGAGTATGAATTATATTTGATGCTTTGATCTTATTATCTTAAATCGCACTTACCATTGTTAAATTAAATAGCAACTATGCATTAAATATTGAAATAAATATTTTATAACAAATAACGGCGATATGAACATATTTTTATCAATTACTTTCAACATATGATAACTAAGTTTAAAAATTAAAGCACATGAATGTTACATAGAATTGGTCCTTAATTCATCTATCGTACTATACACGTGTTATGCATTATTTCACTTACTATACAATCATATGTTATTCGTTTAGTTACATAAAGAAAAAATTGCAATAAATTCAAGTGTCAATAAATTAATTATAAATATTAAATAGTGTGAAAAAATGAGACATGGTTCAAAGCTCATAGACTTGGGCTCCTATTGGTAGATGCAAAGTAGACGCGGCGAGAACCTCAAAACTTCAATGTCAAATTGTGATATTTATGGGATATAACCTTTAACTAAAGCGTTATAAAAGTTTACCTAACTGCTTAAAACTATTTGATTTTTAAGTTTTTATTTGAATAATTGCACATGTTTAAAAATGGGCTTGTATTAACCAAAAAAAACAAACTTGAATTTAAGTTAATCGAAGCTATAAGTTATTTAGCTGTTTGATTCAGATTTAAATTCGTAAAAATATCAAGTTGAAGTTTCAAATTCAGATTCAGATTTTTTACAATGATTTAGTCAAACCATTAACACCTCTAACTATGATAAATTCACTTCGTGGTATAATAACTCTTCTGTCCAACTTATTAGTAACTATAAATGATAACTTGCTAATAACTAATTATAGGCTTCATATATATCACGTGAATATCTTAAAAAACGGAATCTTAAATAATAATTAGAAGCAAACTCACTGGGCAGTAAGCAATCAAATGATGCCTCCTAAGATATGTAGAAAAATTCTGACACCGCCGAGAACTAGCTGTGATTAGTGTCGTAAAGAAAAGAAACACATGGAAAACTTCGTAAAGGTTGACAGCAAATCATCAAGTTAAAAAACCTTATTTTATATTCTCTGTAGATCAATAAGGGTATCTACAAACAGCCGAAAGCATATTCTCCCATCTTCGTTCCCCGCCTATCTCATTTGACAAAATGAACGTGGCTTTCACCAACTATTCTAACCTTCTTTTTACCCACCAACATACTTTTGTTAGCTTACTAGTTACTAGTGACCTTTTTGGTTTCATATATGCCTGTACACGCATCTTAGAGTTTTGTCATCCTCCTCGACATAGTCAAATCCTCTCGCAACAAATTCTCTCTCAATTTTGCTTATGAACAGAGATCATTATTCGGCTTTCAGTTAGAATTTTAACAATATTGCTTTTAGTTAATCGTAATTACAAAAATAAAAATTTAATTCATATCAAATTACTATTTGGTCTTTTGTTTTGGTTTTTTCCATTTAAATCTTTTGTTTTTAATTTTTTTTAAATTTTAAATAATATGAATAGATAAAAAAACACAATGAATCCATCTTAAAAAACTTTTTAAAAAACGGTTTTGGTTTAAATCGAATAAAAAATTTTAAAACCAAAGTGAAACGAAAAAAATAGGTTCTTTTTTTTAAAAAAAAAATTCAGTTAAAAATCTAATTGAAATTGATATTTTGATTTGATTTAATTTGTTTTTGGTGCTCGCCAATGCTTATGGATTCAATCCCCAAAGAACTAACTCATATAGAGATGGTAGAGAGGTACATGGTCATGGACCATGTTACTACTGGGCTAGACCCAGAAACCTGGGTCAGATCCAAAGATGTTGTGATCTCACCTGAGAGTGGCATCAAGTTCTTCTTTTCATCCCAGAAATTGATGACTCGGTTCAAAAGTTTTCCCTTCTCGTCCCCTATCTTGGTGGAGGCTTCTGTACTGGTTCGCCATTTGACATTGTAAGCAATAAATTTCTTCCTTCTTTAGTCGTCTTGCCAATATCATCGCCATTTCTATTGATTATAGATTAGACCCAGAACACCCTTTACCAATTGCTTGCATGATTCATAGGCTTGGACTACAATGGATTGGTAGTCACTCTGATGGGCTGGGGTCCGAACCCTGGCTTAACGACCATATAGATTTCTGGCGGGCTTTCTTAAATGGGTAAGAATTATGGGCCAAACATAGCCCACCATATGGCGGTTCAAACAGGTACTGATGGATTGGTGGGCACAAAAATCCTTGGTGGACTTATGGTGCATCTATTCTTTGGCGTTAGAAGCGGAAGATGAAACGTACAAGCATTTGTGTCCAACGAGTTCTGCGTGTGATGACGACCCAAGATTGAATATATTTAACGCTATGTATAGCGACATAAAGGCTTTATTAATTTTAAAAAAATCATAAAAATAAGGAACATGACAGAGCTGCAAAGAATTTTTAAATCTGAAATTTATTAATCAACAATGACTGATGGCCAAATACTTAAAATAATTTAGATAAGCCACCCTAAACATACAAAAGACAAAATAAATAAGCAATAAATCTTGACTAAATTTAGAGATAATCAAAACCTAAACAGAAATAAGAAAAAAATAAATAGAATGGCTACAATTCTTAAACAACATAGACAATCTAGACCTATCTTATGAGTGTGAATCATAAAAAGGTTTGAAAATGATTTTTTGAAGTGGATTTTAAACTTTTTTTTTAAAAAAAAAAACTTCAATGACCTTTAATGCTCTACACTATGTGGATTTTTGAATAAATTTTTCAAATTGATATAATTTGTGTCAATCGAATAGATAAATAAAAAAATTATAGTCTTTTAAAAAATCAGTAAACATTTATATTTTCAAATTATCTTTTTAAACTCTTATCTGTTAATATGATGCATAGAATTATCAACTATCTGTTCAAATCACTGTTTGTTAAAAATGAGCTGCCATAAAGTTCTTGTTTGTGCGGCCGAGAAAGATGAGCTTGATGCTCGTTTCGAGACATCGGTTAGTCGTGAGTGGGGGTAGAAAAGTGAAATTTTATGAGAGGGAAGGAGAAGACCATTGCTTTCGTTTGTTCAAAACAGATGGCAAGAAGCAGGCGCTAATGAAGAAGTTTGTTCCCCACGAAGAGTGCTTCGGTGGTAAAAATTTTGAACTTTCAATAGTAGATTCAAAATTCAAATCTCAATTTTCACGTTTTCTATAACCATCATAAAATTTATTTTTTTTTTAGATTTCAAGAATATATAAGACTTAAAACCTCTAATTTTAAAATCAATCTATATCGATAAAAAATGATTAGAAGTTCGAATTAAAAAAAAAAAAAAGAATAATGTTGAGTTTACTACTAAGAGTAAGTTTTTTTGGGTGGTATCAAATGGACACAGCACAGCCGCACAAGGCACCTTTAAATTCGTTGTACAATAAGTCCAGTTATATTCAAGTGCTCTTAGATCTTATTGCAGCTAGAATGGTGTTTTGGTATCGAGATTGAAAAAAAGAAAATAGAGATGAATTGTTATAGAAATAATTGTTACAAGAATAATTTTTTAAGGGTGTAAAAAAACATTGATTTTTAAAGATGTTTGGTATATATATCAATTGAATGGTAAAATGTTGATGGAAAGAGAGAGAAAATAATTAAATTATTAGTAATGATTAATAAGAGGCAATTAAAAATTAATTTGGTGTATACTTTAAAACAGAAAAGGAAAAGAAAGATAAATAGATACAGTACTTCTGTGGATTTGGGTTGGAACTTTATTTCTTTTTCTTTTTTTTAAAAAAAAGGATCATATCCTACGTAGTTGTTCCTTATGAATAAAATCTATTAATTCTCATATTTTAATTTTACAGGATGTAACTTTATATGGTTTATAATAATTATTAATTTTTTTAAAGAAAACCCGAGTCCATCTCTCTAATATCCGACAAGCAAACAAAGCCCTTCATCCTATTCGACCTGAGCAAATCGAATGCAAAATAAATGAAGATTATAGGCACTTCATATCAGGCGAGGGGACAAAGAAAAACTCGCCTCCACCTCCGTTCATGTTCATCGCACCTATGTGCAATAAAAGGGATTTAGAGGAGAGTGTGATGTTTATGAAGTCTCTTCTGGCCATTTCAGATTTCAGGGAAGTGATGGAAAGCATGGCAATAGACATGAGAGATTTTATGTTACTTGCGAAATAACTATTGATATTTAGATATAAAGAAATAAGAAAAAAAAGTTAAAAAAAAGAAAAAATTATCATTTTTAATGAGTTCAAATTTAATGTATTTATATCTTTTTTCAAAAATAAATTTATAAAATAACTATTATATACTTACAATAATTATTCTTAAAATATTTTAAAATTTTTGAAACGCAATCTTTTTGTGTATATAAGTTAAGAAGTAAAATTACCAAAAACTAATTAAAAATAACACAATTTTTTAATACATCTCAGTCTCAAAAACTCATACTAATATCACATAAATAATATAATACCACTCTATTGCAACTTGTGCAAAATTCAAAACATCTCACAATACCGTATCATAAGGCCATGAAAATAGAAGTTTCAAATGACTCTATTACTGTTTATACATTGTTTTCTACCAATAGGATTTTTAGGTAATCGTATGGGCTGGAGCAATGATGCAAGTAGCTAAACCACCCAAAAAAAAAAAAAAATGAAAAAACGCTATGATTTTTTAATGGTAGATGCACATAGTCAACGGCGTCTTATTTTTGCAGATCTATTATTTGATTTTTTTGCCTAACGTATCATCATTGATTTAATTCGTCACCAACTCTAGCACTCACATTAATATTTTTTAATAAATTACAGAAATTCCTTTTAAATATTGTAAAATTATACCACTATCTCTAATTTTGGAAATTTGACAAAAACTCTTTCGTATTCAAAAAAAGAAAAATATTACAAATATATATATATATATATATATATATATATATATATATATATATTTTTTATCCAAAACGTCCTTATCAGTACTAAGTTAATCTCCTCCAGTGCTAAAATAAATAAATATTAAGTACATTTTAGATCCAAAAAAAGATTTTTGTAATATCCTCAAATGTTTTGATGATATTTTTAATTCCAATACACCTAAAAAGAGTTATTAAAATTCTTAGGTATCTTTTTTATTCCAATACAAAAGTAGCAGTTGGAATGGATGCATCAGTATACGGTGGCAAATAAAGATAAAGAGATAATTTTATATTTTAATCACAGGGTTCGTATGCACCAACACACCCAACTATAGCAGTACGAAAACATCATTTTCACATAGTCATTCCCACCTAATCTCGTTTGTCACGTTGAACCAGTGACTTGTCTCTTACCATGATTATTCTAGCTTAATTAATTAGGTTACTTGTGACTTCTTAAGTTTTATTTAACTGTACATGTCTCTGCACGCATTTTAGAGTTTTGCCCTTCATCTGTGCTGTAGCTAAAAACTTCCTTTCTCTTGTCTCTTTCTCTCAAATTTGATATGGCTAACACGAATGAAATAACTCATGATTTCTCGCCCTTCTTCAAAGTTTACAAAGATGGCAGAATAGAAAGGTTTATGGTCCTGGATGATCTTCCTGCTGGCCTAGACCCAGAAACAGGGGTCATATCCAAAGATGTTGTGATCTCACCAGAGAGTGGCGTCAAGGCCCGAATTTTCATCCCGGAAACTGTTAGCTCAGATCAAAAGTTGCCCCTGCTAGTCCACTATCATGGCGGTGGCTTTTGCCTGGGATCGGCGTTTCACATTCTAACAAAAACCGTCCTAACTTCAATAGTCGGCCAAGGCAATGTTATTGCCATTTCTATCGACTATAGATTGGCACCAGAACACCCTCTGCCAATTGCTTACCATGATTCATGGGATGGGCTAGAATGGATTGCTAGTCATTCGAATAGGGTTGGACCCGAGCCATTGCTTAACAAGCATGTTGATTTCGGGAAGGTTTTCTTAATGGGCGAGAGTGCCGGGGCAAATATAGCCCATTACTTAGCGGTCCAAGCAGGTGCCAATAGCTGGGTTGGCTTAAAGATGACCGGTGTGATTATTGTGCATCCATTCTTTGGGGATAAAGAGGTAGATAAAATGTACAGATACATGTGTCCAACAAGTTCCGGTGGTGATGATGACCCAAAATTGAACCCGGCAGTGGATCCCAATTTGTCGAAAATAGGATGCGATAAAGTTCTTGTTTGCGTGGCAGAGAAAGATTTTTTAAGAAATAGAGGGGAGGCCTATTATCATACCTTGGCTGCCAGTGAGTGGGGTGGAAAAGTGGAATTTTACGAGACTAAAGGAGAAGACCATTGCTTTCATGTGTTCAAACCCTGTCGAGAGACAGATGAGCTGATCAAGAAATTCGTTGATTTCATAATTGTTTGAGTAGCTTTTGGCACTACAAAATGTGGCCGACCATTATCGTGACATGAGCATCTTTACTCTCTAGCATTTGTTATTCAAGAGCTCTGAATAATTCCTGCATCTTAGTTTTTTATGTTTTATATTAGAATCATTATGTTATCCAGTTGAGGCATATTTATAAACGATGCCGTTGCATGCTTTTTTTTTAATTGTTGTTCATTGGTGCTGGTTTTGCTTAAACGTTTGCTCTGGAGCACCATTTATACTATTGGTCTTTTGCATCTCAAGAGCAAAATCTTCCGCACGATAGCAATAGCTAAATTAATGTTAAAGAATAAAGCAAAGAAGCCCTCGCTCAAAAGATCGAGAGTTTGAATATTTTATACTATAGATCGAGAGTTTGAACATTTTATACTATAATTTATATTTAATAATATATTTATGTTTTTATACAGAGCCAGCTTTATAATATATGTGACTCTAGGTAAAATAATATTTTTCTTGACAATTTTAATTATATTTTCATTTAAATCTTTATCTTGTTCTTCTAGTATTCGGGGTTTAATATTAGTAACAAATCTATCAAGTGCACCTTTTTTAGATTGAATTAGTTCTTCTATTTTTCTTTTTTCTTACATTTTTTATATCTAGATTCATACTTTCTAATAGACATTTTATTCAAATAATAAAATTAAAATATAATTATAAAAAGAATAAGAAACTTTAGCACTCGATTATATTTGCTTGTCACACCTAATCAAGTAAACCTGGAGAGAATCACTCGAGAAAATTAAAAAAAAATTGAAAAAAAATAAAATATTATATGATTTATATACATAATTTTATTTGCATAAATTAAAAAATTACCTTTAGATTCTTCTCGTCAAGCTAATTAGAAAATGTTTTATAAAAGATCCATGATTGTTTGGAGAAAGAAAAGAATATAATAACAAAATTTGAAGATCTAAAATTTGTTTCACTCACAAATATTTTTTTGAAACTTTTCCGTAAATAAAAATGTCTCACTAAAATAAAAATTGAAAGCTTTTATAGGTAGAAGGCAACTGAAAGACATCTAAAAATATAGAATTTTTAATATTGAAATAATAATATCTCCGAACAATTAGAACCTTTCAATATAGGAACTCTAATACATATGACCTATTAATAGAGAGAAGAATGATATCTCATACTTAGATGGAGACTATATCTTTTAATTTATCTCATTCTTCACGACTGTAAGTTTAAGATAAAATTTTAATTGTATCCCTTTTCTATGAGGCCCTAAGCATAGGCTTAATGGCTTATGCCTTGAGCCGCCATTGTCTTTTTATAGTAGTATCGTAACTATTCTAATAAAAAAAAATTAATAAAATCAAAGAGGAGAGTGATGTGAATTTAATAAAATCAAATTTATTTTGATGCATGAGTATATATTAAAATTTGGTTCCTAAATTAAATATCTCGACTCTTCCGCCAGCACATCATGGTCATTGCAACAATATATATCGTGTTTGTTAATACAGTCCATGTGTTTTTATAATAATGTGTTTGATTGAATAGATGTTTTTTTGAATTTTTTGTTTTATATTATCGGCATATTAAAATCATTCAAAATCATCAAATTGATGCTTTTTTGGTCCAAATATACTCTTAAAAGCAAATGCATTACTAAACGCATTTTTTTCCTTATAAAATGTGAAAAATCATTCAGTTGGTCTAGTAAATATGATAAGAAACAAAAAAGATAAATATTTTTTTATTTTGAACCAGTAAATAGTTATAGATATTTGCATTCATGCATAAAAATGTAGAAAGATTCACTATCTTTAATTTTTTTTTTTCGATTTAAGTCCTAAATTTTTTTTTTTTTTATCAAGAATCAAATTTTGCATTTTCGCTGACCAATTACAAAAAAAAACTAAAATAGAATGCTTAAACCTTGTAGCTTCTACTATTGCTCATCACTCATTTTCACTATATCTTTTACTGTTCTCGTTCTTTTTTTTTTTTTTCATTCTTTTGCTAGCTATCTGGCCATCCGATCGTTGTGTTGAATTCTCTCAGTCATTGGATCTCCCATTTGTGATTTGCAGACAATTATATATTTCATGCGCATGCGTTTTTTGGTCCTTGCAAACATCGTTTTTCATCCTCGTATTTTTTGCACCTTCACCTTTGATTCTTAAGAGTCATTTCTATTGCCTTTTTATTTTTTTCTTATTTACGTTAAGCTGCCATCAAATTGCTCTGTCATTACCTCATGGCCCTTCTTTCTTTAATTTTTCTTGAGACTTATACGCCTTTTTTGTAACTAGCCCATTTCTCTCTCTTATGTGTTTTCTTTATATATCTTTAATGCCATTGAGTGTACATGTCATTACGTTTTTTAAAGTAAATTATAAATTATTTCTTATCTTTTTGAAAAACGTATTCTAATTTCAAAACCTAGTTATTTAATCTTTTAAATCAATATTGATTATAATTAATTTAATATTTTTTATTTTGTAAAATGTATTCTCTTTTCATCAATCGTTCCATAATTTTTACTTGTATTTTTTTTTCAAAAAACAATAAAAATGACTAAATGATTGGGTTTTAAAACCATGGGACTAATTAATTGGTTTTTTTTTTTTTTTAATGAGAGGGACTAATTTATAATTTAATCTAAGTTTTTGCCCTCTCCTTTTATTTCTCTCTCTCTGTTGGCATTTCTACGCCCTTTCAGTAACTTTTGAAATTTAATATGGAGAGCATTTAAATCCACAATTTTCCTTTGCCAAACTAAGGTTTAATGCCAATAATTACCCTCAAGTTATGAGGTTATGATAATTTAAGACTCGTACTATTAATTTAGCCTATTTAGCCTATTTGAACTTTAAACTATTATTTAATGGATAAATGTTATATTCCTCCTCCGTTATCTCCAACTCGTCAAAACATTGACCTTTTAACGAACAAAATAATTTAATGACAAAATTTACTTTAAAACTATCGGGGCTATTGGAAAATTATATCTACACTATCAATTTAGACTGTTTGAACCTCAAATTATTATTTTTTTTACAAATTTGATCATTCTTCATTATTTTTTATTGTCAAAGTATTGATTGTTAACTAAAATATTTAAAACGATGTCGTTTTAAGCAATTTGAATTTATTTTATAATTAAAATTATTTTTTAAAAAGTAATAGTAATTCAATTTTTTTTAAAATACATGGATATGTTGCACCCCATTAATTTCTAACGACGAAAGTAAGATAAAAAAAAAAAAAACATCCAAGCTACATTAAAAAACCAATGATCATTAAATATTTTTGAAATTAAATTAATTTAAAAAAAATAATTCAAAATTTTTTTATACTAGATTGATCCATTACATATAATTAATTATCCGCTAACAAAAATCAAATTTATAGAGAACAAAATCATCTAAACTTTCTTATAACTAATTATTACTAAAAATTAAAAATGAAATTAATTTATTTTTTTACAAAAAAGCTCGACAATAATGGAGAAGGATAAAATTTATCCAAAAACTAATAGTTTAATATCCAAATAAACTAAATTGATAGTATAGACCTTGAATTGCTATAATCCAATAGTTTGGGGGTAAACCACCAAATTGAGCTCTTTGATGAACAAATGCTTGGAGTTATAGTAGAAAAGCCATTGATATTTTTAATAATCTCCAGTTTTTCTTTCATTCATTTGGTAAACAAATTAGATTGATTGGGTTCTATTTTTTTCTTCTAAACTTTATGGATTTTTTTTAATAGATTGTTTAAGGAATGAAAGAAAAAAAACGAGATAGAAAGAAAGGACATTTTTTTCTTCTAAACTTTACGGATTTTTTTTAATAGACTGCTTAAGGAAAGAAAGACAAAAAAGTATAAAAAGGAAAAAAAAAGTCGTTTTGAGTTATTGTTTGATTAAAAACAAACGATTTTGTTCCGACGTTGGTTTTTTTTTTTTTTTTTATGCCAAGAATTAAAGTTATATCTTTTTTCCCCCTAAAGTTTTGCTTGCATAGACATTTTTTTTTCATTTTTTCATCAATTTATTTTAATTCTGATTATTGGGCAAAAATTATGGAGGATCAATCATTATTTTTGGGGTTTCTCAAAAAACTTAGAAAGGAAGAAATATATATGATATATTTTTATATTTAAAAATGAGCATATATTTCATATTATATTATTCTTATCATTTAAAACTTATTCCTTCGATTTGTAATTTTCTATGAAAATTCTCATTCAATTGATTTTTTATTTTTATTAAATTTTATTTGCAGATAGATATGAATTTTTTTTTATCTACGCGTGGAGTTTGTAATAAAATTTTAGAACATGGTTTTTTTTTTAAAAATATATAATTAATATAATTTATATAGTGTATTGTGAGAATTTTTTTATCATAGCTTTGCATGTGAAATTGTGTATGAGGATTAAAAAACAAAGAAGATATTTAAGGAAAAAAATTCACTTGTTTTATTTGCTACTTCTTTATATAATCAAATTTTCAAAATTAATTTTGAAATAATTTTTATTTGATTCTATTAATTTTAAATTTATTCAATATATTATTTACAAATTAATTATTTTTTTGTTTTATATTGAAAATTTTAAACCTACTTAATATACTTATTAAGTTAAAAAAATTAAATTATTATTTTTATTAAAAATTAATTATGCATCTACATGAAACAAACCACTTTGGTGCAAAAAGAATGTAAAAAATAAGAAGGCAAAAGTGCAAAACAAATAAGTCTTGACTATATAATTATTTAATTATTACGTGTCACTCGTATATATGGCCGACCGATGGTCAACTAAAAAAACAAAACTTAATTGCTTATTAATTTAAGTTTGATTTTTTAATTATTTCTTTATTACGTCTCTCGCATATAGCCGTCCATTGGGCAACTAAAAAGCAAAACTTAATTACTTATTGAAAAAATAAAAGGCACTTAAATCGAAAATATTAAAAATTGAAAACCTTTCTCCATCGGATCAAATGTTCAGGATACCAACCAATTAGCCTATAAAAGAATAGCAAGTAGAGGATGTGGGGCAACCTTTAAACGTCTACTTAGACGTGGCCCAGCTGAGAGCTAACCACCTGTACAATGACCTTACTGTTTATTTTTTGTCCCCATAAACTCCATCTGAACCCCTATTATCACCTTTGAATTTTCACACAGCTATCTTCCTCGCCATCCTTTCTATTTGCTTGATCATTTATTGTTCTCTGCAATGGCACCGAAAACCACTGAAATAGTCCATGAATTCCTCCCTTATTTCCGGGTATACAAAGATTGTCTTGTAGAAAGACTGCAAGGCACCAAAACCTTCACAAACTCCCTCTAGTTATATACATCCATGGCGGTGCGTTTTGTGTCGAGTCTCCTTTCTCTCCACTTCAGTACAATTACCTCGTTTCTTTGGCCAAGAAAGCTAATGTAATAGTAGTGGCCATTCAGTACAGAAGAGCTCCAGAGCATCCTCTCCCTATTGCATATGATGATTCATGGGCTCAAATTCAATGGGTTGTTTCACATGTTAAGGGTGACGGGCCCGAGCCTTGGCTTAATGAGTATGCTAATTTTGAGAGAGTGCATTTGATTGGTTCTAGTGCTGGGGCTAATATTGCTCATAACATGGCAATTAGAGTTGGAAATGATGGACTAACAGGTGGGGTTAAAATTGTAGGTATGGGTTTGATGCACCCATATTTTGGAAACAACGAGCCTAGTAAGCTCATGGAGTTCATATTTCCATCAATTGAAGGGCGCACTGACCCTAGGATTAACCCGGTTGGAGCTGGGGTTGATCTGGCGAGTCTGGGGTGCACCAGGCTGCTGATTTGTGTTGCTAGTGAAGACTGGCTCAGAGATAGAGGGGTGGCTTATCACGAGGCACTGAGGAAGAGTGGCTGGCCAGATGGGTTGGTGGAGATCGTAGAGACCGAAGGAGAGGGCCATGTGTTTTTCGTTCTTAAACCATATTGCGAAAAGGCTGAGGTATTAATGGACGAGGTTGTTTCCTTCATAAATCAACATCAGGTTTAGTGTAACGATTATGTATCAGTTAATTTCTTCAGTGAAGTTTTAAGCCTCAATTTTGTTTTTTTTAATGATTATGTAATAGAAAGAACTATTTTTATTTTGTAATCCAATAAATTCATTGGGTCTCTCATGAATTAAAAAAAAAAACAAAAAAAAGATTAGGCCTGTTTAATTTTTTAATCTGTAAGTTGCGTCTGTTCATCTGCAGAATTTTATTCACTTTATCTTGGACTTGGACTGTCTTATTAAAACAAAACCCATTTGGCAAAAAATATTGGCGAAATAAGTATGGAATCAAATTTGTTTCGTGCTGGTCTACTCTTTGCCATGCTTTCCATGTCTTGTGAATTACTATAGAGTAAATTGTAAATTTGTCTTGTTAGTTTCCAGAAACGAATTGATTGGATTTTTTAAAACTAATTATTTAGTTTTTGTATTATTAAATTATTTTTACAACTTTAATTTATATTTTTTAATTTAAAAAATAAGTAAAAAATATGAACGATTGATAAGAATATATAACTTTTTATGAAATAAAATAACATTAAATTAAGTATGATAAATGATAGTTAAGAGATTAAATGATTAAATGATTAACTTTTAAAATAAGAAGAATTAATTTATTTATTTTGGGAAAATAAAGGGATTAATTTATAATTTACTTAATAACTATACCCGAAGCATCTGGATTTATTTGGTAATGTCTGATTTAAAAAATAAAAAATAAAAAAACAAGAAGAAGAAGATACAGATAGAGAGTTAGAGATTAAGTTATGAAAATATCATATTCATTAACCAGGGAACGGGAAACATAGAAGCCAATTCCTACCACAAAGCAAATATCCAGGAACCGAGAAGAATACACCGACTCCATTGTGTTTTTTTTTAAAAAAAAAATTCTTTTGGATTTTCGAATTTTTTTATACGAGTATGATTGCAAGTACTATACACATGAGTAATATAAACTTGGAAATTATGTTACAAATATGTTCCCTTTGAAAGGACCATTGTATTTTGAACTATGATACAGATCCAAGATTAAAAGGATTGATCTCCATCAAATCGTCATAGGCCAGCATTAGAGATTTCCCCTTGGTACAAGCACTGGAGGCATCCACACGATGCTATAATTACGTTCCGTGTTTTATTTCTTTCACAATTTTTTTCTGAGTGTAGTTTTATAAACAGCCAAAACTCATCCGCACAGACGCCACTCTCCTTCTCGCTCAAAACTCCACAGGTTAGCACCTGAATACCTTACGGCTTATATCATGCCAATGCGTCCGATGATTCATGGCCGGGCTGTAGTGGGTAAGCTAATTAAGCACTCTGATGCTGATGGGCCTGAACCATCTTTAGCGGTTGAGAACGCAGGAGCCAAACCAGCCCCTTGTGTGGAACTAGCAAGTAGAAGAATTATTTTTCAAAGGAAAACTTTAAATCTATCACCAAATTAATGGAATAGTCTCAATTATACACTCAAAATATTTTTTTTAATATCGATCTTACTATTAATTTTTTTTTTAATTGGACAATTCCATTAAATATATATAGCTAATGAAATTGTTAATTATCAACGAGCTTTTCATGTGATCCCAATAAAAAATGAAATTGGAAGTAAATTTCTCTTTTTTTAGTATAGCGTGAGAGAAAAATATACGACCGAACATTAGTTAGTGTTATTGTTCGGGAGATTTGAGATTTTGATGTTGCGTAAAACTCGTGATATTTCTTGTTAAAGAATTAGAGAGAAATGGTCCAATTGAGAACTGATTTTTTTTATTGTACAGTTGATATGAAAGATATTTTCAGGATACAGTTGACACTACACTAGTTGAGTGGTAAATTTGAAGTTTGTTCTTATTTATATTGATGGATTAGTGATTTGACTGAAAATTCAATCTAATAAAGATTACAAGAGTAGCGTCAAAACCTTGAGCATAACAAGGCATCACCCCGCATCACGCCTCAATCATGAGTCCACCTTCCACTGTTCCACGTCACCTCTCAGTTTAAGCAATTAATTGTGCGTATGTCTGTTTTCCATAGTGTTTTTGCATATATATATATATATATATTGATTTGATGTTCGATGTATTTTTTCTTTTTCGATTTTAATCTATAGAATTAAGAATGCGATTAATCGAATGGAATCAGCCATCTTCTTAATTTACAAATTTTCTTCTGTACAAATTCCTATGGTCAATGACTTTGTTTTTCCTATATTGTTTTTTTGGCATTGGATTCATAAATTAGTTACTTTATATATATATACACACACCCCATTTCTAGAATGATAAAATGTATACACACACACCCCACCTCCCTCCCCCCACCATTTTTAGAAGGATAAAATGCATCTATTTTTAGAATGATAAAATGTATATACACCACCGCATTTCTAGAATGATAAAACGTATGAACATTGCTTTTCTAGAATGATAAAATGTATTCAATTCTAGAATGATGAGATATAGACACACAAACCCCGTTTCTATAATGATAAAATGTATGGCCATTCTGGAATGATAGAAATGGTATCTAGAAATGTCCATCAATGTCCACACCTTTTTATCATTCCAAAAATGGTATCTAGAAACGTCCATCATACTTTTTTTATATAAAAAGTTTTAGCACTACTTTTCCTTATTTGCTTGCACATTTCTTTTTTCTTTTTTTTTTACTTCTTTATTTTACAAATTTCCTTTTTAAATTAATATTTTATAACAGTCCCTTAATCTAATTCTTGTATTTATATGAATTGAGCTAATGAGTCCATGCATTTCTACATTCTTCTCATTTCATCAATTTAACTCAATTGTAAATATATAGTCTCACCCTCTAGGATAAATTTGTCACGATCTGTTAGTAATTTAGTCCAACTATAGAACAAAATGTAATGAATATGAGATAAATTTGACAAATTTTTTACAAGTTTGTTTCTGCAGAATTGATATGAATACAAGAGCTAAATTGATATTTTGCCAATCCTTACTTTTTCTTAGTCGACTACCTGGTCATTTTATGACATGGTCGTTGCGTCCCCATTTCTAGGACATTCCACTAAGTGGAGCGGTTGTGTTGTACCATCATTACGGACCGGGTCCATACTTTATGACATTTTAGTTTCAAAATTTATATACTTGATCATTTTTTTCTTTATTTGACTTATGATCACGTTTCGTAGAGTAATGATTGCATATAATAAATGGATAAAAAATTGGATTTCATCACTATCACCGTCAACGTCTATAATCGTGATGTTTTCGTTAAAAAAAAATAAATAAATAAAAATTCTGACCCATGGCATGCATTACTCATTTTCAGGCACAAAGTCACATGCCCAAGCTCATGTCTTTTGAGGTTAATTAGGTGCAATACATGGAAAACTATATTTTTAAATACGTTGGACCAGTTAGAGTTACAGAAGGGTCTCGATAGATTGAAACCCTCTCGAGAATTCATACTAGCTGGTTCCTTTGGACCAAAAATTATACTATAGCATGGACACTGAACTATAAGATATTGAACAACATTACAGTGGTCTTGACAGTGAATTTCACCATTACAAGGGAAAGAAAGGAGTGACATATTTATTTCCAAAAAGCATGCATCTCTAGCCAATAAAAAAGATGGAGTAAAATACATAGCATATTTTTATACCATTTTGTATTATTTATTGTAATCTCTTAAAGCATGAAAGTACAGGAATGGACCTAATGAACGTAATTCGTGAAGGAAACAACCTGCTTCATCATGGCCCCGGCCTCGTCGCAAGCGGGGTTTGTCAAATGGAAAACATGATCTTTTCCTTCAGCCTCCACGATCTCCACCACACCGCACCACCCACTCTTCTTCAGTGCCTCGTAGTAAGCGAATCCCCTATCTCTTAACCCATCCTTCCCAGCAACAAAAATTAGCACCCTAGTGCACCGCAAGCTTGCCAGCTCCAGCTGGCCACCTGCACCAAGCGGATTAATCCTAGGATCATCATAGATTCTAACAGAAGGAAAGATGAACTCTATCGCCGGACTAAACCAATCAGGGTCATTGCCACCGAAAAATGGGTGCGCCAAAACCATACCCACAATTTTAACCCCAGTTAGCCCATTAACCCCAGCTCTAACAGCCATGTTGTGTGCAATATTAGCACCAGCACTATCTCCAGCCAAAAACGTTCTCTCAAAATCTGCGTGCTTATTAAGCCAGGACTCAGGCCCATCACCATTTACATTCGAAGCAACCCATTGGATGGCAGCCCATGAATCATCATATGCTATAGGGAGAGGGTGCTCTGGAGCTCTTCTATATTGAACGGACACAGCTATAACATTAGCTTTGTGGACTAAACTAGTGAGGTAGTTATGGTATAGAGAAGAGAAAGGGGATTCAATGCAAAATGCACCACCATGAAAGTATATCAGGAGAGGGAGTTTTTGGCCTGGATCTGTGATTTTGGGAATAAAGAGACGGACAGACAGGCTGTTTTCTTGTGAGAACACGGTGTCTTTGGATTGGACACCTGTTTGAGGGTCATTGGATGGTGGTACAGTTTCTGTATCAGCTATGAACCTCTCTACCTTGCCATTCTTGTAAATGCGAAAAAAGGGGGAAATCATGAATTATTTCTGTGGAGTTTGATGAATCCATTATTTCAGAGGAGAAACAAAAGTAAGAAGTTTTGGAGTAATGTGAGGATGGTGAGATAGGGTGTGTTGTTCTTGTTTTATTTTATTGTTGAAATGATGTGGGGTTTGTGAGAGAAATGCCAACTTGGTTGGGTATTAATTCTTTACCAGTTTAAGAATACAAAAGAAAAGTAAGTAAAGCCAAGGAAAACAAAAATAAAAATAAAAATAAAAACTAAATTCAGCACCAACCAAAACAGTAAAATTATATTTTAAAAAAAAAAACTAAAACAAAACGTAAAAATGCTGTTTACATTACTTTTCACATAAGCACAAATTACTGTGGATTGACAGTAGCTCAATCCATAGTACTCTGCTTCCTGCCTTTCTATTTCCTTCCTTTTGCCTCTCTTCTCAACCTTTCATTTTTAACATAAAAGCCTAGCCGTCAATTCACCAAAAGATGCAATCTACAGTTTACGATTACAAAACACATGGTGAATTCACTACTGTTAAACTATTCATTCTCACCTAATTAAACTGTGGATTGAGTTTTTTTTCTTTTTTTTTTCTGCTTTTTGCGTTACGAATAACCTCTTTTTTTTTCTTTTTTTATCGTAATTACCTTTAGTGTAACCAGGTGGATTTGTGAAAATCTCCATTTATCTATTACTTATTTCCTTTTAATTCTCTTTCGTATCCTTTTTTCGTCATTTCCTTTCTTTTTTTATTCCTTTGTATTATAAATAGCTTTCTCTTTAGTTTTTAATTACTCTTATTGCTACTTAGTGAATTTATGAAAATCCACATTTGCCTTACTCTCTTTTCTTATTTCTCTTTTAGCCTTTTTTGATCATTTACTTTTCTTTTCTTGATGAAGCATTTAATGCTCTTGTAATTGCATTTTTTCTCTCTCCATATTTTCAGGAGAGGAGAGGAGCTTCAAGAGTAAATTATAAATTAGTCCCTCTTTTATAGGGAAATGAATTAATTAGTCTATTTGATTTCAAAAACTAATTTTTTTCCTTCTTGCTATTTTCCAAATTTTTTTACCTTTTGTCTTAAAAAATAATAAAAATGGCAAAAATATGAAAAAGATTGATAAAAAAAGAAGAGATTTTTAAAAATAAAAAAATAAACGAGCCTAGATAAAAAGATTAAATAATTATTTTTTGAAATCAAAAGAATTAATTAATTCATTTCTCAAAACAAAAGGGATTGATTTATAATTTATTTATCATTATATTTACATCTAGTGTATGAAATAAATATATCTATTGCTATATTCACATCTTCCGTATGAAATAAATATATCTATATCATATGTTTTTATATTTTAAAATAAATATATATTTTAGATTATATTACTATTATTGTTTAAAATTTATTTCTTCAATTTTTCATTTCATATTAAGATATTCTTCAAATTAATTTTTATTTTGTTTAAATATTATTTATTGATAAACATGATTTATTGTTCTCTATGCATGGATTTTGAAATAAAATTTTACAACATGATTTTTTAAAAATAAATTTATATGATGGACTCATAGAATTTTTAAATGATAATACACACACACACACACACACACACACACACACACACATATATATATTAGAGAATTTTTATTAGATTTTTTGAAAAAAATAATTTATAAAATAAATTTTTAATTATAAATCCATAGAGTTTTAGATTTTATTTTTAGATTATCACAAGTTTTTATCTACGAAATTGAATAAATAAGAATATATTTTTTTTAGAAATTTTTTGAAAAACACAATGAATAATTAGTCAAAAGCAAAATTTTATTAAAAAATAATTATTATATTTTGATGGATTCACAGTATAGCACAAGTTTTCATACTAAAACTTTTTTTTTTATCCGCAACATATCGTGAGTGAAAAACTAGTAAAAAAATAAAAAAAAACATAAAAATACTATTTAGATTACAGTTCACATAGGCACAGATCATTGTGGATTGACTGTAGCTCAATCTATGACTGTAGCTCGATCTATGATCCTTCTGCTCCTTCTTCTTTTTCTTGCCTTCCTATTTCCTTCTTTTTCCCTCTCACCTCAACCTGTCCTTTTTAACATAAAATCCTACCCTTCGATTCACAAAAAGAAGCAATCCATATCAATAAGAGATGTAATATTCACAATCAATCATTGCTCGCCACATATCCTACCTTGATTGAGTATTAATTCTTTACCAGTTTTATAAGCCGAGATTAATTACTTCCCTACCGAATCTTAATAAGAATTAAAGAATACAAAAGAAAAGGAAGTAAAGCAAAGGAAAAAAAAAACTAAATTCAGCACCAACCAAAACAGGAAAATGATAGCTAAGGTAAGCGGGGGTTGAAGGTAGCTGGAACACTCACAGTCACACACCTGGAGAAACCAACAACAACGACCCAGGTAACAGCAGAATTTGCTAATTAGTTAATTCCAGATTGTTACGATGACAATAAGATGCGGTCAAAATAGCAGGTATTGAAATCCATTAAAAATGTTTGGTTGGGATGGTCCATTGTAGAGACAATAACGAATGAAAGTTATGACCAAATATTAGGAGTTTTGGATTTTTAATAAAAAGTTAAAGGTTCGAATTTCACTTATCATGTCTCCTTGTAAACATTACAAAATTTATTTTTGTTCCTTTGATTTCAAAAGTGTGAAAAGTTTGAAATCCTTGATTTTAAAAAATTAATACCCATAAAAAATATTAAAAGATAACTAGTTCCGAAGTTATAAAAAATAATGAATGAAAATTGGTTCATTTGATATCAATGAAGATACATAATAATATATGTATCAGTACATTTTAAATTTATAAGTTCAATAAAACAAAAAGAGCCGAATGGTAAATTGCTAGAATAATTTCTCCGTATCACCATTGGAAAAAATATTTTTTTTTTGAAGATCACTCTTCGCTTCACATGGAAAAATACTAATTTAATGATAAATTTTACATTCATTCTATTGCGATTTGACAATTTCAGATATTTAGTATTAAATTACATAATTGGAACCCAAAACTATTGATTTTTGAAAAACATTAATCAAGTTTCTCTAATCGTCATTATATATGATGGTCTACTGCATTGACCGTTGCTTAAAATATCAAAACAATGTCATTTTGATATATATTTTTTTAATTATGATTTTCTAAAAATATATATTTTAAAAATATTTTTAACCTTCATAATCTTGAACTTTTTTAAAAACTTTTTTCTTATAAAATATTATGAAAATTTTTATAAATTATATATAGAAAAAATTTATAAATATTTTTAACCTCTTAGTTTTTAACCTTTTTAGAATAAAAAATTATAAAAAATATTTTTTATAATTTATAATTTATAAAATTAGGAGGGTCAATTCTTCATTATGCTCATTTTAATTTATAAAATATATATTTTTAAAGACACGAAATTGTGTATTGTTAATTTTTTTTTATAATTTTTTTTATAAAATATTTATAATATCCAATGAGAATTTAAATATTTGTAATATAAATTATAATATTTTATAAATTGAAATGAGTATAATTAAGGATTGACCAAGAATTTTATAAATTATAAAAAAAAAAACAAATTTTATAAAATGCTTATAATATTTTAAAAAATGGTTTAAACAAATTTCAAAATTAAGTGGGTTAAAAATATTTATAAATTTTAAAAAGTTCAAGATTAAAGTGTTAAAAATATTTTTAAATTATTTTTTTTAAAAAAACTTAAATAATAGCGGAATGTCAAAACGACGTTATTTTAACATTCGAAATAACGATCAACCCTTGCTACATATAACGTTAATTAGAAAAATTAAATTAATTTTATCTAAAAATCAATAATTTAAAAAAAAATTTGATATTAAAAGACTAAAATTATCAATTCCCAATAGAATTAGGACAAAAGTTGCCATTAAACCGATAAATACTCACTCCGAGACTCAAACTCTGTAATTCTCGCCCTGTCATTCTCAGCTGTGCCACGCAAAACTATAGTTTAGTATCTTTATTTTTAAGAAATAAACAATTTAGTCAGAAGTGTTTTAGTTCTGATCAAAACGTCCTTCTCGCATAAAATTTTCAATTTTACGCCAAAAAAAAAAAAAACAAAAACCCTACAATCCATACAACACTAATACAAAAAACTGAAAAAAAATCCAAACATGATTAATCCATACACAATTAATGCATTATACTTTATAATTTTTTATTAGTTCATCCTTAAGGGTTGAATTTTGTCTTTTTTTGTCGTGTGTAATTTATAATTGTTTTGAAAAATATTAAGAGTTATTTATTTGTTTATGTTGTTGAATTTTTTTTAAAGTACTCAAAAAATAACTATTAATAATTATTTTATGAGTCCATTTTAAAGAAGGAGATGAATAATAAAAAAAATTACATCTAAATTCATTAAAAAGTTATAATAATATTTTTATAATTTTTTTATTTCTGTCTCTTAAAATTTTATTTCTATCTTTATTTTTATCAATGAATTTCAATTATTATGAATTTTCGTTTGAAAATCTGATTATAATAAAAGCTAAATCACTAATTTCAAATGCTCCAACTCTGTAGTTATCAAAGCGCAAAATACAAAATCCTTTGTGAAACATTAAAAAAAAAAAAAAAAAAAGGCCTAATCGGTTACCTGTCAAGAATGGTGGTCATAGTTTTTAAAGCCAAATCCAATTAATTATTATGATTCCTCTAAGGAGCCTGATGCGTTGAGAATAAAAAAAGGAATAAGGAGAGTTTGAGAATTTTTTTAAAAAGGCAAGTCAAATAAGTAATTAATAATTTCCAAAACAAGAAAAACTGTATCATTTGTTTCCTGAAAATTTGAGAGTAAAGTATAAATTACTCTTAAACTAAGTTTGAAATTTGTACAAACATAAAATATAACATAAAATTATTGAGATATTACCAATTTTATACCTAAAATATTTTTTTATTAATTTTACAACTAAATTATTTTAAATTTTCAAATTATGTTAATTTAATCAACTAAAAACATTAAATAAAGGTGTTTCTAAATAAAAAAGAAGAAGTATTTTCTCCATCTTAGAACGATCGTCTACTTTTCTATTTATATATGTCTCAAAACATTTATCTGGTCAAAACTTTAAATAAGGTATTTTTTTTTAAATACCTCTAGTTAACAATTATTTTGTAAAAAATTATCCAAATATGATTTTAAAAAAAAACTAATTTTGAAAAGTATGAACAAGATATGTTGATATGACATAATAATTACTCACTTTGTTCCAAAGAGATCATCCATATTTTTATTTATATCTATTCCAAAATACTTGTTTATTCAAAATTTTAAATGATATATATTTTTTAAAAAATACTTCTAATTAAAGTTCAAAATATTGTTCAGATACAATTCTAAAAAAAAGATGATACTTTTTAAAAATATAAATAAAAATATTAATATGACATAATAATTAATAACTTTTTAAATCTATATAGAAAATACAAAATATATATTTTTAGAATAAAAGTAATAATAACTTTTTTGATCTTTGTAAAAAGTTAAATATGATAATTTATCTAGACAAATAAAGTATAATTTAGAAAAAAATATATAGATGAAAAGCTTAAAAATTAAATGAAAGTTTTTAATTAACAATTTCTGAAAATTTGAGAATAAAATTAATATGAAATTTTTTTGATAGTACTTATGCATTTGGATGATATTTTTGGGAGCTGTACTTCGAAATTTTCTAAATCTATTTGGTCAAACTCATTTTATCCAAGTGATTAATCATCACAAATTCGAAACCCCTTTTTCCTACTTACGCATTTGGACGATATTTTTGGGAGTTGTACTTTGAAATTTTCCAAATCTATTTTTGAGGTAAGAAAAGGTCAAACTCATTTTGTACAAGTGATTAATCATCACAAATTCGAAACCACTTTTTCCTATCCCCGAGGGTTCTCTTTTGAACTAGTGACCCACCACCATCAAACTTCCATATATGTCAGCATGAGAGACTCCCACACGAAATAAGGACACTGTACACCCAAAACTCATTTCGCACAAAAACCACTCAGACTTGCAATGTCCACTGACAATACAGAAATATCCCATGATTTTCCAGGCTTTTTCAAGGTATACAAAGATGACCGTATAGAGAGATATTGGAATACTGACTTCGTTGCAGCAGGCGTTGATGCAGAAACCGGGGTCCAATCCAAAGATGTTGTGATCTCACCAGAGACCAATGTAAAGGCTCGTATTTTCCTCCCAAAAATCAACGACCCAGCTAAAAAGCTACCTCTAGTTGTCCACTGTCATGGTGGTGGCTTTTGCATTGGCTCCCCGTTCGGTTCTTCCTTCAAAACTTTTCTTTCAACTCTAGCCACCCAAGCCAATGTAATTGCCATGTCTATTGACTATAGGTTAGCACCTGAGCACAAATTACCAATTGCCTATGATGATTCATGGACTGGACTTCAATGGGTCGCTAAGCACTCTGATGGGAAAGGGCCTGAATCATGGATTAATGAGCATGCAGATCTCGAGCAGGTTATCTTAGCCGGTGAGAGTGCTGGAGGCACCTTAGCCCATTACTGCGCAGTTCAAGCTGGCGCTGCAGGATTGGCTGGTGTGGCTATAAAAAGGCTACTAATAGTGCACCCATATTTTGGGGGCAAGGAGCCAGATAAGTTGTACCAATATATGTGTCCAACAAGTCCTGGGACAGATGAAGATCCAAAATTGAACCCGGCAGTAGATCCGAATATGTCGAAATTCAAGTGTGATAAAGTGTTAGTCTGTGTGGCAGAAAAAGATATGCTGAAAGACAGAGGGGTGGCTTATTATGAAGCTATGAAGAAAAGTGGGTGGGGTGGCACCGTTGATTTTTATGAGAGTAAAGGGGAGGACCATTGCTTTCATTTCTTCAATCCTAAGAGTGAGAATCTTGGGCCCCTAATGAACAAAATTGTTGATTTCATTAAGCTCGATTGATTTTATTGGATTTTATTAAGTGGGAACAAGTACGCATTCTCCGTGTCTGCGAGAGAAGAAAAATAATGGTTTGAATAAAGGTTGTTGAGTTGTTGGGATTCTATCACTTTTTTTCCCCTCATTTTTCAATAGTTGTACTTTTCAATGCAATATAGTGCTATATCTACTAAAATGTGGCAATAATGTTGCTTTCCTTTTCCCTTGTTTTTCTCGTTTTACGAATAAAACTTGCGATTCCCTGAATGTGAAAAGTAACTCGGATTACATTTTCTTTAATTAACTTATGTTTCAAGTGTAACTAATAATCTATCCACATTTAAGTTAGGAATCCAAATATGAGGTTTAATCATCTTTTCCTTTATAAATGTATCATGACTAATGAAATACGATTACCAGCTAGTTCATTTGGTGCAATCTGCATCTGTTACAAAATAAGATCCTTCTACTACTCCTTTATTTCTAGATAGACTGTCATCTTTGTTTTTTTACACACTAATAACGTTATTAATTGATATGTTATGCCATCATATTTTATTTTAATTTTAGATTTCTTATCAGGAGGATTTAATTAGGGGTATTATAGTAAAATGCAAGACTTAAATGTTTTGGCTGAACAATTATTTTGTAGACAAATTAAAAAAAAAAACAAAACAAAACAATCTTTTGAAGCGGAAGGAGTAATAAATATAAAAAATTGTATATATAATTTAGCTATAAATTTATTAGCAATTTTATTGTAACATGCATGTAATATGATAAAAACATATTTCTTGAATATATAAAAAAAATTATTAGCAGTTTATTAACAATTTCTTGAATATAATGTAGTCTTAAAAAATTGTATTTTTACCTTAATTCTTGTCTTGAAACATAAACAAACCATTAATTGAACGTTTGTACACCTATCGCAAATTACGATGAGGCAATGCTCTTTGCAAGTCCACAAATTTGCGCCCCTGAAATATGTGGTGCCAACCAGAACAGGTTAAAATGCCCAGTTCAAATTCCCACGTTATAGAATTTCCCCTAGTTTACGTGGCACAAAGTTCACGGAAGGAACGATCTAAGACATTTTAATAATGAAGGTATTTTTTATCAGTTATTGTAGGTAGAGATTATATATATATATATATATATTTTAGTTGGATCTTAACTAGGCAATTTATGCTTGGATAGGGCATTCTTCATACATTTTAGCGTTCAAAAATTATTTGAAGTTGCAGCAGGCACACTGTTGAACACTTATTGTCGTGGGGGTGGGGGGTTTATCTGCTTCTAATCTATGTTAGATTGTTGGTAATTTCTGGTTATTGCCACCTTCTTCTTCACTCGTTTTCTATAAATTAGTGATGATTGGGATTACCTTTACATAGGCAACATATTACTTGCATTATTTTGTTGAAAGGATGGAGGTCGTGAACAGTGAGATAGCTCATGATTTCTCTCCTTTCTTCAAAGTATACAAAGATGGCTGCATAGAGAGATGTGTGCCTATCATCAAAGTTCCACCTTCCCATGAACTACCCATTAGTGTTCAAGCTAAAGATGTTCTTATCACAACCAGACCTCCTATATCTGCCCGTATTTTCATGCCCCAAATATCCAACCTTAATAGTAAGCTCCCAGTTCTTATTCATGTCAACGGAGGCGGGTTTGCTCTAAGATCCCCTTTTGACCCGATTTACCAAAATTATGTTTCTTCTATTGTCAAAGAGGCTAATGTCATTGCTGTCTCCATCGAGTACCGGTTAGCCCCGGAGCACCCTATACCCACAAGCTAAAGTGATTTTAACGTGAGTTAGAAATTGGCTGTGTATTATTAAGTTTTGTTACAGTATATATAAGTGTACAAGGATGCAGAGTTCTGGATCTAGTGGACTACCATTTGACTTTGCTTGTACTTATCTATTATGTGTGTTTATCCATAATACGCCCCCGCAAGATGGAGGCACCATTGGTGACGCCAATCTTGGATCTTAGTGCACTATATTGGTGCTTGCTGAGTGCCTTGGTGAGTATATCGGCAAGTCGATCTTTGGTGGAGATGTGAAGGACTTTGAGGTCGCCTTTGATGACACATTCTCTCACAAAATGATAATCTAGAGAGATATGTTTCATGCGTGAATGGAAGACGGGATTTGCACATAGATATGTTGCTCCCGTGTTGTCACGTGAAAATAGTAGGTCTTCTTTGAGTTTGATGCCCAATTCTTTGAGAAGATTTTGGATCCAAATGATGTCGGCAGTTCGTGTTTGCGATTGCTTTGTACTCGGCTTCGGATGACGAGCGTGACACGAATTTCGACGACTGGATTTCCAAGAGATTGCATTAGACCCCGGATAGATGATATATGCAGTAGTGGACCGACCATCATCTCTGTTTCCACCCCAATTTGAGTCACCGAAACCATTCAATTGAAGAGGAGTATCCTTGCGTAGGAATAGGCCATGGGTGATCATTCCCTTTAAGTATCGAAGAACTCTCTTTAGGGCGGTCTAGTGGAGCTCGTTGGGGAGTGCATGTATTGAGAAAGTTTGTTTATTGCAAATGATACATCTAGACGTGTGAGTGATATGTATTGTAGAGCTACCCACTAACCTCCCGTATTGAGTAGCGTCAACTTACGAGGTACCATCTTTAAGGAGGAGTGGCGTAGAGGGGCACATTAGTGTGGCTACCTCTTTCGCCCCGATCATGGAGAATTTTTCCAATATATCCGCAATGTGGCTATCGTCGAGATAGGAACGGACCTTCCGTAGTGTGAATGACTTCAACCCCTAGAAATTGGTGTAGTGTACCAAGATCTTTGAGGGAGAAACGATTTGCCGGACACTCGAATGAAGGACTCCGGATAGGGATCATTGTTCCCCGTCAAGACAATATCATCAACATATACTAGAAAATATGCACAAACACCGGTATTATTATATATGAAAAGTGATGAATCCGCCATGGAGTTTTGATAGCTCGATTGCAGTAGATAAGCCTTGAGTTCTTCATACCAAGCTCTAGGTGCTTGTTTTAATCCATAAATCGCTTTCTTTAATTTGCATATATGGTTGGGAAGAGATGGGTGTATCAATCCGAGGGGTCGTACCATGTAGACATCTTCGGAGAGAGTGCCTCGAAGAAAGGCATTGTTGATGTCCAATTGTCGTAATTTTCAATTGTTGCGAGAGCTAGCCGAGCAATAATCCGATTGTGGTGGGTTTTGATACCGGATCGTAAGTCTCCGAGAAGTCAAGGCTCGGGCGTTGATGATAGCCCTTGGCCACCAATCTAGCTTTGTATTTGGCCACCTGTTCCATCCGGGTTTCTCTTAATGCAAAAAACCCATTTGCACCCGATAAGATTTTGCATGTTCCGGGAACCAAGTCCCATGTCCCATTTCGCATCGGCGCATTGAACTCCTCGGACATGGCTTCATGCCATTTGGGGTCCGATATGGCGGATGAGTGTGTCTTTGGTTCGAGGAGGGTGGGCATAGGGTGTGTTATGGTGTGGTTTATAAAATGGGAGTTGAAGTATTTCGGGTTAGGTTTTCGAGCTTGAGATGTTATGAGATGATGGGTAAGTGGGGCTGGAATGGCCGATGACATGGTTTCGGATCGTGGCGGTATGTCTATTGAGGATAGGGAAGAAGACGGGTTCAAGTTAGGATGAGTTATTGTGGCGAGTGGGAGTATTTGGTATCGAGGCGGACAGGTTGAGTCTGTGATGTAGGGTGGGTTTAGTGGGAGGCCAAGTGAGTTTGTGTTGCTAGCATGAGGTCCGGAGTGGGATGGTGAATGGGCCGATGGGCCGACATGGGTGAGAGAGATTCGGTGGGGTGATTGTGGGCTAGATTTTGAGAACACGCGGGCTCCGAGCGAGGCCGGTCTAGGTATGTTAAAGTTGGCCAAAGTGCCGATACTCGGTTGAGGGGTAGTTTCATGTCGTGAGTGGGCGAAATGTAAGGAGAAACTTTTGAGAAAGTAAATGCAGGGAGAGAGGGACTTACGGATGGATATACGATGGAGGAGCCTTGTCCTTTCGGGGAGAGTGAGGTCTGGGCATCGTCGCTGCATTGGGAAGAGATTTTCAATGAAATTGACATGGCGTGAGACGTAGAATTTTTTTGTGATTGGATCAAAACATTTATATGCTCGATTGATTTGTGGAATATCCTAGAAAGATACAAGGTGCTGATCGTGGTTGAAGTTTGGATGTTGTGTAAGGACGAAGTCAAGGATAGCACAAGCATCCGAAGATTTTTAGACGGGTGTAGTTGGGAGTACGGTGAAAGAGGAGTTGGTAAGGTGATCGATTTTGGAGGACTCGGTGTTGGAAGACGATTTATCAAATAGGCGGCGGTTTGAAAGGCAAAGGACCGAGTAAGAGGATGGTAGTAAGGCGAGTGTGAAGTAGAGTAAGTCATGTCTCTACGATGTGTTTGTGTCTTCTTTCGAAGTGCCATTGTGTTCGGGAGTGTAAGGGGGTGTTTTAAAATAGGAAATGCCATGGGTATTGAGAATTGATTTGAGGGCAAGATATTCACCTCCATTATCTATGTAAATGGCAATCGGAGGTTTTTGAAAAAAATTTTCTACAAGTACTTTGAATTGTGGAAATAGAGTTGATACCTCGATTTTTTTCCTCATAGGATAGAACCGGATGTATTTGTCGTAATGGTCAACGAAAATTATATAGTATCTATACCCATCAATTGACAAATCTGTTGGGCCCCAAACATCGAGTAAACAAGTTCAAGTGGTTGAGAACTATGCAAAGAGTTTTCCGAAAAAGGAAGACGATGACTTTTATTCGAGTGCACATGAACTACAATGAAATTTAGAAGATGAGGAAGGGTATGAATGTAAAACGTCATCATTGAGAGCGAGAGCGAAGAATTTGCATTGTTGGATGACCAAGGCGTTGATGCCATACGGCTAGGGAAGATGTGGTGGTATGGTGGACTTGTGGGTCGACGGACGGTGGTAAGTGATAGACATCATTGATGTTCTCCCCGCGAAGTAGAGGCGCCCCGTGCGTAGATCCTTCACATGAAAATAAAAGGGAAAAAATTCAAGGGAAACTTTGTTAGTTTTGTAAAATTTGGAAACGAGAGATAAGGTTTGTTTTAATAGAAGGTGCACATAGTATGTTTTCTAAGAGAAAAGATTGATTGCTTGTGAGTAAGTGTGGTGGTGCCTATAGAGGAAATTTTTAAACCCGTAACATCGCCAATACCGATCTCATCCGGGCCACCATAGTCCGAATAAGAGGCCAAGTTTTGTACGTTACCGGTAACATGATGTGAAGCTCCGAGTCAAACAACCATGGTTGAGTTGCATTCATACCTAGGGAAGCTCCATTGGTCGTAGGTATTGAGGATGTGTGTTGAGTGTTTGAGCCCACAAATATGTTATTTGTTTTGAGAAATTTTGATAACTTGCGACGATCGAGGGTAAGGTGACCCGGTATCTCATAAAAGTTGCAAAAGGATGCCGGCTTGCTTGGAGTCCTTTGGGTGTTTGGGCGTGAGTTCCGCCGGGTTGAGCGAGATGGAGATTGGTGGTTGTGGCCACGGCTTCGGAGTTCCATGGTGGTCGAGAGGTGCCATATGAGAATCCGGAGTTCCAAGTGTTATGAACCGAGGATGTCCGTGAGGTATAATAGGTCATTGCAAGTGTGAGTGGTGGGTCGGTATTTTGTTGCTATCGGAGCCTTCGTTCATACTCTTCTAATCGGTCAAACATTTCATCGAATGTTATTGTTGTGTCACATACACGGACGATAGCAGCTATATGGGAAAATTCTTCACCGACTCCTTTTAAGATGTGCATGATAAGGTCTTCTTCTGCTATGGGGTCATCGACGAATTGCAAGAGCATCGGTAGTAGGCTGTGATGTCTTGAAGATATTCGAGTATAGTGCGAGTGCCTCGAGGATTATCATGTAGTTTTTCTTTCGGGGACATGATGCGAGAACATGATTTGTAGGCAAACATAATAGAGAGTGTAGACCATGCCTCATGTGAAGATGAGACTACCGATATGTATGATTGAATTTCGGGGACACGAGCTTCCTAAGATGGCATTTAGGATGAGTTGGTCTCGTCGATACCAAATGAGATATGTGGGGTTGATAATTGTTTTAGTTGTGTCTTTGGGATCCGGAGTTTGTTTTGGTGGGGGGGATGAGCCATCAATGTGATGGAGGAGGTTGTAGCTAATAAGTGCGAGTGCAACTGTGTACGCCATACGGAGAAGTTAGATTTGGTAAGCTTGGTGGGAAGATGAGTGGGAGCATTAAAGGAAAAATTTTGGTTTTCAAGAGTGGAAGAGGCCATGGATTGGTTTGTGAAGCTTTTAAGTCGTGTAAGGCTACGATACCATAAAGTGATTTTTACGTGAGTTAGAAATTGATCGTGTATTATTAAGTTTTGTTATAGTATATATAAGTGTACAAGGATGCGAGTTTTATAGAGATGCGAGTTATACAAGGATGCGAGTTCGGACCTAGTGGACTACCATTTGACTTTGCTTGTACTTATCTATTATGTGTGTTTATCCATAATACAAGCTACGAGGATGCACGGACATCCCTCCAATCGGTGGCATCCCATGCGAACGAACATGGGCCGAATCATGGTTAAATAACCATGGAGATTTCGAGCGAGTTTTTCGACGAGTGATAGTCTTGGGGCAAATATAGCTTATAACTTGGCGGTTCGGATTAGAACAGTGCTACACAAGATGAAGTTGGATGGGATGATTTTGATTCACCCATTTTTCATGGGGTCAAAACTTGATGGAATGTGGTTCTATCTATGTCCTAGAAACGGTGGGTTGAAGGATCCTAGATTAAAACCTGCTGCAGAGGATATGACTAGAAGTGGGTGTGATAGGGTATTGGTTTTTGTAGTTGGTAGGGATAAACCGAGACATGTCGACGAGTCGTATTGTGAAGAGTTGAAGAGGAGTGGGTGGAAAGGAAATGTAGAGCTTATGGAACACGATGGAGTAGGCCACGTGTTCCATTTGTTTAAGCCCCGTTGTGAGCGGGCTATGGATATGATGAAACGGTTGGTTTCTTTTATTAACCAAGAACGTCCTATAATCTGTTGGACAAGCAAGATGTGAAGAATGACGTCAAAGGAAAAAAATAAAAGATAGATCTCGGTGTATGTACTCCACGTTTATATATGCTTGCTGATTTTTTACGATCTGCCTAAGTTAAGATGTTTCCTCCGGTGTTGCACTCGTTAGAGTCCTTTTATTCCGAGCTTTGGAGTTCGGTTGATTGCGGTTTCTTGAATTCATTATCGGTTTGGTGCTCCAACAGCGGATATCTGTCGTTGTTGTCGTTGTCTCCCGAATTTGCTTGCACTTTTGGTCGTTTTTTGTACAATATAGTACTTAATATGTGAAGTGACGGCTTTCGTTTAGTTTGAGAGAATTTGTTCTTGTTAAACTTATTTTCTCTTTTTTGGTATTTGTAAACTCATCCTCTTATTGGCTATTATTACGTTCTAGTACTTTCCTTTAAACTATAGTACTTAATAAATTTGATACGTTCATTAAAAAAAGCTAGCAATTACGGGAAAAAAAAAACAAAATCTAGCAATGTCAAGTTTAAGAACTAACCCCGAAGCTTGACATGGATAGAAATTAAGAAGGTTTCTTTCTCGTGATAAAAATCCAAAAAAGGTTTTGAGAAATAAATTTCTCATAAATTAATATACCAATCCGATTATGGATGGCCTTCATAAAATTTAATAGATAGAGCTAATCTTGGCGCAAAAATAAGATGTTTATACTTTTAGGTTGATTATTTTTAGTTGCTCGGTTGCTTGGTACCGATCACGGGATTCTAGGAATGCCAATGCTCGCTTGATTTCGAGAATTAGAAGGGTGTGTGCTCTCTAGAAAGATTTGAGGTTTGATCCGGGTGTTCATGTTTTTTCGGATTTTACATGTTAGAAAATATATCTCATTTTGAATAATTAAATCTAAGATGAGTAATATGTAAAATTAAAAATGAGGTAGTCATAAAATATAAGTATTTTAAATGTAACTCGATTTCAATTACCTAACTCTATATATTATCAAAACTTTAAAAAGATCTAACGAGTTCGGAAAAAATCTAAGTATTAGAAAACATATCTTATATTAAAAAGATGAATAAAAAATAAGTGATATAAAGTCCGAAAAAACCACCCACCATAAATTTTATGTCTTTTTAATGAAATTTAATTTCAAGTATCTAACTCTATATCGCTATTTATTTGAATGTTATTTTGGAGACATATTTATAGAGTTTTATTTCGTCCTTTGTGTACTAATTAGTTATTAGGCTTTGTCTCCATGTAACAAAAAGAATTTTAAATCGCTCAAAGTGATTTACTAGTGGGATAAAGCGAGAAAATAGAGAAGTGCTACAAAATATCTCACATTTTCCGAATAACAAAGCATAGGGTGCCGAATATTCTCTGCAGAGGTAGCACTCGAGTTGAATTCTAGTGAATTGAGAATCGATGAAGTCGCTATAGAGAAATAGCTCGTCATGCTTAGAGATCGAATTTGATGAAGAACATTCTTGAGCTTCAACTCTTTGTGAAAATTAAGTAATTATTGATGAATTCTTACAACTAATTCCGTTCTTAGTCCATGCAAACTGAATAACAAAGAGAAATTACAAAGCTATTTTATACGATACTCTCATAACAAATAGCTCTTCATGACTTTTCAAAGTTGGCATAGCACAATCAATACATATAGTTCTTTTTTCAATTATACATTTATTAAAAAATTAAACAAAAAGCATAAAGAAATTAAAAAAAATGTTAACTTTACATTTAATTTACGAACTTATTTTTTAAAATTTTAAGTTGACAAAATCAATATAAAAAAAGGTCAAAGTTAAAATGGGTTAACATATTGGTATAAGAGTTTTTTATTGGAAATTTCAATAACATTCTTTTTATGACATTGAGGGAGTACATCAAACTAATAATAAAGTAGAAACAAAAATCCAAATTTTGCATGTAAATCTAAAAGTGTGTGTGTGTGTATATATATATATAATCGGAGATAGTTTGATCACACCAGTGAGGGAATAAGATCAACTTGAAAAAAAAATGTTGTGCATACATATATATATATATATATATGATAAGCGATACATTGATAACACTAGCAAGGGAAAAAGATGAATTTGGAAAAAAAAAAAAAAGAAGCTATGCGGACTTATACATGATAAAAGATATATTGATAACAAAAACTAAAAAAAAAAATTAACTTTACAAATAATTACTAAACTTATTTTTTAAAAAATTTAAGTTGATAAAATCAATAAAGGTCAAAGTTAAAATCGGTTAACATAATGGAATTTTTATGTTTTATTGGAAAGTTCAATAGGATTTATTTATTTATTTATTATTTTTATAGAATGGAAGGATTACATCAAACTAATAAAGTAGGAAAAAAAATTCAAATTTTACATGTAAAAAGAAAAGGGTTGATGGTTGCCGATATTGTTTTACGTTTCGGTCTTAATCCTGTTTCTCCATTCCTTTTTTATTTTAATTTATCCTTTAATGTTTAATTTTTATCTTAAATTCGTTCTTTTGTAACTTTTTGAGCTCATTAAATTGAGCTATTAACCTCACAAAACCGTGACATGTGTCCAATTTCAATTTTTTAATTTAAATAATTTTTTAAAAAAATATTTAAAAAATAAACGATTGAGAAAAGTGTGAGACAATAGAGAACATATATAAGATAAAAAAGGATGATAAATAAGAGAGAAGAGAAGAAAGGGGTGAGTGTCAATAGACCGATCAAGAGAAGGAAGAGAGGGTGTGAATGTCAATCGATTGATCGGCGAGAAGCGAGAAAGAAATTAAAGCCTAATTGCGTCCGATTTGGGGATTTTTAGGGCTATTTATATGGGTTTTTTTATTATTTTTTATTTTTTCAAAAAATTATTTATTTAAATTTGAAAAAAAAAACACTTGTCACAATCATATCACTTTGTTAACTCGAAAAGTTAATGGATTGATGAATTTAAAACGAAAAAAATTTTTTTTGAATACATTATTAAGACAAAAAGAAGAATAAAGAAACTCACGTAACACCTCCGCACGTGCACGTGCACGTGCACACACACACACACAGAGTGTGTAGCCTTAACACCCAAAGAGAGCATTGACGACCAAAGGCCATACGTAGGAAAAACTTGAAACGATATTGAAGAAGAGTAGAATTATTTAGTGCTTAATTACGTACAAAAAATATTCTACAATATCTTTACGGTGATTATTATCCCTATTATAATGCTATAGGAATTTTTGCAATTCACTTCTTATATATAATTTATGCACATAAGAAATCAGTAAGCAGCACTCTTAAAATTCTTTCAAAAGAATATCACTTGAAGTTATAGAATTTTAGAAGGAAAAGAATTTTGAGAGGAGAGGAGAATTGCGAGAGAAAAATTAAATTGATTTTTTCTTATGAAATTAACTAATTAACAATTAAAACAATCATAATTTTTTAATCTCACACGCACGCGTGTTAAGTCCTAATCAAAAAGTCATAGTCATTGATTATATATATATAATTTCAATCAATTAGCTTAGTTTTCTCTCCAATTGAGCTGATCAAATATTTAAAAGTTTTACTAAAAATATAATTTATAAGATATCTCTTCTTTTCATTTATTTTTAATATAAGATAAAAATTTCACTTAAAAATACTTTTAAATTTCCTTCATAACACATTTAACTTATTATTTAACACACCTAAGATTTCTCATGAAAAAAAATCAACTGATCAAGACTTCCAATGACCTGTGGACCAGAAACGGGCCAAAAACACCAGAAGGACCAAAAACAGAAAACCAAGGCATCAACAGGAAATTAACCGTGTCCGGAATTGTACCCTCGGCTTTATTCGCCTTGTCACTATGCTACGAAAACTACAAATATGTGTATGCGGAGGAGAGAAACTGGGACATCGAGGGCGACAACCTAGTTTTGTGGAGGATACCTAAGATGCAACAATTTATCTTCGGCGATTTTCGAGCTGAGTATTTCTCTCACACGCTACCAAAATTTCTTCACCTACAACCCTTTTGGCAATTAGGCCTGTAGGCTGCTTGAGAATAGGCGCATGCATCAGTGACCACATCTATCAGATAGACAAAAGGGTGGCCCAGCCCATGCATCATTGGGTCTCACGTTTTGTGACTTTTGTCAAGTAATTAGACGCGGAGGAATGAGGACTCTAGCTTTCAGTTTCACGTACAAAATAATTCGCGGTATGTCATAGATGGAGTTTAAAGGTTGATTACGGAGCTTAATATATGATAATACTTCTATTAAACTTTTACACGCGAATTGCTTAATTTTGAAGAAGTGCGTCGTTACTATAAGATACTGTTTAGTAATAAAAAAATAGAGTGATAGGAATGAAAATACAAAAATCAAAATGAAAATTAAGAAATCGAAATAATATTTATATTTTCATGTTGTGTTTTGAATACTAATGAGAAATCGTAATGCAATTTCAATTTTTGAATATCTCATTTTTTATGCAAATGAAAAGAATGATTAAAAAAATAATTTTATTAAACTATAATGATTGTAAAAATGATAAAGGTGATGATGATGATTGTGGTTATAATATTAGTTGTGGTAGTAATGATGGTTGTGACGGTGGTTATAGCGGTGATGATGGGTGGTGGTGGCGGTTGTGATAGTTGCGATGATGATGATGGTTGTTGTGGTGGTGGTGGTGATTGTGATAGTGGTAAAAACAGTTAATAGATAATAAATAAATAAAATATATTATTATTTTGAAAAAAAAATCATTTTCATTTCTTGTTTTTATTCCCATATCTTATGTGATAATGAAGTTATGTGTAAATTTTTATTCTCATTCCCACGTTATTTCTTGTAACCAAACAACTACAATATGTGAGTAAAACTTTTATTCTCATTCCAATCACTCTATTCCTAATTATTAAAAAACACCTAAAAAATATATAAAAAACTGCTTTAAACTCCGAAAAACTAAATAAAGGAAAGGAAAGAATAAGTGCCTCTAATGTTTAGTCAAAAAAAAAAAAAAAAAAGTCTCTATTTCCAAAAATTATTTTCATTGGTCAATTTTTTAAATAAACAATGGACATCCAATCAATGATAGGGAGCGTTGACGTATATAAAGAGATTACGGGTTCAAACTTTTAGATGGTTTGCACTTGAAAGATACTTTACTATAAGAAAAGATCAGAATAGTTCTCAATTTTGTTTCGGTGACAAATTCAATTCAGTTATAGTAATATGATTTTATGTCCTACCTTGTTGATGAAGTTAATTTATTAATAATGAAATAATTAACGAGGGACTAACAAATGAGTTCCCTCATCTACTCTTAAAGAATTTTAATAAGCCGCAAGATTATAATTTTTTTCTTTACCTTATTTTTTCCCCGATAATATGGTAATATTATTTCACGACACCACAAAAAATTACAGTGTGGTGATAAATCCGGTGTAGCTATACCTGGAATTACGAGGAGTCTATTATACCTAGCCATTCCTAAATCTCTGTAATCCTCTCTCTCTCTCTCTCTATATATATATATATATTAGAGTTTTTTATTTAGCAATTTTTTTTAGTTTCATAAATAAATAAATTAATATTTAATTTAATATTATTATTTTATTTTAAAAATATTTTTTCATCGATCTTTTCTTATATTATTTATTCTGTTTCGCTCTTTTATTTTTGAAAAAAATAAATAAAACATGAAAGGAAAGAAAAGAGCTAATTAATTAATTTTTAAAATTAAAATAAATACTTTAATTTGTTTTGTAAAACTAGAAGAATTCATTTATCATTTATTCATATGCATATAGCATATAAGAAAACATTGTTCAGCTACCATACATCGTTTTGACCATTTTTACCAACTCCTATGCAAAGAAGCAACAGCCACCAATTTTGGGCATCTTCTGGCTGTGGGCAGCGACCTTTCTTTGCCAGCCGATATTGTACACATAGGAATGCTTTGACAATTTATTATCGAACTAAAATGTACAATAACAAATAAGCATCTACGTACCGTTCGTCGCTGATGGCCCTTTCCAATCAATCGTTGCTGATTGATCTCCAAAGCCCGTGAGTCGTGACCCCACAGTTTTATTTTTTCTGACAGCGTCAGCGATTGACCTATCTAATCAATCGTTGCTGATTGATCTCGAAAGCTCGTGACTCGTGACCGTGGAGTTTTATTTCTTTCTGATGGTGTCCACGAGGGGCCATGCGATGAAGACCCTTTGTAGTGACAAGTGGAGAGCCAGATATAACCACGCGCGGAAAATAGTGGAGGATTCCGAGGATGCATAGAATGATAAAAACCTGTCCAACAATCGATTTTTTATTTTTTATTGGCGTAAAGAATGCTGACAAAATATAAAAAACAAAGTAATTTTGTTTTTCCGCTTTTTTTTTTTTTCACATTCATATAAGTTTTCGAGTCGAAAAGATAGAGTAAATGATAAATTAGTCCCTCTAGTTTCAAGAAACCAATTAACTAACTCTTCTTGTTTTTAAAATTATTATTTAATCTTTTAATCAGCGTTGATTATGTTTAATTCAATATTCTTTTCTCACAAAATTTATTATTTTCTCAACAATCTTTTCATATTTTTCTCATATTTATTTTTTTCATTTCTTAAAATAAAAAATAAATTAAATTAAAAATAAGTAGAGATAACTAAATTACAAGTATATTTTGAAATATGAAGACTAAATAATTAATTTTTAAAATAAGAGAAATTATTTAATTCATTTCTTGAAATGAGAGGGATTAATTACTCTTAAAAAGATATCATCAAGGTAATCAGTTTTTTTTATTATCTTGCGTAAAACATCGGGGTAAAAATACCAATAAGCTGGTCGTTTTTAATTTGAAGATTTTGCCATTTCTCCCTTCTGCAATTTCTGTACCAAAAACAGGACCCCATTTCTCCTTGCCCTCTACTCCAAAATTTTGAGTTTAGATTTCAATTACCCAAGCTTCCAAACTACCGCTGTTAACCTCACCCTAACATGTGGAGAAACTAGCTGACCGAGCTTTAATTCCAAAAGCCTAACAAGTCGCAACATATGCAAGATGCTTTCCTCCATGTGATGGCAGCCCCCACAAACATGGAGAATCAACAACATTATGTAATTGTACGTGCCCCATCAAGTGGATGCGGTGACTCTTTAATTTATGCTTTTATTTATCCACTTGCTGAACCCAAATTAGCTAGCTCGTGGGTGCGACTACAAGGCTTGTCATTGTTGGTGACTCTGTAGGACATCACCAATTGGTGCCACTTGTTATTGTAGCATATGTTAAAGTCATCCATGTTGAAAAAGTAATTAATGTGTGGGCCAATTATGTTATTAATTGGGTGGTATAGGCTATAATAGAGGAATTAGTCCATTTAAAGTGATTTGATAAAATTTTAAGTTGTTTGAGTTTTATGTGTTTAGATACGAAAGTCTAATTTCTATTTTAATGATGGGCCAAAATAACAGTTAGACCTAAGACAGTTATGTAATTGTACGTGCCCCATCAAGTGGATGCGATGACCCTTTAATTTATGCCTTTATTTATCCACTTGTTGAATCCAAATTGGCTAGCTCGTAGGTGCGACTGCAAGGCTTGTCATTGTTGGTGACTTTGCAGGACATCACCAATTGGTGCCAGTTGTTATTGTAGCATATGTTAAAGTCATCCATGTTGGAAAAGTAATTAATGTGTGGGCCAATTATGTTATTAATTGGGTGGTATAGGCTATAATAAAGGGATTAGTCCATTTAAAGTGATTTGATAAAATTTTAAGTTGTTTGAGCTTTATGTGTTTAGATACCAAAGTCTAATTTCTATTTTAATGATGGGTCAAGATAGCAGTTAGACCCAAGACAGTTATGTAATTGTACGTGCCCCATCAAGTAGATACGGTGACCTTTTAATTTATGGCTTTATTTATCCACTTGCTGAACCTAAATTGGCTAGCCCGTGGGTGCGACTACAAGGCTTGTCATTGTTGGTGACTCTACAGGACATACCAATTGGTGCCAGCTGTTATTGTAGCATATGTTAAAGTCATCCCTGTTGGAAAAGTAATTAATGTGTGGGCCAATTATGTTATTAATTGGGTGGTATAGGTTATAATAAAAGGGATTAGTCCATTTAAAGTGATTTGATAAAATTTTAAGTTGTTTGGGCTTTATATGTTTAGATACCAAAGTCTAATTTTTATTTGAATGATGGGCCAAAATAGCGAGTTAAACCCAAGACAATTATTACATATATAGGGTTATGATCCCTAAGTCATACGAAGGGTTTTCTATTATGATATCCCATCATCGGATAGAATACAAAGAGGCAAAATTTTTCTCTAAAGGAAATCGTATAGGCTTAGAAAATCAAGAACGGCAAAAACCGCAACCAAGTCACGTTCCTATGGATTTAGGTATGCTTTTGTTTTAATTCTTCTATTTGATGATTTAACATGAAATCTTGATTATAATGATAGTTTCATCGTCTTTATAAGATACTTTTAACAATTGATATCACGACCTAATTCATGTTGAATCATTGAAGAAAAATTCATTATCTTTTAATATATATATGTATGTATGCATGTATGTATGATGAATTTGCATATGTAATTCAGATTTGTTTGATTGATGTCAATATTTTTTTTAAATTTGGGAACTTTTTTTTATTTCTTTACCAAAGTTTTGCAAAGAAACTAGTTCCATGTCCATAAAAGTTAGGGTTTTGGATTTTTCTATGAAGAATATTATAATGGACTTAGGATTTTGATTCGGTTTTTATTGACTCGAATTGTTAATCGACTTGAACTATTGATCGACTCGATTCGATTGACTCGAACTAACCCAAAAACAAACCGATTGACCAAACCGACCGGTTCGTAACTTTTGATTGTTGACTTTTCATAGTTGACTTTGATCACCGACTCTTTGCTTTTGACTTTGACATTGACTTTTATGTTGAATTTTTTTTTTTTTTTTTTTTGCATTAACCGGTTAAGTTAGGTAGTGTGTGTGTGTAATTCGTGCGGATATTGATTGACTTAAAGGAAGGTCGATATTTGGTCGAATTACATGCATACACTTAGAAAATAAATAGTGTGTTTGCAATTCATGCGGATGTTGATCGGCCCAAATGAAGGTTAATATTTAATCGAATTACATGCACACTCGTGGTAGTAAATATGTGATAATTATAAGGTGTTCTATGTGAGCAATAAGTCGATCCAAAGAAAGGTTTGTTTTTTACATGTATATCCATGGAAAATAAATAATGTGTATACAATTTATGCGGATGTTGACTAACCCAAAGGAAGGTTAATATTTGGTTGGATTACATGCACATTTGTGGTAATAAATATGTGATAATTATAAGATGTTCTATGCGAGCAATAAGTCTATCTAAAGAAAAGCTTGTTGTTTGACATGATTTATTATCAATATTTGATTGCTACACTGAATATACTACTTGTAAGTTGAAATTTTTGTTCAAAGACTAAATTTCAATATTGTATTAGGTATCTTGTGATGGGCTTTGCCATTATTTGAATTTAATGTGATATGAAATTTATGTGAGCTTATTGTTTTGTTTTATGTACTCGGTTAATTCCTTTTCTTCTATAATATTTGTAAACCTAAACTTCATCCCTGTGCTTGAATAATACAAAATTTAAGGACTCGAAAATAGAAAGTTATGATTATTCTCGACTTTATGGATCTAGACCTTATGCTAAGGATTGAACAACTCGCTACTTTTACGGATCAAAGTTCAATTGAGGATAAAAGAGACTTTAAGAAGTAGGATTGTTCAAATCACATAAGTCTTGTGATCATGAAGCAAGGAATTCCAAAAACCTTCGAGGGCGTTGTGTCCGAAAAGGTCACTACGGCTAAGCAATTCTTTGAGGAAATTGAAAAGCGTTTTGTTAAAAAACAATAAGGCCAAAACAAGCACACTTTTAGCAAATCTTGTTTCAATGAGGTATAATGCAAAAAGGAATATTTATATGATTAATGGACCGGATGGTTTAGAGACCCTTTAGTAATGATAGCAAATTTTGAGCTCATAAAGTCATTTTATAATGCACAATTGCAAAATAACATAAATGGCCTAAATGAGAGATTTTTAGAAAAATAATTAATATGTGGGCCAATTATGTCATTAATTGGATGTTATAGGCTATCATAAAAGGATTAGCTAATTTAAAGTGATCCGATAAGATTTTAAGTTTTTGACTTTTAAGTGTGTAGATACCAAAGTCTAATTTTCTAGTTTTATGATGGGTTAAAATAGAAGTAAGACCCAAGATAATTATTATACATATAGGCTTATGGTCCCCAAGTCATACGAAGGGTTTTCTATTCTGACATCCCATCATTAGATAGAATATAAAGAGGCAAAACTTTTCTCTAAAAGAAAATGTATAGGCTTTGAAGATCAAGAACCGTAAAAGTCGCAACCAAGTTTGTTCCCATGGATTCGGGTACATTTCCGTTTTAATTCTTCTCTTTGTGATGATAGTTTTATCATCTTTAGAAAATACTTTTAACAATCCCATTATCAAGCAAAACACACTAGCTCAAAGGGGTGAAGTTGCATATTGGTCTCTACATGTTGAGGATTTATATCACCATCTTTCTCTTCCACTCCCAGGCTATGCCCCCTTTGTAATTGAGGGCAAACAAAGCCGTCAAGCTAACCATTATATTGTATCACGATGACAAATGGAATTTCTTTCTTTCCATCTTTATTTTATTTTTTAAAACTCCTTTAGATTTTGACCACCTATCCGTATGCCACTCAACTTACGTCTTATTAGTAATGTTTGCTATTCCTTCCACACCTCTCGTTATTTCTATTCATTTTATTTAATCGAGTTGTTTGTTGCTTTTATAAATTACAATACTAACTTTTTATAACTTCGACTGATTTGTTGCTAATTCCTTTTATTAATCCTCAAAAACTCCTTCACACAAGTTCTAAATGTTTTATACAATTTTTAAATATGTTTTTTTGTCAATTTTTTAATAGTTTAAATCTAATCTGTATGCTTTATACATAAAAATGATATCAATTTGATGAAAATTTGATGAAAAAATCAATGATTAATAATATTTTCAATCATCTGTACATATTTACATACTAAATCAATGTTGATTTGAAGTAAATTTGATAACACCATTGATGAATATTAACAAGACTATTTAATTGGGAACTTTTTAAAACATCTCGGATTTAATTGATAAAATTTATAAATACGAGACTCAACTAAAAGTATTTAGGTTTGAAAGCAAACCTCAAGTTTTTCCCTGAAATTTTCATTTTCTTTAAATTAAAAACGTTATAAAACTCTAGGTGGGTAATTGTGGTCACAGCAGACCCGGATACAAAAAAAAATAAAGTTTTCAATGATTTCCTTCCATATTTCTCACATAAACTCATCTCCCAGACATTAAAAACACCCTGCTAACCATTAACACTCATTATTTTCCAGTTTAAATGTTAAAAAAAAAAAAGTATAAAAAAAATTCAAAATTTAACATTCTTAGATCCGGATTCATTTCGATACAAAACACCGGATTCCGGGGAAGGGTTATTTAGTAATTCAATCATTTTTTTAAAGCGGGAAAAAATAATGAAAAGAGAGGTGAAGAAGTTTGTATGTGTAGATGTTAAGATAACTTGCATTTCTTATTGAACAGCTTTGATTGCTTTCAAAAGATCTGAAAGCTCATATCGTTTACGTCTTTTTTTAATTAGGCAAAGTCATCTCAAAGGGCCCCACGAAAGGCAAGGTGCAGTTGCCAATTATTTTAACGTCGGTCTCCGCTGGGCAGTTAATTACTCGACCGCCGGTTCATAACCCGTTCCCACCTTTGTATAAACCAGCACTTAATTAATCATTGATAAGATGCGGTGATTTAAAAAACAAATTAAGTAACCATATTCTATTTGACAATGCGCATCCACTCTGTACGTCAAAGAGACGAATTCTACATTAATTTTTTTTGTCTCATGGCACAGGGCAGGCCAAACCCAGAAGGCCGGAACAAAGCTTGATTTAATTCACCAATCCCACAAAAACTCATTCTGAACATCTTTCTTCAATAAGTCGTCGGGCTTCTCTCTCTTTTATCAATGGCGCCATCAGCTGATAATGAAGTTGCCCTTGAGTTTCGGTTCTTCAAGGTGTATAAAGACAGCCGTATCGAATTCGTTTGGCCGGACTGCCCAAAAATCCCAGCATCCATTGACCCGATTACCAGGGTCGAGTCCAAAGATGTGATCATCTCAACGGAACCCCAAGTTTCTGTCCGTATTTTCTTGCCAAAACTCAAATCCCCTGACCAAAAACTCCCTCTCTTACTTTTCGTGCATGGGGGTGGCTTTGTGATGTTTTCTGCCTCTGCTATTCCCTACCACATTTTGTGCAACAAAGTAGCGGCTGAGGCTAACGCTATTGTTGTCTCTGTGGAATATGGTCTCTTCCCTACCCGACCCATACCCGCTTGCTATGAAGACTCGTGGAAAGCGCTACAGTGGGTGGCTTCACATGCTGATGGGAGTGGAGTTGAGCCGTGGCTGAATGATCATGCCGATTTTGCTAAAGTTTATGTTGGGGGAGATAGTTGTGGAGGTAACATATCACATACTCTAGCATTCCGGGTCGGGTCAATTGGGTTACCGGGAGTTAATGTAGTTGGAATGATTTTGGTGCATCCTTTTTTTGGTGGTACCGAGGATGATAAAATGTGGTTGTATATGTGCCCAAGTAATAGTGGGTTGGATGATCCTAGGCTGAATCCTCGTTTGGAGGATCTTGCTAGACTTGGGTGCGAGAGGGTGTTGATCTTTGTGGCTGAGAAAGACGACTTGATTGTTGTAGGCAAGAAATATTGCGAGAAGTTGAAGAAGAGTGGATGGAAAGGAAGCGTTGAAATTGTTGAGAACGAAAATGAAGGCCACTGCTTCCATTTGCTTGATCTCAATTCTGACAAGTCTGTGGAATTAATTCATAAGTTTGTTTCCTTTCTCAAACAAGACTAGTTCTTTTGTGGTTTAGTCGTGTTTTTCCTTTTCGCATTTTAATTATGGGAAGGTTTCGATGTTTCAGGATCAAAACATGGGGAAATAGTCCTCCAAATCTAAATCATCACCCTTTGAATAAGCTTGAGACGATGTTTTTAAAATGTTTCAGAAATGAGAGCCCACATGTACGTTTTCCACCCCCTACCTCTAGGTGGGTGATTGGGGCTGAATTGGGGTCATACTGACCCGGATAAAAAAAACAAGTTTGGAAGTAAATTTTATATTGGATTAATACTTCCCTACATCCCTCTAATATGTAATCAAGTCAATTGTTTCCCGTGCTTACAGGGAAGCTAACTCTTATGCAGACCAATTAGCCAACGGCGGAATCGATTTCTCAGGGAGAATCTCCGGATGGGTTTTTTGTAGCATAGTTGAATTGAGGATAAATAATGAAGCTTTGTTTCAGCCTTTTGGGTTGGTGTTCTTTGGGCCACGAGACCCATTTGAAACCCAAAAAAAAAAAAAAAAAAAATCGATTATTAATCTTAGACTAATGAGCTAGGTGGCCGGCTTAGTCTATAATGAGTAATTTTGGTGTCTACGTTGCGGGTGCGTCATTCATGTGCTGCATAATATTTAGTTAATTATTTGATTAATCAGATTAAATTTAAAATAACCTTTGACTGTTTAATCATAAACTACAGAATATGAGGCCTGGCTCACACAAATTGAGTTGGTCATCTTGCAACTAAGCAGTTTTCTAAACAAAAAATTCTTATAATTTCTTTAGTTTTCATAAAATAAAAAAATACTATCGTTTTTACTCTTTATTAATTCACGCCACATAAAATAAATAAGTTATTTCATTTTTTATAATAAAAAACATTAACCATCACATTACAGTATTTTTTTTATATTTAAAATGACTTGTATTGTATTTACATCGAAGTTAAAATTTAAATTTTTTTAAAAAATAGCTACGATTATTCTTGGATACATAGATATACCACCACTTGAATAATACAATAGTAGATGTTTTACAAAGAACTTGCTTAGTGCTAACCAACCACTAGGATGCCCTTGCTCCCGTTCCTGCCCCGCCTTTGAAAATTTTGATTCGTTCCCGCCCATGTTTCGTGTGGGGTAATATTTTTCATAGGATCTTTGCAAGGCACCTGTGTCTCGTTTAAATTTTTATTTTCATCTTATCCTGTTTTTTTTTATTCTCAATTTTCAAACTATAATAAAAAAAATAATAGCTTGTATAAAGAATAAACCATGAGATTCAGTAATCACATATTTTATATAGGATATAATTATAATTTAAATGATGAAATGGGACAAACAGGGTGAGACAGACAAATACCATCCTTGCTCCATTCCTATTAAAAATAAATGTGGAGCGAGGCGTCCCATCTCGTTCCTAATCAACTTAGGGAATCCCTATATTATCTAGGGCAGAACGGAATGAGGCTCCGTCGTAACAAGGCAAATTACCATTCCTACCAAGTACTAAAAACACGAGAACATGAGTGTAGAAAAGACAAAGAAAAAGTTTAGAACATGATGTACATGCGTTTTTGGAAGTAAATTATAAATTAGTCTTTTCATTTTTTAAAAACAAATTAATCACTTCTCTTTGTATCAAAAAATGAATACCATAGTATTTATATATTTTTTTATTTTTTTATAACTTAATAATTTTGTTTCTTTTCAATTTATTTCAATTTTTTGATTTAAGAAAAAATAAGCACAAAATATGAAAAGAGTGACGAAGAAAGACGATATTTTTAAAATAAAATAATATTGAATTAAACGTAGTCAATATTAGTAAAGAAATTAAAAAATAAGTTTTTAAAATTAAAAGAATTAAAAATTAATTAATTCTTTTTTTAAAAAACAAAGAGATTAATTTGTAATTTAATCTTGTTTTTTTACCATGCTTTTAAGAATTGATATACACCAAAGATGCATGGTCCACATGTGCCATAGAGTTTTGATTATTATTTGGCTAATTTATTAAAAATTACCATGAATTTTGGTTAACAATATACTAGTCTCTAACCTAGTTTTATTCTAATTTGGGTTCTGATTTTTTTTTCTCCTTTGGTTCAGGAATGTCAGCCTTTCGTCATGGTTCGATTCATGGGTTAATTTTGACGACAAATGAACCACTACAAACACAAGACATGTCCAAGGAAAAAACAATATGGGTTGCTATTTTATTCGCTAATAGAAATAAAATAAATATATTGGAAGGTTAACTTCTTTACAAATCAAATATATTCAGAAATAAATAAAAAAATAAAATATAACTTTCTAATAATTTTTATTTCTTTACAAATCAAATATATTCAGAATTGACATCTGAAACCTAATGTCAATTGTTTTTTCCTTATGAATAAAATTAGAGATTGAAAAACAAAGAAAACTCGGAAACGTTTCCCACAACCAGCACCGTTGAAACCTTCTCAACCGCTAAAAACTACTCCCAACCACCACAAATGTGGAAAAAGCCACATCACATGGATACTGACCATAAATCAAAACCCAAACATCGAATCAAAAGATACTATTCGTTGGATCTTCTCCAGCGTGACTTCTGTTAGCGTTTCAGATCTTCTTTAACGTGCTCTCTATTGATTTCTAGTCTTATATTTCTGATTTTACAGGGGGTAAATGGCATGACCTTTTTTTTTTTTTTTTTTTTTATGCACAGTTTATGGCATTTGCAAATAAACTTTTATAGATACTGACTCATCTAATGTGATTTTGATCTTTTTTTTTATGAGTTTAATGGCAAAATTGAATTGTGAGTATGGCATCACACTGACTCCACTTGTGTTTGGGAATTGTGATGAACCTATTGGGATTATGTTTTTATATAAAAAAGAAAATCAAATACATTTGATTTGTAAAGCAATCAAATTTGAAATTTCTTTTACTTTCATTAACGAGTAGCATGCTGACAAATGTATGTTTCTCTCTCCTAAAGATGAGTTATTTTTTAATGTAAAAATTAAGGAAGGGATCAGCTTTCTGACATATATATATATATATATATATATATATATATATATATATATATATATATATCAGAATCCAAATCAAAATAAAGATAGGTTAAGGATTAGTTTTTTATTGACTGAAAGTTCATTGTAGCTTTTAACTATAGTTAATATCCCTGCATATTTTTATAAAATATGTCAATTTTTTAATAAGTTCTTAAAAAGAAAATCAAAATATATTTTTACTATTTAAATTAGTTTTTAAATTATTATTTTATTTAAAAATTTTAAATTTTTTTACTAAATTAAATATGTAATTTGTACATAATATATGATTTAATAAAATTATATTTATTTTTTTGGCACAAGTAATCTATATTTATTAATATAAAAATTAATTTTTAAAAATTAACTGAAAATTTCGACAAAAATAATAGATTAGAAAGTAATTCAAATAATAAGGATAAATTAAACATTTAGGAACAATTTGAAAAATTAGTTTATTTTATAAAAACTTGAGAGGTCATTAATTTTTTTTTAACTAATTAGCCTTATTATTTTGTCAAATTACCGACAGGGACTTCCAACATTAAGTTTCACGTAGAAGAAACTCAAAAGATAATTATGCAGCTCTACTATTTCTCCGTACACGTGTAAAATATGAACACATTTTTATAGCACTCTTTACATATGATTTACATATAATTTATTTTCAAATTTTTATAGCCATTCCAAAAGGGAACACCAGCAAAACAATGAAAAGTTTCAAAACACGAGCAAAATTTTTATAGTTTTTTTTTTATTTCAAAAAATCAATTAATTAGTTTTTTTAAAATTTAATTATTTAGTCTTTTAACTGATGTTGACAATAATTTATTTATCTTTCCCTGATATCTATTTTTTTAATTTTAAATATATATATATATATATATATATATATATAAACTAAATACTTAATTTTGAAAATAAAAAGAAATATAATTTATTCTAAAAATCATAGCGATGGTCAATTAGTCATCGTCACAAAAGCGTTTGGACCTTTAGTATAAAACCGTTGTCAAAAGGCACAATAACGTGCATTTGTGCCAAACCAACTAAAAAGAACAAGACGATACATCTTGTAACCAGGCCATAGCTACAGTTCTTGAAACCGACAGTTGAATAATTTTATTTCTTATTTCCTAATTATAACCGACAGATATACGCATCTCTTTCCTAATCAAAATTAATTTTGTGAGCCAATTCTTTTATTAGTTATTTCATTTTACACGTGTACCAATCAAAATGATTTTTAATGATTTAACAAAAAAATTCAGTCCTGCAAGCTTCCAAGAAACGTTAAATCGATTTCTTATAAAGTTTGTGATTACATAAAATTAAACAAACAATTTGACCAAAACAAGAAGAAAAATGAAGATTTTTATCACCTTCTAGAGAACTGCCTCCGTAAAATGTTTTTAAATATTCCATTAAGGATGAAACACTTCCCGTACTCTTATGTTAATTAGTATTTTTTATTTTAATTTTTCTATCTAAATATGGTATAAAACAAACCTTGTAGTGTTCAAAGTTGAAATAAACAAACTTTGCTATTTGTTTTCGTAAACTACGTATCATTATGATTAGATGGCAAATGAAAAGATTAATTTATAAAGTAATACATAATTTATTTTCTAATAATTATAAGTAAACTTTGTTAAATTGTAGTCAACAAAATTAAAAAAAAAAAAAAAGGGTAGTAAATAGATAATAGATATAAAAATTGAGAATAATGATGATGTTCTACCTCTTAGCGGGACAAAGTTTTTACCTTTGAAACACGGCAAGTATTGATCATTATTCTATCCAAATTATACACCGAACCTATAGTGTTCATTGATCATACAATTCCCACCAATCATGTGCATCTCCTCATCACTTTCTCCTTTCATAAGTGGAGTTCAGCCTCATCCTTTTCACCATATTTTCCACTCTTCTAGATCTACAACAAGCAAGAACCACAGGTTTTTTATTCGTTCCTCTCTTTCCATGGATTCAACCATGCCTGAAGTTGCCTATGATTACTCTCCCTTCCTTCGCATTTACAAAGATGGTCACATAGAGAGACTCAGGGGCACCGACATCGTCCCTTCTGGATTGGAGCCCAAAACCAGCGTGCTGTCTAAAGATGTTGTATATTCACCAGAATTAAATCTCTCTTCCAGACTTTACCTGCAAGAAAAGACCAACCCTAACCAAAAACTCCCTATCCTAGTTTACTATCATGGTGGTGGCTTTTGCATTGAAACTCCCTTCAACTTTCGTTACCATAACCACCTGAACAATTTAGTTGCGGAGTCTAATGTAATAGCAATCTCTGTTGATTATAGATTGGTTCCAGAGCACCCTCTTCCTATTGCATATGATGATTCATGGACAGCACTTAAATGGGTTGCCTCCCATGTTAATGGAGATGGCCCTGAAGAGTGGCTAAACTCTCATGCTGATTTCGGTCAGGTGTTTCTTGCTGGAGATAGTGCTGGTGCTAACATAGCACACCAAGTTGCTATGAGGTACGGTCAAGAAAAATTGTCTGGTATTAACCTTTCAGGTGCTATTTTAGTACATCCATATTTTTGGGGCAAAGACCCTATCGGTACCGAAGGTAAGGATTTGGAATTAAAATCAAAGATGGATGCTATGTGGCATTTTGTATGTCCTGCATCAAGTGGGTTGGATGACCCTTTGATTAATCCACTTGTTGATCCAAAATTGGATAGCCTGGGCTGCACAAAGGTTCTGGTTATTATTGGTGGGAAGGATATCCTGAGGGATAGAGGTTGGCACTATCATGAGAAGTTAAGTAAGGGTACTGGATGGGCAGGTGTGGTGGAGATTATGGAGGGGAAAGACGATGCGCATGTCTTCTATTTGGACGATCCTACTTGCGAGAATGCTGTGGCTTTGGTTAGAAGAATCGCTTCTTTCATCAACAAAGACAAGGCCTGATTTTATTAATTATGTAGCTTTCTGGTTTAGGTCCTTTGTATGCCCATAGAATAACATGCGTCCATGGTAGTGTTGTTCTTTGTATGCGCGCTACTGTGTGTGTCATAATATGCATTTGAATTAAAGTATATATAATCTAACTCGCGTCCAACAGATTCAGAACCATGCATAGATCGAGAGAGAGAGAAAAAAGATGATTTCACAACGACGAGAAAAGAAATACGAGATGAGGCTTATTGGAAAATGTCAAAACTTGAATTGTTGATGATTTAAATTTGGAAATGATAGTCTAATACTCGAAAGAACTTCACCAACCAGTATCCTCTATATTGTCTCGTGGAAAATGAGAAAACATATCTTACAGTCAACGATTATAAATATCTCATCAATAATTGAATCAGGATATAAAATTCGAAAGTAACAGCCGGCTCTAGGCTCTAGCCAATGTCAATAATTCATATCTGCAGACTGGGCTATAAAATGAAAAAATAATGGTTTTGTTATAGTTTTTTCTCATGTGATTTCAAAATAAATTTAATGAAAAATAAGCAATTCCATAGATCACTTGAGAAACCATTATTACCGTTAAAAGCCTCATATGAACAATTTAGAGGGAGTACTTTAAAAGTTTTTTAAAGGCATAATTAAATAACGCGGATAACAATTGTGAGTAAAATAAACTTTGTGGGTATAGCCTTCTCCAGCCCTCCTGTCGCTTTGCCTGTCTAATTAATTCAAATAAAAATTTTTATAATATTCAATAAGGAATTAGTATAAATTATTTTATATAAAAAAAAGATATAAAAAAATAATAAGAGAGAAAAAAATTGAGCCAGCGTACAAATTATTTTTTTATTTTTAATGGATCCGAATATGATTTTTTTTTCTTACGTTTCTATTTTTTAAAAAAACAATAGGCTTGTAGAGTAATTACTATAATATATATTAGTTACTCTTTATTTTTTAAGTATCGTAAAATTTCACCCATTGGACCATGAAGAACCGATATCCAATTATCTTCAATGGACTGCGGACAGTAGATGTTAAATTAACATGTGTGAAAGCTGGCCATCCCAAAGCACCACTGTGTGTCGTGTAAATCAAAAATAAAAGCAATTTTTATGATCTGGTTCGTTTAATTAATTTGTGTAAAAAGTTGTTTTATTTCTTAACAAAAATTGATTTTGACTAAATTGCATTCAGATAAATTTAATAAATTATCTTAAATGTTAATCTAAAATTTAAACTCAAAAAAACAAGACAAATCTTTTTAATCAGGAGATTATCCCTTAAGATTATTCAAAAACTCAAAATAGAGAGTTGGTGATTTGTATGGTTGAAGTCCAAATGGAATTAATTTTCTAACAGTCCGGTTGGAGGAAATGAGCGTATGGTTTTTTTTTTATTGATTTTATTTTTGTTAGATTTTTATTTAGTTAGTGGTCTCTTGTAACGGTGAGCACAGTTTTTATTTTCAACTCAAAATTATATAAGAAAAATTGCTTTTTCTGTTTTATTTCAGTTCGATTTAATTTTAAAAAAAATTATTCGATTTGAATTGAAAACCATTTTTTTTTAATTTTTTAAATAATACAAATAAACCAAAAAAATCGATATCTTAACATTATTATAGATAGATGATGGATTAATTAATTTTTTTTATCTATTTATGTTATTTAAAGAAAATCTAGAAAGAAAAAAAAACAGTTTAGATAACAAAATAAAATCATAAACCAAAATTTTAATTTTTAAATTAAAAAACCAAAGACCAATTTTATTCATATTTCATTTTTATTTTTGTAAGTTTAGTTGATCACTAGTTGGATATCGACGCTACTACTGCGGATTGACAGTAGTTACATATATAGGGTTAACAATTCGTATATTGTAATGTGAGTAAAAAGTTTTAGTTTTTATGATTAATATAAAACGAATCTATATATAGTTAATTTTTAACAAAAATAAAGATATATATATATATATATATATATATCGAGTATATAGAATAAATAGTAAAATTAAAAGAAAAAAACCACCTAAATCGTAGAAATATATCGAAGTCAACGGATTAAAATAAAAACTACAGCAAAATTGGTTACGATAAATTCTGAATAAATATATATAGAAAAGCAAATAAAACTTGTGAATTTTTTTAATTCATTGTTATTTTTTTAAAAAAATGAGCCAAATTATCTAAAACATATTTTTAGCTATTTCTTTGTGTGTGTGTGTGTGTGTGTGTGTGTGTATAAATAAGTAAAACACTCATTTAAAAATATAAAAATAATTTATTATATAAATTATAAGAATATATTTAAAAAAAAATAAAACATTGACGTTCTAAATTTTTTTCCAAAATTCATATATTAAAAAACCAAATTTATTAAAAAATCAAATTATATCAAAAAATTAAAAAAAAATTAATTTAATGAGAATTTTAATAAGAAAAAAATAATTAAAGAAATAAATTTTAAACAATAAGAATAAAATAATTAGATATATATGTTAACATCAATACCAAAGATATAATTAATATTGGTTCAAGGACATTAAAAGTATCAATAATATATATGTTTTTTTCCGATGAAAGGATCAATTATATGTGATTGCTTAACTTGTATAACACTTATGCTATGATGATATGTATCTTCTTTTAAAAGTTTTCTTTTGCCTCTTGGTGATTCAATCCCAAAACACATCAAGATTTAAAATAATTAATCAACTTTTTTTTATTTTCTATCATGAGATTAATGGCCAGATTTTTAAAAATATAAAATAAATTATAGGAAGAAAAAAAGAGCGAGGGTCGCGCCTAGTTGGTGTGTGTGTGTGTAACCCACTTAAATTACATGGAATATGTCGAAGTGAATAGATTTAAATGAAAACTATTATAAAATTGATTTAAATAAATTTTGATTATATATTTATATATAACCAAATAAAACTGTGAATTTTTTTAAATAATTATTAATTTTTTGAAAAAAATTAAAGTCAAATTATTTTTTAACCGATTATTATTTTTTTTAAAAAATAAAGTCAAATTATTTAAAACATTTTTAGCTCTTTCTCTCTCATTAGAATTTATATAAGCAACACCATCATTTTCATATAAAAATTATAAAAATAATCAATAATATAAATTGTAATAATATATCTTAAAAAATAAAATAATCATGTTCTAAAATTTTATTTCAAAAGTTTATATAAAAAAAATTATTAACAAATTAAAAAAAAAGGACAAACTAAATCTCAACAGCCCAATCCGTTAAAAAAAAAAAAGATGCCAATCGAAAAAAAAATTAAAAAAGCTACATTAATAAGAATGTGAAGGATCAATTTAGCAGATTAGGTCTTCAGGAACAAGAAAAAAGAAAAAGAAAAAAAAGGCCAGAGAGGGGGGATAGTGGGGTGTTCTCACGTCTCACCCCCCATTTGGTTTAGTTTTGTAGGCAATAAACCAAACAAAAAAACCCAACGATAACCTGTTGTGACTCGCAGTGCCTTTAGCTAGACAGAGGACAGACAAAAATTTTACCAGCTATTTGCACTATAAATTTCTGGAGGGGCCACTGATGATATTGTATCATGGGATTTGCAAGATTTTAGGGATGTCGTGGACCCTCCGCACCCAAGGGAGGCTTCGCCACTACGCGTTGGCATCGCGAGACCCTCAGATATAAGTTTCCTCAGAAAATGACAAGGAAACCATGAAGTAAATTATAAATTAGGTCTTCTAATTTTGTAAAGTAAATTAAATAGTTTTTTTAATTTCAAAAACTAATTAATAGTTTTTTTTTGTGTTTAATAAGTTTAATTCAATACTATTATTTTATTAAAAAATCATATTTTCTCATAATCTTTCTATATTATTCACCTTTTAAAAAAATTGAAAAGTACATAAAATAAATGAAAAGAACTAATTAATTAGTTTTTGAAATTAAAGAAACTATTTGATTCATTCTGTAAAAGTAGAAGGGCTAAATTATGATTTACTAGAAGCTAGGAGCTGCCATGATCCTAGAAGGCTAGATCTCGATCCTATGATAAAGATCTAGGTGAATAACAAGGATGGGAGAAATTGCTTCTCTGTTTTTCTTTTAAGCCAAATGTCTTGAATTAGAAGCACCGACTAAGCAGAAAAGGCAAAGCTTGGAGGGGAGACAAAAAGCGACTGATTGGACTATAAAAACTAGCTAGAAAAGCCCTTCAAACAAAATAAACGAGCTCAAATGCAGAAGGAAAAAAAAAAAAAAAAGCCAACAAGGAATATAAACTAGAGAAGCCTAACAAGAAAAACTACGTCACTACAAACAGCCGAAGCAACTAAATTTTGGGTTTAATGGCATTTTTTACCCTTTGTTATTAGAGTTGCAGCATATTGAAGTCTGAACAATCAATTTAGTTAATTTTATCATTGAACTATCATGCTTTAAAAAAATATTGCATTTTCATTTAATTTGAGAGTTATCATTAATTGATTTTTTTTTAAAGTAATTTTCTGTATTTTGAGCTTAAAAAATAAAAACATAAAATAGCAGAGAAGGCAAAGCTTGGAGAGGAGATAAAAAGGGGCTCATTGGACTATAAAAACTAGATAGACAAGCCCTTCAAACAAAATAAACGAGCCTAAATACAGCCAAAAAAAAAAAAAAAAAACCGCTAGAAGACGAGCCTAACAAGGAATATAACCTAGAAAACCCTGCCAAGGAAAACCACATCACAACAAACAGCCGAAGCGATTAAATTTTGGGTTTAATGGCATTTTTCACCATGAACTATTGGAGTTATAGGACATTGAAGTCTTTACAATCAATTTAGTCAATTTTATCCTTAAATTATCATGTTTTAAAATACTATCATTTTATTTGATTTGATAGTTATCATTGATAACAAAAAACTTCTTTAAAAAAATTTAAATTTCTGTATTTTGAGCTGAAAATTCTCACATATGTTAATAAAAATTAAAATTTAAGAAATAATTTCAAAATTTTTGAGATGAAGTATTTTTTAACTTCTCTTAAACATTAAATATTTTTAAAAATAGAAAATAGTTTGGCTGGTCTCAATTTAATTTTTTAATTTTTTGAAACACGTCAAACAAATCATATATATTCATCTGCTTAGTTTTAATATGATTCTTAAAATATTTACCTGGTTAAATGCATAATACCTAAGGTAATCTTAAAATAGTTTCATTTTAAAAATAATATATGAAAATATTTTTTACAACTACACTTGAAAAACAAAGGGAGCCAAGATCAACTTCAAATAAACGGGCTCAAGCATGAAAAGGCCACACATAGGCTCGCACAAGACAAATCGGCCTAAGAAAGGAAATAACTTTAGATTGGGCCACTCAAGCTCAGCCCAACACCTGTTCCATTCTTCAACTGCTCAATTGCCAAGCTTCCCTCTCTGCAACTGATGCTCCCTTTCTCACTCTCGGATGGTTTAAATTAGTTTGTTAGTTTGATAGACATCTCTCTCTCTTGTAAGGCTGCCATTTTCCTTTCCTCCCGTTCTAGATTCTCCATGTTGAGCTGTAATAATAAATAACAAACTGTACTTGCCTATTTATAAGCATTTTTCATCAATAAAAAGTGAAAAATTTTATAATACATAAGGAGTAATTAGTGTCATATACGATAGTTACTCCTTGGATTCACTTTAAGGAGAGAGATAGACACACAAAAAGAGAGAGAGAAAATAAAAAAATTTGAGCGGACGTGAAAATCTTATTATCACTTTTGGTGGTTATAGATGTAATTTCTCTCTTTTTTATGTGTCTATCTCTCTTTTAAAAGTGGATACGAGGAGTAACTACTGTACATGCCACTAGTTACTCATTGTGTATTATAAAATTTTCCAATAAAATGTGGTAAAAAATTATGCACAAATAATTTTCTCCATTTATCAACACTAAAGTTACATTTTGCAAATTCATATAACTTCCTTACAAACTTCTCAAAAAAAAAAAAAAAAGAGATAATTCCAATTTAAATTTAATTTTTTATAATTGATTGAATTTTTATTCTTCAAAAAAAAAATAATAATAATAATCTACGGCTTAAAAAAAATAAAAAATTGGGATGTTTTAATTAGCTACCACAAAACAAAGTTACCACTATTGCAGTCATTGCGATTTTTGTTTAAGCATTACCTGTTTTCATCTGAGATCCGCCGATAAAATTATGCCGGGCCTTTTGTTTTCATCCTGCAGTGCTATTACAATCTCTCTTGTACAGACAAACGTAATTAATTTGTGAAAAAAAGGAGTGTGTGTGTGTGTGTATATATATATATATAACAGGTAATGCTTAATTAAACAGATAAGGATGTTAATTTGGTATTCATCAAAAATAAATAAATAAAAGTAAGGATGATTGATGGGCCTGGCTGGTCAATTTATAAATGGGGGACCAACTTTTAAAAATTATCGTAAGTCATTGATTGCCAAACTACTGCATTTTTCATCCCCTTTTTTGGCTACTTTATCAACTCACAAGGAAAAAATTTATAATACTTTAAAGTGATTAGTAGCATGTAAAGTATTCATTTCATGAAACTAATTTAAGGAGAGAGCCAGTCCTAAAAAGTTGGCAAAATATTTTTCTGTACTGAAGCTCTACCCATTTAAAGAGTATATATATCTTGAAAGAACTAAATCAGCGCAACACAAGCTCATATTTCTCCTCTTTGCTCCTTAATCCTTCTTCAACAAGTCAAGCTTCTTTCTCTTTGAACAATGGCGTTATCAGGTGATAACGAAGTTGCCATCCAGTTCCCATTCTTCAACGTGTACCAAGACGGTCGGGTCGAATTACTGTGGCCTGACTTATTCCCGAAAATCCCACCGTCCCATGACCTGATTACTGGGGTCCAGTCCAAAGATGTGATCATCTCAAGTGAACCCAAAATCTCTGCTCGTATTTTCTTGCCAAAACTCAGAACCCTTGACCAAAAATTCCCTCTCTTACTTTATATTCATGGGGGTGGCTTTGTGATGTTTTCTCCCTTCGATATTCCCTACCACGTTTTGTGCAACAAAATAGCTGCTGAGGCTAACGTCATTGTTGTGTCTGTGGAATATGGTCTCTTCCCGACCCGACCTATACCTGCATGCTACGAGGACTCATGGAAGGCGCTCCAGTGGATGGCTTCCCATGCTGATGGGATTGGATCTGAGCCATGGCTGAATGATCATGCTGATTTTGGTAAAGTGTTTGCTGGGGGAGATAGTGCTGGAGGTAACATTTCACATACGCTTGCATTTCGAGTCGGGTCAATTGGGTTACCCGGAGTGAAGCTAGTTGGAATTATTATGATGCATCCATTTTTTGGTGGCACTAAGGATGATGAAATGTGGTTATACATGTGCCCAAATAATGGTGGATTGGATGATCCAAGGATGAATCCGGATTTGAAGGATCTTGCTAGACTTGGGTGTGAAAGGGTGCTGATCTTTGTAGCTGAGAAAGACTATTTGAATGTTGTTGGCAAGAACCATTACGAGAAATTGAAGAAGAGTGGGTGGAAAGGAAGCGTTGAAATTGTTGAGAATGAAAAGGAAGACCACTGCTTCTTTTTGCGTGATCTCAATAGCGAGAAGGCTTTGGAACTGATGCAAAAGTTTGTTTTGTTTCTCAAACAGACCAGTGCGTGAGGACAAGATGGGGCGTCTTCCGTTAGTGATGTTTGAACAACAAATGTAAGTGTACTTTTCTTTTAAAAAAACTACTGTAAGTGCTAGCTGGCGTGTGAAAGCGTGAGAGTGAGAGAAACAAAACCGAGTGTTGTGAGTCATGAGCACTATAAAAAGGACTGTCTTGGTAAAATCAAGCGGTCCTCGTCTAGCGGAAATCCGAATCTAAAGTTCTTCATTACATTTAATATCTAAGTGCGTGACTATTATAATTCTTGTGTTTTCTTGATCAAATTAATTAATTAGCATATCCAGCAACCAAATTTGCCCCACATGGGTCGCATCGGTAACCGATGCCTTCCCATTTCATTGCTCGTCCCAAAAATTTATTTCAAATACTATCGAATTTTTTATTTTTTCTCCCTTTCTTTTTGAATTGTCATATTATTCTATGTTCTTTTGATTTTGTCATTTGGTGTATTTTAACTTTTAAGATCACCACCGCAGTTTTTTTTAATAAAAACAAAACAACTCCCGCGTAAATTCATAGCATCGATTGTTGTACTTCATTGCGTGAGAGTGCCAACCCCCTCGTCGGTGCTCCTAGTTATTCGTACATGTGGCTACAGCATTCTTGGAACTCTAGTGTTAGTGTTTATTTGGAGTAATGGTTGCAGGATTTTTTTTAAATCAGTCTTTTATGTTCGATTTTTATTTTTATTTTTAAAAAATTAGATTAACGGTGTTAGCTTGTATTGGTATTTTTTTTATATCTTAATCTCGCTTTTTTATCGTATTATTTATTTATTTTTTATGAAATTTAAATAAATGAATTTTGAAAAAAAAAAAAAGGTGAAGCTAAATATTATTTTTCTATATAACTTTTATGGGTTTAAATTTATTTTGATGATAGTAAATAAATTTCGAGTATAAAATAAGATATTTATAGTAATTTGTTTAATACTAAAAAAAATTATATTTCTACCTTTGAGTAAAATTAAAAAATAAGTAAATTGTAATAGACTCGTTTTAGATATTACAAATTTATAAATACAATTCAAAATTTTAACAAATTAACTAAAATTCTCTTCATGTATTTTTTTAAATATTATAAATATTTCATTATATACTCAAAATAGAAACACACGAAAAAAAAATATTATAGATATTTTATTTTTTACTCAAATTTTGTTTATTATCATATAGACAAATTTAAATACATAAAGGTTATTTTTTATAAAAACATATCTTTGCCTTTTTTTCTCAGTTTTGTTTTTTCAGAGAAGATGATCAAATATATCTTTACTCCTTTTTTTCAATCTCCAAAATTTATTTATTTAAATTAGAAAAACAAATTAACATCGCTAATCCAAAAGTTTATGAAAGGACTATATTAAAACAAAACCCAAACATAATGGAATCAACTTAAGATGAAACAGAATGTAAGAACACGATTAAAAAAAAAAAAAAAAAAAAATCCAGGGACATTTGTTGCCATTAACCGGTGTTTATGTTATTTGCATTGCTCTTCTCATTAAGTTCACAAGCATTGTTGTAATTTAGCTCACTAAGAGGTTTCAAATAGTAATATGATAATGACGGGGTTCTTTATTGTTAAATGAACAGAGAAGATTGATAGTAGACAATGATTTGTTTTGCTCAAATCAAATGTAAAAAAAATTCTCTCTAGTGATTTAAGAGACCTTTTGATAACTAAATAAATAAACTAAGAGAAAAAATGCCTAAACTGAGTAAGATGTGGCCTTTTTATAATTATGAGCCTTCTCTTTTATGGTCTTATAGCCATCTAGTCCAATTCACTAAAAGTATGTCTTAGGCTAAGTTTGTTTAAGGGAAAACAAGTTCCCGAAACTTGTTTTCTCTATTTTCTCGTGTTTGTTTGGGCATCATGAAAAAAAGTCAAAGAAGTTTGTTTTCCGAGTAAAGGAAATTAAAAAGCCAAGTTTAGGAAAAATGACTTCCCAAATTGAAAACGGGAAAACAATTTCTCTTTAGAGCTCGTTGTTGTCCATCCCCTTCACACTCAAACTCATCGGAACAATTGTTGCTTGAAGTCGACCCAAAGACATCTCCGCCACCCAACGCCGTCGCAACAAAGCAAAAACCACCTTCGAGAATCCAAAGCCCGTAAAAGAACGATTAGATTTGCTATGATTTCTCTTCCTCTTTGAGAGTCCGTCGCTTTCTTGTGTTTTCCTTTGTAAACTACTCGCTACGTTTTCCTTCTCTACCACCCAAGGAATCGGATTTGTTCGTTGCTATTTTATTTTACACGAAAACATTGAAATTATTATATCCTAGAGGGCCTAAGCATCTAGGTCCGTTTTGTATTCATGGGATCTAGAAAATTTAAATATACACCTTTAAGTTTTTGATGATGCGGTGATGTAGCTAGAGGTGTAATTGTAGAATAAACTTCGCCTTCTGCCTTCTTCTTTTGTTTGCTATTTTCACTCTAGTAAATCATCGTATTTAAACCCGGTTCATCGGCGAGTCACCCATGACACTATCACTCCCTTCCCCACTTGATCTCCTTGTGTTATATGAACATCACAAAGTATCAATTGTCAAGACAACACTCGGGAAGTAATGCTGGTTCTTTGATACATCAATCTTTTTTTTAGAATTAAATGTTTGTCTTCGATGACCATACGATTAAGGAATCGTCGAATAGGCCAAGTTAGCCATCGGTCATGCCATTTCTATTTGAGGTTATTGCCATTTGGCATGTTCTTTCCTTTTAGAAGTCCCTGCATGCATTTGGGTGTCTTAAGTCCGGGTCCGGGGTTGCATTTGTGTCGGGTCATCGGTCGTCCGCTATTTTCAAACAATGGAAGTCATCGGTCTTCGGTATGTCACTAACTCTTACGTTGGCACGGTGATTTTAGGTTCTCGATTCCGTCATGGAGGAGAAGTGGGTAGGATTGCTTTGAAGATGTAGGTGAAGTAGTATGTCAAGAAAACCGAATAAATTATGAGTATAGAGTATAGAATTAGTAAAAATGGGGGAGAGGAAACTTTTGATTTATCGAGTAAATACGAGTTAGCCAACATATAGTCATTAGTCATTAGTTGTTTGTTCTTCCTTGAAATGGTTGACCTCTTCTCGTCGGACTTACCCTACTTGCCTTGGCCATCGTATCCGAAGTCCCATAAGTAATTTTTTCTATTTGGCTTTAGAAATTTCATTAGAAGTTTCCTTTTCTGGTTTTTGTTTCCTTTTGGCATGAATGTTGTGTATGATTATTATTATTGTTATCTTTTTCTTTTTGTGGGGGTTCAATCTTCATTACAAATTCTGTTGGGCCTTAAAATTCCAAGGGAAAGCTCTGTTCTCCACGAAACGATGCCACCCCTAACAGTTTAGTTTTTAAATTATAATTTCTAAATATTTTGAGTTATCATCCTGCTTGTATACATGTTGTAATTCTAGCAATTTTTTTTTTTTATCATTTGGTGTTTATTGAATGAGTGATGATGTTATTTGACAATTTCACTTGTTTTTATTTTTTGAAATTTCGTTTATTAGAAATGCTTGTAGAAATGAGTAACACAAAGCAAGAAAAAGTTAAAGCCGAACAATTTAGGTGGACAAAACCTATGTCTCATATGTTGCTTGAGATTTTGGATGAGGAGGTCTGTGAAAGGGAATAAACCTTCTTCCACTTTCAAACAAGAAAGCTTTGCATGTGTAGCAAGAGAAATCAATTTGAAATTTGGATTAGATTGTTCTCTCGATCATGTTAGAAATCATTTGAGGACAATAAAAAAAGAATGGAAGATATCGACCAAGCTGTAAGAGAAAAGTGGTTTTGGATGGAATGATGAGTTGAAAATTATAAGCTGTCTCAAAACAAGTTTATGATGAAGAGATAACGGTAATATTTTTTTTTCAATGTCTCAACTTGTTTTTCTATATTTATAAGATGTTTTCTAATTTCTTTGAACATACATGCACATCTTAACCATGAGAAATACTTGAACAAGAAAATTGAGATGTACAATGAGATGACACTTGTTGCTTGGACAAGATATGACCACATGAAGTTTTGCCAAGTCTTTTACCGATATTAACTTGGCCGAGAGTTTTGAAATGGAATCTACGGCACCGGATGAAGTTGACATAGGCAAAGGAAAATAAGCATCGTCAACTCGTATGCTTTCCGGAAAGAGAAGTCACCAAAAAAGAGGTCGTGAAGCCGAAGAATCAATTACATCTATTTTAGCTATGGAAGTGAGAGAAGTGGCCAAAGCAATTCACGCTTTAACAAAAAATGAAGGTGATATAGATGAGCTTTATGATGTGGTGATGACGATTATTGATTTTGACGATGACATATTGAATAATGTGTTTGATTACTTGGTACAAAATGAAAGGTTGACAAAGGCTTTTATGGTAAGAAATGAAAAACATAAAAAGCTTTGGATTGAAAAGTTTATCAATAAACATAGTGGATCATTTATATGATGTTATGTGTGACTTTCCTATTATGTATTTGAATTTGTAAGAGTATGAATTTTATAGATGGTTTTTATGTTTTTTGGACGTTGTATCTTTACGACTACCTTTGTAGCTACTATTATTGATATGAAATATTTTAATTATGGATGTTTTCCGGTGTACAAGTTGTTGTGATCCATGGATGCGATTTGACTTTTGGATTGTGAGTAGTTATGGGTCAAATTGATAGAATGGAAAGAATTATTTATTTTATGTATACAACCAAGTTTTTCATTATAATTTTATTATATGATCTTTTTTTTATAAATAATTATATTATATTTTTTATGTTTCGGTTGTCATATTGAAAAATTTCAAATCAAATTTTTATCCTTTATAATTATATTAAAATTCGTCTTATCAAAAAAAATTTTAAAAAATTATAAGTAGTGTTATTTCAATTACAAAATATTACATTATTATTTATTAGTTTAAATTTATGAATTTTAATATAAAAAAGTTCAACAAGATTAACTTTATTTCTTTTCTCATGTTAAAACTTGAAAATGTACATGGTGAGTTTGTAATCATGAAATTGTATATATATATATATATATATATATATATATATATATATATATGGATGTGAGATTTTTTAATAATTTTTATATTGTAAGATTGTCGATATGCCTTATTGAAATTTCTTCAAAACTCATTGATATAACAATCACGATTAATTTTTGTATTTCAATTTTACGTATTAAACAAACACTGAAAAATGTTTTCCAACGAGTATTTTCATATAATTGTCAAACGTTAGAAAATATTTTTTTGAAAAATAATTTTTTAAAAAATAGCTTCCTCATGAATTGATTTTCTTATGAAAATTATTTTACGCCAAACAATCGAGCCTTCTACACTGTATTTTTTTTATTACATTAATAGACTCACTCCCTCGTTAAACACAAATCCAATAACTTCAATACATACATAACATAATTTAGAGAGAACCCCCTCTCTGTGTACTATTATAAGGTTTGTTTGGATAAGAATTAAGATGGAGAGTTTCTCTATATACTGTGTATTAATAATTGTTTTCATTCTAAAAAAAAAATTATTGTTTCTGATTGATAGTACCGTTACCTCCTATGATTTTTTCCTATCGATGTAGCCGCACGTGATAGATTGTATAATCTTTGCTTTTCCCTGCATTTCCCTGCTGTTTACCTTCGGGTATCATAAATTTTTAATATTGGAAAATGTGCTTAAGTGTTGGAGCATTTGCGTTACCATAAATGCATTTAACGGTACATATTATTAAATATTTTTTTAGCCTACCGTGGATCTTAATTTGCAACCCAGCTGTTACTTTGGTATAATTAACTGTAATTTGATTTAAAATCATTTGTAAGTTTTTAGGAACTGAGATGGACTTTAAAAATACCAAACCTTCAGCAAAAAATTGTCTTTCAAAGCCCAGCAATTTACTAACGTACCAAATCCATGTAGCAAAATTATCCCACAAAGTTCCTGTAGTATTAGCAAATGTTTCAAAAGGCTTCTGAGAAATTTACAAAGAAAAAACTATATATATATATATATATATAATCGGGTTTCTAAGAGGGCGGAGGCAGGCTGCTCCCCCGTCCTCATATCTTCATTGCAGAAAAAATGACCCCATATCCTTCTCATCAGCTCTTTGTTCAATACTCATCTAGGACAGGAAAATTTGCGATTCCCATATATTAGTGCCGTACTTTATTAATGTTGATATAAACTTTATTATCCGGTATAGATTTCTTTTCTAGCACATGGTCCTGAGGCTAATAATGGTCAAACACTTAATAATCTCGTAGTCATTCCAATTTTAAAATCGAGTTTGGCATCATCTTTTATTGAAAAAAAATGATTGTGTCATCAAATTTCTTTTTTTATATTCTTTTATTCAAGACAAAAACAATAAAATTTAACTCTTTTCAATAAATACAAATTTAACATTCGAAACAAATAATGAAATACTAAAATTTATATAAACATGGGTGTCAACATAAATTTATTTTCTATGCGTCCCATATTAGAACAAATAAAGATCGATTTAATGGCAAAATTTGTCTCTAAACTACTACAATTTGGCACTTTTCCCGCCTTTATTATCAATTTAGGTTAATTGGATTCCAACTATTTTTTTTATATATATAAATGTGATCCTTATTAGTTTTCTTTAACGGTCATAGAATTGATCCTCTTTCTTTGAAAAAAAAAAAAACAGCTTAACTTAGTCAAAATATAATTTATATAAGATTGCATAGTGACTATTTGTTAAATTTCAAAATTAATAACACTCTTCAATTTTTTTTTTTTAAGATACATATAATCAAATAAAAAATAAAAACACATATATGATATGAGTACTTTTAAGGTGCCTTTACGTGTGTTTTTATGGTAGTAATTGTGCCTAGGAGTCACTTTATGTTTTAAATGATAATTAGAATGTTTAATTTTCATTTTAAATGTTAAAGAAGTGGGTTGGGCCGTTACTCTTTGTTTATGGTAATTATTGCGGGTTGAGGATGTTTTGATCACAAAAAGTGTACCGATCGCATAATGCACGACCATCGGCGTTGCACGGTCGCAACAAAAGCAAGTGGAACCGATTTATGCACAATCGTGCAACACTCGCACAATCAAAACCGTGACATTATGACAAGTCACTCAAGAGTCATCCTTTTGGGTAGGCGAGCGAATATAAAAGAAAACCATAAGACTAAGGGGAAAATACACGGTTTTTGGGAAAGAAAAGGGATTGAAGGAAACAAGAAATAAGAGAAGAAGAAAGGGAGCCCAAGAATCAAGGAACAAGATTAGAAGAATTTCATAGCAACATTCAAGAGTTCTTTCTTCCTTCATTTTTTATTCTTGTTTTATGACTCGATTTATTTTTATTGTGTTATTGTCAATCATGGTGATGGATTGCTAAATTTTTATTAGGGATTAACTTTTGAAACATTCATTTGATCTTAATCTTTTGGGTTTAATTTTAGCTTTTTGATGTTTATTATTCTTCATGCTCTAATTGCAATTAAGAAATTGAATTGGATGATTTGTGTTATGTTTCAATGAGAATTGTTGCATAATAGACTGGTAAATATCGGGTTAATTGATAATTATGGAGAGATCGTAATTGTTGATTAATTGCTTGAAAGATTGCTTAAGGAATTGATTGAAGCGATTTGGGTTTGGGATTATCGACTGAGAAACTATAATTTCGCTCATGTTTCTTCAAGTCGATAGTTTAGTTGTTGCTTGAGAGAGAATAACTAACACCATTAGATATCTAGAGCCTTAGTTGTCTTGAACCTATTAGAAAGGCTGATTGGGGACGTGGATAGTATTAATTTCTAGCCTATTAAACCTTGATTAATTTCTTTAAGTAATTTCAATTCTTGCTTCGTTATTGAATTCTTATTTGATTTATATCTATCATCTTTATCTTATTAATCTTAAACAAATCAAAACTAATTCAATTAGTTGATAAAACATAGTCATCGTGGGAACGACATCTTTTTATACTACTTGAGCGATCCGTGCTCTTGCGGAACTAACAATTTATTTAAATAAAAAAATAAAAGTACAAACTTTTTGATCAAAAATAAAATAAAATATTTAAGCTCGTATGGTGGACGTATCAACATATCGATATGTTAATTTAATAGTTATGTCAACATAAATTTAACAAAACTTGATTAGAAAAAAATAAAAATTTACATTAACGATAATCTAGTTAATACTATATTTAAATATTTTATTTCATTTCTAATCTAGTTAATTTAATGGTTATGTCAATATGAATTTAATAGAAATACTTTATTAGGAAAAAAACAATATTTTTTATTTTTTTTAACTATATGCATTTTTTTATTTGATTATTTGTACTTTTATTTATTTTTTTATGAGTCTTATTAATTTTAAAATATAACGAACTATCCAATCTTATGCATACTATATTTTGACTAAATTAACTAATTTTTTCTTTTTTAAAAAACTAAAATGTTAACTTCAACTCTTTGACTATTAAAGATAAAGAATAAATATCACATCTAATAAAAAAGATTAGGGTTCAATTAACCCAAATTAATAGTCAATATCCGAAATTATCAAATTATAGTAGTTTGGAGTCAATTTTTGCCATTAAACCAATAAAGATCACATAATAGCATTGATTGAACTAAACTCTCCTGCGCAAAACTCTAATTAATCTGAACAAATCAAAACTGACTAAACGTTTGACCATTGACAATTGAGCATTCCCTTTCGCTATATAAATTACCCAACCCTTTCCATCCCATATATCACTTTCCTCATCCCAGTTAGACAGTCAAATTATAAAATTAACCATACACGGTTCTAGCTATGGCAAAACTTAACATCTCTAATATTATTGTTGCCTTGTTCCTAATTGTCTCACCATTGGTGCTAGCTGAAGAAGCAGAAGTAGAGCTGAGTCCTTCAGCTGAACCCTTTTTCGTTTCCACCTGAGGCAGAACCAGGGCTTTACAATTACGTGGACCAATGTGCATTCGTAGCAGGCCAGAAATGCGGGGAGGAGATCCTATACGGCTCCTTCTTGGGAAAGCCCGTTACTCTTGAATGTCGTCAAAAGCTTGTGCTGTTGGGAAAGGCATGTGACGATTCCTTGATAAAGGTCGTTCTTGAATTTCCTGAATTCAAGAAACATGAAGAAGAAGCTTGGCAAGGAGCAATCAACTCTGGGAAAAATGTACCTTAGCCGTGCAAGCTGCTTCGCCTTCCCCGTCTGACTAGTACTCCCATCTATATAAGCCAAAAAGTTTGGGCTTTTCATTTCCTTTATGTCCTCTAAATCCTATTCTACCTCATGTCATGTGCATTTGAAATAAGAAAAGCAATAATAGATGGAGGATGAAACATGTTTTTATTTTATCTAATTCAATAAATATTCATTAAAAAAACTTAACAAATCTTAAAACCGATAAGTATAAAAATAATACATATATTTTAATATAGTTTTCGAGAATGAGTATTTATTTTATATTCTACTAATATCTATTAATTTAAAAAAAAAATTAACTCATAAGAATCTAGTTACATAAAATTTATAAAAAAAGAACCAAAATGTTTTTTAAAACTTATAAATAAAGGACTAAATTGAAAAAAAAAAGTAAGGATCAAATTAATTTTTTTAAAAATTATAGAAACTAAAATGAAATATTTTGACATATCGTTTTTAGCATAGTAAATAAATATTAAATAGACCGATAATTCTAATATGGATCAAAAATAAGTTTATAGAGCAATTTTTTTAATGTGTATGGATAAGATTTTTTTTTAATTGATAAAATAAAAAAACTTAAATTAATAAGCCTTATATCGAGTCTATTATCATTCCTAATTTTAAAACACTTGCACGTATTGTTGTCCATTTAGAACGTATGCTCTTCTTGCTTTTTTTTTTTTTTGCAAAATAAATAATGTCATGAATCCACTGGCAAATGTTTTTATTCATCAGGAAACAAAAAGTTTATTTTATAAATAGGGTTGTGTCGTCTTGATTTCCGTCCTATTTTCTCCATTGTCTGACAAAACTCAACTGAAGTTCTCCAACAGATGCAAGTAAAACCTTGTGACGGCAACCACCGTCCACCATTCCCTACGGTACCAACATATTGCTATGAAATTTCTAAGGAAAAAAAAAAAAAAAAAGAGAGATGAATTGAAATTTTCTTATAAAGCACGCTTATCGCTGACCAATTAACGTAAGAGGTTCGCAGTTGGTTTTCAATATATATATATATATATTCATATAAGCTACTCCTCTCGCTGGATACCTAACACGATATTTTTCTTCTTCAAAAACTCCGTTATTAAAAAATTAAATAAAATGATGTCTTAAAAAATCAAAGCATGATAATTACGCATCCATCCATCAATAACTATATAGAACCATAAAAATTATAAATTAAATTTACTTAGAAAACTGTGTGTGAGAAGGTCTAAAAAATTTTGACAGATGATTCTTTAGATTGGAATCAATAACTTATTTGATTGGTCAATCTCCTTTATCAAAGACCAGGCACCCTCCTACGGCACATCAGTTCAGATGTCTCCTCCTATCAACTGACTAACCTTTCTTAAATAAAACCATTTTCTTTATTTTGATCAATGGCATCGTCATCAGATAATGAAGTTGCCCTCGAATTCAGGTTCTTCCGGGTTTACAAAGACGGCCGTGTTGAATTATTCAAGCCACACTTCAAAAAAATCCCACCGTCCGACGATCCAGTTACCGGGGTCCAATCAAAAGATGTGATTATCTCATCTAAACCTCAAGTCTCTGCCCGTGTTTTCTTGCCAAAACTCAAACACCCTAACCAAAAACTTCCTCTCTTACTATACATCCACGGGGGTGGATTTTCAATGAAATCTGCCTTTTCTCCTGTCTACCACAAGTTGTGCAGCCAAGTTGCTCATGAGGCTGACTTTGTAGTTGTCTCTGTGGAATACGGTCTCTTTCCGACCCGACCCATACCCGCATGCTACGAGGATTCTTGGGCTGTGCTCCAGTGGGTGGCATCAAATGCTAATGGGAATGGACCTGAACCATGGCTGAATGATCATGTTGATTTTGGGAAAGTTTTCATGGGGGGAGATAGTGCTGGAGGTAACATATCACATACTTTGGCTTTTCGGGTCGGGTCAATTGGGCTGCCCCACGGAGTGAAGGTTGTTGGGGTGGTCATGGTGCATCCTTTTTTCGGAGGTACTAAGGATGATGAAATGTGGTTGTACATGTGCCCAACGAATAGTGGGCTCAATGATCCTAGGATGAACCCGGGTATAGAGGATCTTGCTAGGCTTGGCTGTGAGAGGATGTTGATCTTTGTAGCTGAGGAAGACTATTTGACTGTTGCAGCCAAGAATTACTATGAGAAGTTGAAGAAGAGTGAATGGAAAGGAACTGTTGAGCTTGTTGAGAATGAAAAAGAAGACCACTGCTTTCATTTGCTTGATCTCGATGGTGAGAAGGCTGTGGAAATGAGGCATAAGTTTGTTTCGTTTCTCAGACAAGACTAGCTCAGCCTTTCGCAACACTTGGAGGTTTGGTTGTCTTAGTAATGGGAGCTTGTCACTTTTTTTCAATTGAATAATTTCATTCAATACGGTTGCAAATAATCATTTTTCCTCAAGTATACGAAGACGTCCAGTTTACTTTGATTGATCTAATTCATGTACGCAAGCAGGGTTTTAAGAATTGGTAACAAAAGGTAATAAAACTACAACAAAAGTCTAACTTATTGAAATAAAAGATGCAGCAAATTTTGTGTGTTGTAAATCGTAATGTAGAAAAGTTTATGTTTCAAGGAGACCATGCCAAATTGTTGCATTGAGTTAAGATACAGTTAGAAAGCCGCACAGCTCAAAACAATGCAAATAATAGGGCATGAAAGTCCTAATTTACCAAGGATCCAGATGACCCAACCTTGCCGTTGAGCATGAACGTACAATAAAACAAAGAAAATGATTTAACAATGTTTAGTGATTCTGTTTTATTTTGTTTTTTGTAATTTGTAATGTTGGATACATATTTTTTCTTTAAATAATGCTAATTTTACTAATTTTTTTCCTTCTCAAATCGCTACACTAACATCTTTAATTTCTTGTCACTATCCGATCTTCACAGGACTCCTAGAAATTTTAGTTTTTTAATTGACAATTTCTTCTTCTTTTTTTTGAATGTGCGTTATTTATCAATTTTGCGAGTCACTACTTAGTATTATGGAAACTAAAAACCTAAGATGGACGCTAATTAAGAGATTTTAAGATAAGGAGTTGGTTATGTTTTTAAGAAAATATTAGTCTCCAAAAACATCATTTTCTAGTAAAAGTATCATATCTAGTTTTGTCCAATAATTTATCTCCTAGAGTGTTTTAATTATGTCAAATTATTTGCAATTCGAACTCCAAGGTTTCACTTCCTAGACCAAATTAATTTGTAGCATCATATTGAACCGAATGTCGGATCCCTTCATCGGGAGACACATCAATTTCACATCGGATCCACTTTAAGTCCGGACATTATCGGTATGTCGAAGAATAACCTAATTACTAAGATATTTTATTTTAGTTAATATCAATCTTGATTAGATATGAGACTTTGTTAATTTTTTTCAATATTATCTTTTTTTTTATTACTTACCTAGGATTTTCCTTCTCGTTTTTTTATTTATTATTTACCGAGGATTTTCTTTCTCCTCTTTTTTTGACATTGTTTTCTTTTTTCTCTCTCTCTTTATTTTACTTAATATTTTTATTTTTTTGTTGTTTTTTTTTCGTTTTTTTTTCGTTTTATTTTTATTTTGGCGAGGAATCATCATCGACCCTAAAAATTACGTACTCGATGATTTATTCACCGACTAATTATTTATTCTAATTCTTGAAAGAAATCTAAATAATTAAATATTTATATCAAATAAACTAATAAGTAAATAAATCAACATTCGAAGGAATTAAATTTAGACTAGCCATGAAAATAAAATAAAATAAAATAGAACAAGCACATACATTAGAAAAATTCGGGCATGATTCTCTAGGAGAAAAAAAGAAGATATTGGGCCCATTGGGCAAGGCTTGGATTGGACTCGAAGGCAAACCTCCTTCCTTTTTCTTTTCTTTTTTAAGCCGGGCTAGTTCGAGCCTAACTCATTTATTTTTTCTAGGTCAGGTAGACCCAACCCATTTTCATTTTCTCTTCGTTTTCGAGCTCGACCCTTTTCCTCTTTCTCTCTCTCTCTCTCTCTCTTTCTTTCTTTTCTTCTTATCTTCTTTTCTTCCCTTTCTTTCTTTCTTCGCCTCCGGACCAAATGTCCCAATCACTATTGCCTTATGAGCTCAATCCATTGATTGGGCCTTCACACCCTAATGAATTACAAGTAGTCTATAAACTTGCCAATGTCCTTCACAACTTCCTCTTCTAGGTCAATTAGATGGATTTGAATCCTTGAATTCAATTGATGGTGGTGACAATGTCACCGCCATTTTTCTTTGCTCGAACAAATTATGGATTAGAATTGATTAACTATTGACAAAGAGTGTTTAGGATTACCCGAGGAAAGCTCGAGTGATTGGAATGAGATTGAAAAACAAAGTAGGATTGTTTCAAGTTCACTTTGCTTGCGAGTGATGGGTGATAATTGGTGGAAAAATTTGATAATGATTGTGCATTCTAGAGCTTGTTGTTGTGAAGATTGAGGACTCATGATTGATTGAATAGGATGATTTCTAGTGTTTCTCAAAACCCAAAATGCTAAAGCCAACTTAAAAAAAATCCGAGTGCTTTCTTAGATGACGGATGGATTGATGTAAGGAAGATCGAACAATTTAGGGCTTGTTGTTGGGATGATTAATGACTCGAAACGAAGGAAAGGATGATCTATGGTGTTTCTCGAAACCTAGAATGCCCAAATTTCCCCTCTTTACACTCTCTCGCTCTGGTTTCCATTTTCTCTCTTGATCCTCCCCTTATAACCTCTAACCCACTCCTATTTATACCCGATTTTCTCTTAATAAACACAATTTCGATTTCTTTCCTTTATTTCAAACCGTTAGATCAAAATCTTACTCTCTCCATTTTGTTATTCCCTAACGCTCTCCATCCCTTCAATTCGTTGTAACACAACTTACCGACCAAGCAAAGAATAGTGGTTGATGAGCTAGCTAAAGGAATCAAAACGGTTAGAAACTCCGGAAAGATCGAAACCTCTATGGTTTTCGAATTGCTCGCATTCATCGTTTCAACCGGAAATGGATAAAACAGATCCTCCCACTTCCTTAATTTTTCAATCGTATCCTTCGTTTCCTTTCAATTATGCCCATAATTCGTCTTTATTTTTTGTTCAATTTGGCCCTTGCTAGCTTCCAATTTTGAATTAATTTAATGCAATTAGGTCCTTGGAGTAAATTCAACCATCAATTTGCATTTTATATATTTTTATTTTGATTTTTTTCATTTTTTCTTTCTTTTTTTTTTTTAAATAACTACAAAAACATAAAAAAAAATAATAATGAAAAGAAGTGAGGAAATGAAAAATGACATAAAATAAAGAACAAACTAAAACAATAAATTTTTTTCAAAAAAGAATTAATTAAAATAATAAAAATAAAATGGATAATTTTTTTTTTTTTTTTTTAAAGTATAACCCAAAAGTTGAGTTATGACATCTGCCACAAAATGAATTTGTCACCAAAAAAGCCTCTGTCTATTGGTTGCTAAGGCTAATGCCATTATAATATTTGGATTGAAAATCAATTTATCCAATCTGAAGTTGCTAGTTAGACTCAGTCGTTCACATTGTTTATAGGTTAAGCTAATAAACAGAAGATATATTGTAAAACGAGTAAATTATAAATTAGTTATTTATTTTGAAAAACAAATCAATCAATTAATTTTTTTGTTTTAAAAATAATTATTTAGACCTTTGATTAGTATTGACTAGGTTTAGTTCAATATTACTTTATTTCAATTCTTTTTTTTTCTCTTAAATTAAAAAATAAAATAAATTGAAAATGAATAAAAATAATTAAGTTATAAAATAAAATTAAAAATATAAAAATTAAATAATTAATTTTTGAAAGAAAAGAGAATAGTTAATTCGTTTTTCGAAACTTTAAAAACTAATTTGTAATTTACTCAATGTAAAAATCACATGTAATGCGTAATTATCATATAAGAACCATTATATTTTAATCGCGTGTTTCGCTTTTATTGATTTGATATATGGATGATTAAGTGGATTGCCAAACAAATTAACACACACACACACATACAACCCACATGTGATGATGACTCACGGTCACTGCTGGGTCTCCAATGGGCTACAGCCCACATGGATGGAAATGGATCAGAATAATCGAGTCAGAAAATAAAGATTCATTTGAAAATTCCACGTTAGGATTGTTCTTTCTTTTTATCACTCAACAACCATAGATTTGTCGTCTCATCCCCTCCACCGATCACTATTCACTACCGAACAAATGTAGGTTTGGTGAGGATCTCCTCCCAAAATTTTTCATATTTTCTTTTCATCCCTGTATATACACCACCAACCCCTCAAAGCTATAATAATGATTCTTCAGCTTTTAAAATCTTAGCAATTTACCACCCACTTACTTAGAGCTATTTAATATCCGGTTTCAATGTTTGTAATTTCTTTGTTTTAGTGTCACTTTCCTAAAAAGTCACTTTTATAGCAATTTTATATTAAGAAATTATTAGGTATATCAATGTATTTTATTTTTTATAAAAATATGAAATTTATTATAAAAAAATATTTATAGATTCCATCAGCATATAAAAAATTAAATATAATTCCCAATATACTAAGTAATTCCTCATAAATAAATAAATAAGGTGTCTATCATGCATGGTCTATCTTGGAAAGTGTCTTTAAAACCAATGTTTAGAGTGGCTAAACATTCAAATTTTGTATAAAAAGATTGTCCTCAAAATACAATTTGTTATATTGTGCAGAATTTATTTTCGAAGATTGAAAAAAAAGAAGAAGCGAGAATAGAACGAGTGGAGTGGATGGCAAAAAAAGAACTAATCTTTTTTTCAATCGGATATTTTGTTATATTGGTCTATTTATTGGGGACACTGGTGACCCTACCAAGTACCAATGCATCTTTAATCTTGATTGCTACTTTAGGCTCTCTTTCTTCAAATGGGTAGCAATAATGAAGAAATAATGAAGAAGCTGGCAATGAAATAGTCCGTAAATTCCGCTTCTTGACAGAATACAGAGATGGCCGGGTCGAAATACACTACGATACCCAGAAAATCCCTCCATATAATGACCCAAATACTGGGGTCCAATCCAAAGATGTTATAATTTCAACCGAACCACCTGTATCCGCCCGAATTTTCCTGCCCAAGATCCATGACCCGACCCAAAAGCCCCAGGTGGAGGCTATAGCTTTGAGTCTGCCTTTTCACCACTCTTTCACAACCATTTAATGGCATTGGTTGCTGAAGCCAATGTCATTGCCGTGTCACTTGAGTACACCATTTAATGGCATTGGTTGCTGAAGCCAATGTCATTGCCGTGTCGCTTGAGTACAGGCTATGGCCTGACAGGCCCTTACCCGGAAGTTATATAGATACATGGGTGGGGCTCCAATGGATGGCATCACATGCCAACGGAAATGGTCCTGAGCCGCGGTTGAATGACCACGAGGATTTGAGTAGGTTTTTTATGGGTGGGGACTGTAATGGAGAGGTTTATTGGAATGATTATGGTGCACCCATTTTTTTGGTGGCTCGGATGATGATGATGAAATGTGGATGTCTGTGTATCCAAAAAATTGTGGGAAGCAAGATCCTAAGCTAAAACCACCAGCAGAGGATTTGGCTAACTTAGGGTGCAAGAAGGTGTTAATATTTTTAGCTGAGAAGGATCATCTAAGAGAAATGGGTTGGGATCTTTTGCGAGGGCCTGAAAAAAAGTGGGCATAAAGGAGCTGAACATGAGTTCCATGTTTTTCATCCTGATTATGACCAGTCTAGAAGTTTGGTAAAAAAATTTGCTTCTTTTCTCAATGAAGTGTAGGCCATGGCCTTCCTTTTTCTTTCGTGAGTTTAAGCAAAAATAAAACCAGTTTGTTTCCAAGAGTAATTTTTTTCTTTAATTTTCTTGGTCAAGACCTGAGACCGGAAGGGGTCTTTGAAGTTACATTTGAGACAATAAGACCGGTTTGTTGTAAACTTAAGTTGGAAGCTCAATGATGTGTCTGGTTTTTACTGTTGTACCAGACTTGATTAACAACCGTTGGATTGAATTCGTTTAGCATACATCATTGGATCAAAATATGAATGGATAACTTGTGGATGATTGGGTGGATTAAATGCACCAAACAATTTCACACACACACATATATATAACCCGCATGTCAGGGGAGTGGCTCACGGTCACTGGGTCTCCAATGGGCTACAGCCCAATGGATGGAAGTGGATCCGGATTGTTTTTATAATTATATTCTATTTTTTGAAATTGGAATTGAATTAGAAAACACAAGAAAGATTCTTTTGTAAAGTTCATTTCATGATTGTTTTGTAGGCTAAATATCAAACCTATTATGAGTTTTAACTCATTTAAAATTAATTTTTTTAACTTTAAATTTAATTTTTGAATTCTGAATTTTTGAGATTTAGTTCATTTAATGATTTTCAACTATTATTTTTTCTTCTAAAAAAAATTAAATTTTGAAATTTTGAGTTGAAATTTTGCACACATGTTGAAAAAAAATTCAATATATTTTAAAAATTCATAATTTTTTAAAATCAAAAAATATATTTATTTATTTATTAAACATATAAAATTAAAAAGAAATAACTTGAAATAATCTCAATTGTTTTTTTAGAAGTTTTATGTAAATTCTACCGAATAATTATCATTACATAGCTATTTATGTGATTGTTATTTTTTGAAGCAAATGATAAAAAATTGAAGAACAAACTAAATTTTAAAAAATTAAAAAAATTAAAAATCTCGAAAATTAAATTTAAAGTTTAATAACTTAATTTCAAATCAGGTAAAGTTTTGTTTGTTTACATCACTCAACAATCATAGATTTGTCGTCTCATCCTCTCCACCGATCACTATTCACTACTGGACAAATGTAGGTTCGGTGATGATCTCTTACCAAAACTTTTCATATTTTCATCTTCGTACGCCACCAACCATTCAAAGATACAATAATAATTCTTAAGCTTTTAAAATCTTAGCAATTTATCACGTACCCAGTTACTTTAGAACTATTTCATACCCGGTTTCAACGTTTGTAATTTCTTTGTTTTAGTCACTTTTCTAAAAAGCCACTCTTTTAGTAATTTTATATTAAGACATTATTAGGTATGTCAATGTATTTTATTTTTTTTACAAAAAAACGTGAAATTTATTATAAAAAATATTTATAGATTCCATCAGCATATAAAAAAGAAAAAGAAAATATAATTCCCAATATACTAAGTAATTCCTCATAAATAAAGTATACTTAAGGTGTCGATCATGGCCTATATTGGAGATTGTCTCTAAAGCCAATGTTTTGAGTGCTTGTTTCTACATTAGAAATAAAAGTTTTGGTAAATTGCTTATCTTCTCATGATAATTGGTAAGAATTATTATTATTATTATTATTTTCCAGGGTATCTTGGATAATGTTTTTTCCTTTCAAAATGACACTTTTGTTCTGTTGTGTTGGTCTATTTATTGGTGACCCTAGCAACGCATTTTTATTGCTACTTTAAGCTCTCTCTCCTCAAATGGGTGGCAATGAAGAAGCTAGCAATGAAATAGCCCGTAAGTTCCGCTTCTTGACAGCATACAAAGATGGCCGGGTCGAAATACACTACCCGACCCAAAAAGTCCCTCCATCTAATGACCCAAATACCGGGGTGCAATCCAAAGATGTTATAATTTCAACAGAACCACCTGTATCCGCCCGAATATTCTTACCCAAGATCCATGACCCGACCCAAAAAGTCCCAGTTCTCTACTACATTCATGGTGGTGGTTTTTGCTTTGAGTCTGCCTTCTCACCACTCTTTCACGGCCATTTAATGACATTGGTTGCTGAAGCCAATGTCATTGCCGTGTCGCTTGAGTACGGGCTATGGCCGGAGAGGCCCTTACCCGGAAGTTATATAGATTCATGGGTGGGGCTCCAATGGATAGCATCACATGCCAACGGAAGTGGTCCTGAGCCGTGGTTGAATGACCACGCGGATTTGAGTAGGTTTTTTATGGGTGGGGATAGTGGTGGAGCTAATATGTCTAATTTCTTGGCGGTTCATATCGGGTCATACGGGTTACCCGGGGTGAGGTTTATCGGAATGATTATGGTGCACCCATTTTTTGGTGGTATGGAGGATGATGAAATGTGGATGTCTATGTATCCAACGAATTGTGGGAAGCAAGATCCGAAGCTAAAACCACCAGCAGAAGATTTGGCCAAGTTAGGGTGCAAGAAGGTGTTAATATTTTTAGCTGAGAAGGATCATCTAAGAGAAGTGGGTGGGATCTTTTGTGAGGACCTGAAAAAAAGTCGGTATAAAGGGGCTGTGGAAGTTGTGGAACATGAAGGAGTGGCACATGAGTTCCATCTTTTCGATCCCGCTAGTGACAAGTCTAGAAGTTTGGTAAAAAAATTTGCTTCTTTTCTCAATGAAGTGTAGGTCAAGGCATTTTTTTTAAAAAAAAAAAATTTCATGGTCAAGACCTGCGACCGGAATGGGTTTTTGAAGTTACAATTATAGGCAATAAGACCAGTTTGTTATAAACTTAAATTGGAAGCTCAATAATGTGTCTGGTTTTTACAGTTGTACCAGAATTGATTAAGAACCGTTGGATTGAGTTCATTTAACTTAAATAATTGGATCAAAATATTTATGGATAACTTGTTAATTGCTCAACCGGTTGCCAACTGAAACTTAATTGTGTTCATTCTTCCTCCTCAACTTTTACGACGGTTTCAGAATTCAATGGAATAGTTTATTCTGTTCATTCATTTCATTTCTAATATTATCTCATCTATTCAACACAGCTTTGTTCGCTCCAATAATGAACCCATCTGCTATGAGCGTGGCCACAATAACCGGAAAATGGTTTTCGACAGAGGAGAGATGGCTACGGAATGGTTTTATTTTTTTAAACGTGGGGTTTAGGTGTGAGTTCTTCTGATCGGGAGTAGCAGGTTGTTTAGTTGGTATAGATCAAATCGGATGGTTGTTAATAATTCTGTTTGGATGCAGAATTTTAGGAATTCTGTATCGTAGGACTGCCCAGTTTGTCTTTGCTTCTATTTGAAGGTAAAATTTCAATACAATGTGTCCTGATTAAATCTAGAATAAAATTTAAGTATATTACAAGAACACACCAGAGCCAGCTAATTATAGGCACTAATCAATTAAAAATTAAAATACTATTTTCCCTATGAACCTTGTAATGAAATAGTTTTTGTATGGTGATGTAGGCAAATAATGTTCGACTTTGATAACAAGTACAACCAAGTGAAAACTCCATTGAGAGGAGTTCTGGCAAAGGATCGGGAAGTCTTCGAGCCTTTTTTACTGTTGAAAATATTTACGAGGAAAGTTGAATTATTTCTTTGAACGTTCAGAGACTCAAATATTAATTTTATCTTTCCTTGGAAAAAAAATTATTGTTTAGTTCAGTAATCAATGTCATTATTCGGTGGACTTCGCCAGCAAACAGATGGGCATTTAATAATCCCAGGCTACCCATAAGAAGACAAGAAGGTAGCAGAGGAAAAAGAGAAGATGGTTGGTAGTATTGAGATACCTGATTTTTTTTTGAAAAGTAATAAAATTGGTTGCATTTGATTATAAAGTCAAGAATCTACAAATTATGCTTAAAATTGATTGCAGTAAATAAAAAAGCGATATAGATAAAAATATCTTATGTCGTAAAAAAAACTAATTTGAGAATTAATTTTAAAAATACGCTATTTAAAGAATAAAGGTTAAAAAATATCCGAATTTGGTAAAAAACTCCTTGTTTATCCGCATTCCTCAGCAAGTGGATGTGCGGTCCCCTTGCAACTGTTGACCTGAAATTTGCTAGCCTAGGAGTGTGCACTGTCGTTGAGGCCTAAATGAAGGACTGGGCCGAGGGAATGCCCTCATGATTGAGAATATGTATGAAGGCCGAAAAAGAGAAGTGTCTTTTCAAAAAATCCATACTTCCATTTATTCAAGCCCAATTGTGAATATTTATCAAGAGGAGGAAAAGAAGGAAAGATTAAACCCATCTAGAATTAGAATCCTGTGACTACTTAGCTAAGAACCTATACCCCCCAAAAAAATTCTTTCTTTCAGACATAGATATCATGATTGAGACCCGAACGTATAGCCCGTTTCTATATCTCTATTTTACTTCTCACTTAAACTTCATTGGCACCTGATGATTTCTGGAGTTGAGAAATGCCTGTTAATTAAGCCTGTTGAACTGCAGGGCTCGAGACGCATGCTTAGCATTTTGTAATTTTTAGTATTTAGATTTATTGTATTTCATATTCAGCATCTTTGTAGGATGGAGAAAAATGATTGCAATGCTGTCAAAATTTTGCAAGTATGAAGCGCAAAAACCAGAGTTAATGACGTCCGTGGGGTGTCCGACATAACTGATGGTTAAATTAATATTTTAAATATAATATATAGATATTTAAAAAGAGAGCTGTTTTTTGAAAATATGTACATATTGAAATTATTTAACTTGTGTTTTATAAAAGAAAAAGCTCCTATATAAAATAATGAATATAGGATATATTTTTAGAGAATGTTGGACTAAATAATTATGAAATCTCAAAGGAAAAAGTCTATCATCGAAAAAAGGTCGAACTTAATACATTTTGTAAGAAAATTTCATAACTATATCGACTTGTATTTAGGTTACTAAGACCAAGACAACCTCATTAGTTACTTATGTTATCATGGTAAACAAAATATAATGACAAGATGCATTTGTCAGCAAGTTTGATTTGGTGGGGTTGCTGCAACGAAATTTTCTCGTGCTTTGAAACCAATATTTGATTGTTGTGAATTTGTTGAAGACCGTTCTACTTACCATCTCTCCCTCCTGCTCCTCCACCACACACAAACCCTCGTGTGTGTGTGTGTATATATATAGAAGCATACTCAAAAAACCACTTACATATAGTTTCAAAGCTCTATAGCAAGCACGATTGGTCTCAGAGAATAATGACTTCTGCTATAATCAAAGACGCTACACAACTTAAAGAAGCCAGCAAATTAGGTTTAGTGGCAGTGGCAGAAGAGGAAGGAGAAGAAGAGCTCTTTGAAATAGATTTTGAGGTCATTGATAGCCTCCCTCCACCCCAATATAACTGGGAAAATTACTTTACTGCATCAGGTAGTGCACTTCTTGCCAATTGTTTGTTGCCAATTGCTGATCTTTCCACCGCAGTTCCAATACTATCGAGTATCAACACCATGAGATTATGAGCATGTATTATTTCCTTCATTATAAAATTTCTCAGATTTATTACTCCATTTACAAGCACATTTGTTTTAGGTAAATGCTATTAATTATCTGTGCTATTAGTTGCAATCAGGAAATGAAAGAGCGTTACGATCGAAAAGTTCTATTCAAAACACCCACAACAAGAATAACGTCTAAGAAGACAATTAACGTACTTCTGAATTTAATTTTTTTTTTCCTGATGCTTATTGAGATTAGAGATGAAGTAGAGGGCTTGCCCAGAACTACGACTCTACGAGTCTAAAAGAGTATCATGTCTTTGGGTCAACGAAATGACATTGCCATTGCTTGGGTGATAATTGTTGCCATCGATTTTTTTTTAAAAGGTATACTCATCCTTAAAAACGGCAATAAATTTTGAAACAGTTTGATTAAAAATTATATATATAGAGAGAGAGAGAGATGTTTCCCTGTTAATAATTTACAATTACATATTCATTATGTGGTTCTAAAAATCGCTACTAAGGGGTTTTGGATTTTTAACCTTCCATTATGTCGTATTCTGTTTTATGATGAATTTTGAAATTTCGCTGTCATAACGGCTGCTATGACTGTTATTTATTAGTATAATGCCCTTATATTTTCTATTAAAAAAAATCTTAAAATTGATTACTTTTTCATCTTTAATCTTTATTTCTCAAAAATAATCCATATTTTTATTTTGATTTAATTAAAAATTACCCCTAAACTATTATAATTTAACAATTTTGAACTTTTATTATCAATTTGGATTAATAAGACCCCGATTTTTTTATTATCTTTTTAACTATGATCATTATTTGTTATCTTTATGGGTCAAAAGATTGATTTTTGACGATCAACCCTTTAACCATTAATATTCTGTTTTTTAAAAAAAGTTAATGAACTTAGTTAAAAGATGATTTACATAAAATTACATAGTAGTTATTCGTTAGATTTCAAAATTAATAACACTAATAAAAAAATATAAAAGTATAAATAATCAAATAAAAAAAACGTGCATATATTTAAATAAAAAATAAAAGTAAAAATTTTTATAATCAAATATTTTTATTAAATTCATATTGACATAACCATTGAAGCGATTAGATTAAAAAATATATATATATAAATAGTATTAATTATATTGTCATTAATATAAAATTTTTAAATTTCTTTTAATCAACTATTTCGTTAAATTCATACTAATATAATCATTAATTGAATAGATTAGAAATAAAATAAAATATTTAAATCTAGTATTAACTAGATTGTTATTAATGTAAATTTTCAATTTTTTTCTAATCAACTATTTCCGTTAAACTTATACTAATATAACAATTAAATTGACGATTTCTATGCTTGACCTATACACTATATGAGCATGATCAATTTATTTTATTTTTAATCAAGAGTTTGTATTTTATTTTTAAAAAATATGTGTATCTTTATTTTTTATTTGATTATCTATATTTTTAATTTTTATGAATATAATTAATTTTAAAATTTATTGAATAACAATTAGATAATTTTATATAGATCATAATTTGACTGAATTAACTAATTTTTTTTATGAAAAAATTGAATGTTAATAGTGAAAGGATTGATGGTTAATCGTTAATTATTTGACCGTTAAAGATATTAGATAAGGATCATAATTGTTAAGAAAACAATAATTTAGAATCTAATTAACTTAAATTGACTGTAAAGCTCGAAATTGTCAAACCACGATAGTTTGACAATAATTTTTATTTAGAGCAATAAAAGTAACAATGATTACTACCATCAAAACTTTTCATGAATTAAGTATCTAAATGTTAAATCAGACAAGTCATGTTTTTGTAATGACTATTTAAATTTTTAATACAGTAAGTAAAGTGAAAATTAAAAAAAAAATCAATTACATGTAAAATTTTTATATATTTATAAATATAATAATCACAGCTATTACTTAACATTCAAAACAAATTATTATATCGCGATCGCAATTATTACTGTGACTGCGATCCTTATTTGTAATTTAAAAACCAAGAATTTCATGCAATAACCGATTTTTACTATTCTGTAAAATATTAGGCCATCAAAATTGATGTGACATCACCTACTAAGTGCGCTATCGCTAACTAGCCAATAATTTCTTGCAATTTCGAGATATATACATTATGTGACGGGGATTTTGTTAATGGAGATATGTCAGTTGATTAGGTCCATTTCTTTAAATTGGCTATGTCTCATGTTAATGGAGACGGTCTGAAAGAGTGGCTAAATACTCATGCTGATCCAGTTGGGTGTTTTTGGCTGGAGAGACTGTTGGTGTTAATATAGCATATACATGACCATGAGACATGAGTAAGAAAAATTACTTGGTATCAAATGTCATAGAGACGATTTTTATACGTACTTTTTTTCTTGGGCGAAGAGCCTATCGGTAGCGGGGAAACGAATGAGACAAAAAAATGGCCGTGACCCCGAGGCATGAGCGGATTCCACTAGGTTAGCTGCTAGAGCAAGTTGGTGTTATGACAATTTAATTAATCCAATTACTGTTCCAAGATTGGCTAGTCTACGGTGCTGTTTGGAGCAAGATCTGTTAAAGGACAGGGGCTGCTTGTATTACGACTCTACGAGACTTTGAGGACCTATGGCTGGGATGGAGTGATTGAAAATTATGGAGACCAAAGGAGAGGGACACGCTTTTCATCAAAAAATACAACCTGCGACCATTCCCTGGCTATAAAAAAATTGTTTCTTTCACGAATCAAATAGATGAATATGTTTGTTGTATTTGCATCTTATAATTATGTTGACTATTTAATAATTTTTTCCTTAATAAGTGAATGCTTCAATGGCTTCTTATGTTGAATTTCATTGAAAATTATATTTATACTGGATCGTTAGTCTGATGATGTTTTCATTTCTTAAGCTGTATTCTCATTATTTTCAAGGAAATCTTTCTCCAAAAAATATTGTGTATTCAAACGTAAGCAAAGTTTCAAAGAGTTGCTACAAGGAAAATTATCTATTTTGCTTTGAAAATGGAACATTTGATTGTTGTAGATTTATTGAAGAGCGTTCTACTTAACATCTCCACCTGCCTGCTTCCCACCACGCATAAACCTTCAAATATATATAGGATCATATAGAAACATCAAAACAAAATACATAGGACCATACAAAACACAGATTAACCAGGATACTGGCAATGGCTTCTGCTATTAACGAAGGCACTGCACAACTTGGAGACAGAAAAGGTCCAGTAGCAGTAGATATAGAAGAAGAAGAAGATCTCTTCGAAATCGATATCTATGCCGTTACTAGCATTCCTTCACCCCAACATCTCAGGAAAGCTACTTTGCTGCAACGGGTCATGCACTTCTTGCCAATTTTTTGCTGCCAATTGCTGATCTTTCCAGTGTAGTTCCAGTAGCATCAATATTACGAGTTCAGAGCTATCATCAGCTTAATTAATTATTATTCTGGTAATCTGTGATTAGAACATTTATTTCATTTTCAAGTCGGATTATTTGTGCTTCTACTAATTGCAATCAAGAGACGAAAGAGTTTTTCAATTTAAGAATATATTTCAAATAACAAAAAAAAAAAAAAGGATTTGACCTCATACTATTCATTCACGGATCCCTATCACCCTTGGCATTTTCAGGCAATTTTCAGATAACTTATACAGGATTTGTACCGTATTTTTCAGGCAATTTTCAGATAACTTATACAAAATTTGTGCCGTATATTGCATTTTGATATTGGTGTTTTTAAAACCTTTTTTTGATTCTTAACTTTATTTTTGTATTGCGATTCAATCTCTTTATATACAGAGGAGAGAAAATAAAGAGAGAAAAGAGCACAATCATACTTGATTCCAGTCATTTTAATTGCTGGTCTTGCATTCAAATTATTTATCTTAGAGAAAAGAGTTTGTTCGTGGTGATTTTAGATCACAAAATAGTTAAAAAGAGTTAGATCGGATTTCAATTTTTTTTTATTCGATTTGGTTCATTTTCTAGGTTTTTACATGCATTGAAATGAGTTTTAAGCTTTCAATCTAGTTTTTAACCTTATTTTAGAGATTCTACGGTGTTTTGAGACCTAAATGATGCCGGAATTGGATTTTGAAGGTCAGAATTTAGAATTTCAATTTTTCGACAAAGATATGAATGGACGACGCGTCATTCATTTTGTACAATTCGAGCGATGTGTCATACATATTTTTTTTTCAAAAAAACAAAACGATCAAGCTGCGTAGGCATGCTTTTGAAGGCCTGGCTTGGTTCGTTTTTTTTTTTTTAGCTTTTTTTAATATTTTATTTTATTTTATTGTTGAATTTGGTGTAAAAATTATGGAAAACCAATCCTATTTTTTTTAGTTTTACTACACAGCCTAACGATGATGATATATACAAAAATTTTAGAAAAAACCCATCATTTTTTTTAGATTTTATAATAAATAAAATGTCGATTATATTACTCTTATTGTTTAAAATTATAAAAAATTTAGAAAAAACCAATCCTTTTTTTTTAGATTTTAAAATAAATATAAATTTCATATTATATTACTTTTTATTGTTTAAAATTGATTTCTTCAATTTGTTATTTATTATGAAAATCCTTATTCAATTATTTTTTATATAATTTTATTTGTTAACAAATATGATTTTTTTTATGTATGGATTTTGAAATAAAATTTTAGAACGTGATTTTTTTTAATATATTAATAAAATTTATATAATGAATTCTTATGATTTTTAAATAAAAGTAGCAGATGTGTGTGTACAAAGAGACTCAAAGTGTATTTCGGATCATTTGTCTAAATTTTTTTTTAAAAAAATTAAAAGTAATTGATTAAAAAATAGAATCCATTTTTTTTTCTTCTATGTATAATCAACATTTATTGAAATCAATTTTGTATTGGTTTCTATTTTAGTTTATTAATTTCAAATTTATTCCATATATTTCTTTTAATTTAAGTGTCTTTTTATGCTTCGCACTCTAAACCCAATAAGTATAGTCATTGTGTGTGTGTGTGTGTGTGTGTGAATAAAAATTGAATCATTGGTTTGGATAAATAGCTCAACATGTCCTTATACGAGATATGATTTTTTTTATGTATGGATTTTGAAATAAAATTTTAGAACGTGATTTTTTTTAATATATTAATAAAATTTATATAATGAATTTTTATGATTTTTAAATAAAAGTAGCGGATGTGTGTGTACAAAGAGACTCCAAGTGTATTTCGGATCATTTGTCTAAATTTTTTTTAAAAAAATTAAAAGTAATTGATTAAAAATAGAATCCATTTTTTTTTCTTCTATGTATAATCAAAATTTATTGAAATCAATTTTGTATTGGTTTCTATTTTAGTTTATTAATTTCAAATTTATTCCATATATTTCTTTTAATTTAAGTGTCTTTTTATGCTTCGCACTCGAACCCAATAAGTATTGTCATTGTGTGTGTGTGTGTGTGTGTGAATAAAAATTGAATCATTGGTTTGGATAAATAGCTCAACATGTCCTTATATAATCGTTCGAGTGTCCAATCTATTGCATTTTTAATTGCTTCCATTATGTTATTTAATAATATTTAAGTTTTTAATTTTTCATTTCTATTATATTTTTTTTACCACAAATATTTTTTTTTACTAAAATACCCTTGATTAAGGTGTAAAAAGAAAAATAGAAGAAAAATTCTAAAAACTTTAAAAATATAACATCACGTGACTTTAAGTGATGCGCGCGCACACACACACACACATACATACATACATAATGACTATACATCTACACACATTTTTGTCTTTTTTATTATAGATAACGTTATTCAGAATGACAAATTGAAGAGTTAAATATTGTTTAGGGGCTTAATAGAAGCAATTAGAGACGTATGGATAGATTGGAGACTTGAGCTATTATTTAAGGACATATTAAACTATTTACATTTATTGGTTTTATTAAAAATTAACTATATATCCACACACATATCACAAATCATTTTCTATTATTTTTTTAATATTATAAATTCAATTTCTTTCGGATAAAATAAGTGAAATAAAGTTTTAGAAGAACAATTAAATGATTCCAATATAGTTTTTTTTATGCTCGTATTATTGACTACAAATCAAATGTACCTACTTTTATAAAATAATCTCATCAATATGTAATAAGGATAAAAAATTATTTTTTCATTTATTATTTTTTATACAAGGTTTTTTAGAAATTTAATTCTATTTCGTGTGAATTAAATTCTATGAGAAAATAATTAAATCAAACAAACACAATAATCAAGAAAAGAAAATAGATAAATCACAAGAGTTCAACCACAAGAACTCCAACTTTATGTGAAAACCATCTATATCGTGTGAAAAAATTCATGGGACTAGCTCCAAAATAATGAACTATAATAAAAATAAGGAAAAAAACGGAATAAAATCATTCAAGTTTCTATACGAACTTAAAAAGCAAAAATATTAACAATAACATAATTTATCTTTTTAACTAAATCCGTCTAAATATGGAAGTTTGGAATCTGTAAAATTTTTGTATTTTTACAAAACATAATATTGTGTGACATCAACCATATTGAATACTACAATTCTAAGCGATTGTAGTATCCGGAAAAAAATCAATGCTAGAAAGAAAAACCCAACATTTTGTGCGCCAATTTTTTTTCTTTCTTCTTATAGCATTCCTCAACATAATAAGAAAAACCCTCGCCTTCTTTTCTCTCAAATTGCTCCCTTTGTCAACCGTGCATCAAAAAAAAAAAAAAACCAAACTCTTCCTTTTATATGCATACGTCTTCTAAACTTGAAAAACAAATTAAGAAAATAAACTTTTCATTTCTAATTTCATAACACTCCTTTTCCTATATAGCCTCAATTATTTTTATGATTAATCTTATCGTAATTAATTTTTTCTCTTTCTATTTTTTTCCTTCATCCCTTCGTCTGCTATCTTCACTTGTTAATTATGAAAACGTGATGGATTAGAGATAAGTTTTGGCCAGATGGCAAGCAATCATTGTCTCTTAAGATTGCAACATTATCATAACTCAATGAAATGTCCAAAAAACCAATCAAATTATAAAATACCACCAAAAAACTAATAAAAAATAAAAGAAACGAAGTAGAGGGAAATGATTTTTAGCCACAAAAGCCAATAACAATTGGACAATTTAATGGCCGAAGGCAAACCGCATCACTCATGAATGGATAAGATACAGAAAAAGACAACAACGCAGTAGAAATATGTATGTGTCCGCAATAACATCGAGTCTAAATAAATAGTTGATAAATAGTAAAATGTTAAGTTGTTTTTGTTTTTCTTGTTAATTTTATATAAATAATTAAAGATGTGATCCATGGAACAGCATTGTGAACCAGAATTGTGTCAGCAGAATTGTCTTGATCCACTAGATGGGTCCATGGCCAAGGACCATCTAGCAATGTACAATCGGCTGGGCCCAAGAGTATCGAAAGATCTACCATTGGGTCAACTCAACGAGGGATGGAGATACGAATCGACAAACGTTACTGCATTTACTTGTGCACGTCGATCCTTCGCAGATCATCTGCATGCAGTAAAGTCGGACGCAACCAAATACAGCACAGCGATACCGATCATGTAATTACCTAAAAAAAACCAAAACATCTGGATAAAAGAACAGCAATTTACTGTTTACTTGAGCATTAGTCTATTGTACTGTAGCTTAAGTTTTTTTTTAATTTTCAAGTTGTTTTATTTTGGTCTCTA